AAGCGCCTATAAAACCTAGTAAACCCTAAAAAGACACGAATGTCCTTTATAGTTATAAGAATAAGCTATTCTTAGATTATAAAGACACGCTTAGGTTTAATACAAACTCTTTACAGGTCAATAACGTATCCTAAGAAACCTACTTACTTTATATTAAACTCGTACTTTAAGAGGTTAGTGTAGAGGTTGTGTTATTAGAGACGTTTAAAGACGTAGTAAACATGTTATATATACTCTTCTTTATTTATAGAGTAAATAAGGATATTATCGAGATATACAATACAAATATTATTAACAAGATTCTCTAGTACTTTGTTAATAAAGGACTAAAAGGTCGCTAGTACGTTTACTAGCCTAAAGGGCATAACATAGTATTTAAAGTAGCTATATTAGTACTAGAAAGCTGTTTTCTACTTATTACTAGCCTTAATACAAACTTAATAGTACGCTTTACGTAGGTTAAGCTTAGTGTAGACGTAGGCTTGTAACAGCTAATTAAGGATCTCTCTAATTAATAGAATAAGGGCTTAGTTCTTTCTAGTTACACTATTTAACGCCTAGTAGTCGACATAAAGTCGTAGCTTCTCTCCTTTCTTTAGAACGAATAGTATTAGAGTACTAGTAAGGCTCTTACTTAGACAGATCTATCCTTTTACTAGGGCGTCGTCTAAATATTCGTATAAGACACCTAGCTTGACCTTTGTAAGCAGGTAGATTCGGCTATATAGTAGTACCGCGTCTCCTTTAAGGTCTATTATATAAGTAGGGCTATTAATTATAAGTAGTGATCTAGCTCCTTCTTTAGAGAAGACGTCCGTAAATTGTTAGTACTTACTAAGTAAGGTCGCTATAGCCTTACTGTCTTCTTATAGTTCCTCTTATAGTTCTTCCTTACCTAAAGATTCTAGGTCAACTATAATTAGTTATACTATTACTATAATTACGAATTAAGCTTTTTTTATTACTTTCCTAATTTCTTTTTTTATTATATATAGCCGGACTATTAAGGACGACGCGAGGTATATAAACGTCTAGGTCTTTTATAAAACGATTAGGTCTATAGCCTCTAGCTATAGAAATCTAAGTATAACATCTAAGTCTCTAATGTTAGTAACGATAAATCTGCCTTAATGTCGCCTTACTATTAAGTAGTTATCTTAGGCCTTAACAAACAGATCGTATAACCCGAAGCTTGTCGTTATTTTCTAGAACAGTAAGGACACTATAATATAATTATTAAGTTACTATAGTACCTCTTATCCTAATAGTCGTAAGTAGATAAGGTTAACTTCTACTCTTAAGTCTAGTAGGGCTAGTATAGCTACTTAGCTACCCTTAATACGTATCTTTACCTAAATACTTATTAAGGGTCGCCCCTCTTCTTATTGTTTAGGCGTAACGTAGTAGGCTACTAGTATAGTATTAGCGCCTAAAGTACCGGCCTTGTTAGGGCACTAAGTATAAGTATGCCTAGACTGTCTATAAGTAGAGCATTTGTATAGTAGGCACGAATTTGCCTAATAACTAGGCTACTAGTATTAGTAGTAGTTACCTTATACCTTACTTACTAAAGGGGTTTTCGTAACACTAAGAGAGTCTCCTTACGTATTTAAAGTTTAGCTACTAGATACCTCTTACGTGTTTACTAGTATAAATAAGGTCTTTAGATTATAAGAAGAGCCTTTTCTAGTATAGTATAGTATTAAAAGGGCTCTACAAGAGCCTTTTTGTTACCTTATCTAAATAAGAGTTTCCTTTCTTAACGTTACTACCTTAACTACTTTAAAGGTATCTAGGACCCTACTACTTACTATATAAGCCCTTAACTCAGGCTTTAAACAATCGATAAGAAGGTAGATACAGAACATCTCTAAGAGGGTATAGCCGAGTTTAATAACTAAAGAGTTATACTATTAAAAGAAATTCCTAAAGGTCTTGTTTTAGTTTTAAGTTAACATTTAGAGTTTTAATACTACTTTAAGAGAGTAGGTACCTTTATCTATAATGTTATAAAAGAGCTATACCTTTATTTCTCTCTAAGTTACATTAAGAACTAATCTGCCTTTTTCTAAGAAAATAAAAGACTTCTAGCGCTCTTTAATATAATCCTTTAGTACTACTACTATAGCGCTAACACGTTTAGTATCTGTTAGATAACTTTCTAGATAGGTGTTAAACTCTGTTTCCTAGTCGAATAAGAAGGTCGTAATACTAGTATATGTCTCGTTTTTTAGTAGAATAAAAGGAGTGTTACGATAGCTCTTCCTTATTTCTTTAATATAGGTTTACTAGAAAGGCCGTTCTACTTTAAGAGGGTTATTAAATTCGTATAGGTTTATTAAGGGAGCCTCTCTCTTCTTAAGTACTATAAGGTAGTCTTGCTTTTACTTAAGGCACTACTCTACCCTTACTTAGGCGATCTTCTTGTTTAACTTAGTCTTACTTAGGGAAAGGATTTCTATCGACATTTAGGGTGTCGTACTAGGTTTGCCGCTATCTGTCTACAAAGAGGTATTCTAAAGAGTTACTTAAGAAGAGGCCTGTGTCTCGTTAAGGTTTATTTGTTGTGTCTACGTTATTACTTCTTACTCTAACAGTCTATAACCTTTTAGTAAAGGCAAGAGATTAGAATGTTAGGTATATTTCTATAGAGTAGAAGAGGTAAGAGTCGATAAACAGTCGTAGTATATTTAAAGGTATATCGCTACTTTAACTATAGACTAATCTCTAAACCCCTCTTCTTTCCCTTTCCTACCCTCTATTCTTATACTCTTTAATGCCTACTATTACCTCGGTCGTAGTACGTAGTTACCCTGTACTTGATTTCTAAGCTATTGTAGTCTTACGTGTTAGCGTACCTAACAAGTACCTAGGGTTCTTTATATAGGCTATATAGTAAGTATATAGCTTCCTTACTAATTAGACAGCTAGTCTCTTCTTTAATAAAGAGGCGGCACTACCTTAAGAAGTTACTAGTAATAAGGGTACTATAAGGCTTACCCTTCTCTTTTATCCTCTTTCTTCTTTATACTACTAGCTTATACGTATAGCTATAAGGACATACAGGCCTTATTATAGTAGAGTTTACTAACGACCTTAACCTCTTAGTATTTAGTAAAGATATAATAAAGATACGCTAGTACCTTAAAAGAGTATAGTAAATATATAGCTAGTAGTTATGTATAAGAGAAATAAAGTTTACTCTTAAAAAGAATAAGCTCTTTTACCTTACTTATACTTATACTATACTAATAATACTTGTTTACCTTAATAGCTAGGTTATACCCTTAGTCTAAGAGGCCTACTTTCTAAGGGTATAGATAGACTAAAAACTTAGATAAAAAGGCTACTTTAATGCTATTAAACAAAAGTTTACTACTTAGTAGTTTACACTTACTAGGCTTACTATATCTATATAAGAATATAGCCTACTACACGTAAGAGAGATCTATATAAAAGTAATCTAGAGCGCTATAGTATATAGTATAAGGATCTAGTACTACCTCTTTAGGTAACGAGCTAAGAAGATTATAAAAGACCTAGCTATAGAGTAGTTATAGTGTCTTTACGTTATTATAAGAGTATACTAGACAATACTTATCTAGTTCCTTAAGTCTAAAATAGCTATACCTTTACTTAACCTCTACCTTAATAAGTAAGTAGTAGACTTTAAATAACGTCTTAAATATATAAGTAAAGACGAACTTATATAGTCTATTTATAATAAGGTAGTAACCTGTCTTTAATAACGCTAAAGACACTACTATAATACTACTATAGTACTACTTTATACGTTACTTAAGTATAAGGTAGGCTAAGCTATATAAGTAAAGAACTAGTATAAAGACTCTCTTTTAAAAAAGACCTTATAAAAGAACTAAAAGGCATAATAGTCTTAATATAATAGCTTACTAGTATACTAATAAGGCACTACCCTAGCTACGCTACCTACCTCCTTAGTAGATACCCTTAAGAAGTACTTACTCTTTTATAAGTATAAGAGCTCTTTTTTAATATAGATCTATACTAGTAAAGTTAGACTCTAGGCTTTTCTTTTTAAACGTAAAGTACTAGAGGTAGCGACCTTTTAGTACTCTTATAGTAAGGCCTTAAAGATAATAGCTTACTTAGTTCTAGACTACTAGTAGCTTAATTAATAGTAGTAGGCCTTATAGTAAGTACTTTACTTAAGGGTATTATAGACGTTTTATAACTTTATAGTAGTAATAAAAAGAAAGAAGAGTACGTATATACTAATCTATTAGCTACTATCTACTAGCTAGTTCTTATAGTTTTGTTTAGCTAAGTACTACTTAGCTAAAAAGGCTTAAAAGAAAGAGTAATCCTAGCTAATAGCTAGCGTCTTACTAGTACTCTACTAGTGTTTTACTAGTATGTTTAGTATTACTAGGCTAGAAGGTTAAGTTCTAGTAAGGTAGTAATAAGGTCTTAGTACCTTAGTAGTACTATAATAATATAAGTTAAAGAAGTAGTACGTAGGTTTTTACCTAGCTTTAGTATAGTTTTACTACATGATTTATTTATATAGTATAGAGGTTCTACATACATTAGGTATAGGTAGTAAGAATAATAATAATAATATGTCTTTTTATTACTTTAACAGTAGTTTTAAGGCCTTTTTCTAAAAACTTCTATTCTATAAGAAATGTTCTAGTATTTTTTAAGATAAAGAGTATGTTTTAGTGTTATATTATTATTTAAAGAATCGCCTGATTTTACTTTTAAAAGATTAATGTCCCTTAGAACCCTATTATAGTCACATTCTTTTAAATTAACAAGCCTTCTTAAAGTACTTAATTTAGTGCTCCCTGGTCTAAAGCAGCAAGTTTAATTAGGTTTATTCGTTACTTGATCGTAAGCTACAATCAGTACAGGTAGAAAGTCTACAAGTGGTTTTAGTACACAAAGGAAAGATCTATATGGCTTAAGAACACTCTAGCAGAGAGAAGCAAGATGGTAAGATAAAGGTAGCAGACAATAAGATTCGCAGCTATGCTGACACTGTATATTGTCCTCTGCATCTACCCTGTGAGGTCAGATGGGTTATACCACGTCGGTACCTTAAAAAACGATTGATCCCTATCCCTTAGAGGGATATGAGTTTCCGGATGCCGATTTATGTACTTTTCACCCATTACTGCCTTTGCCATCAACGGTTCAAGTCCTATAAACCAGCCAAGCTCAAAGCGAATATCGTAAACCCCACGTATCATGCGCGAGGTGCGTGTGACCTGGCAGTAAACGTCGTAGATGAATCTGTTCTGCTCGCTTTCCCTAAAGAGGCCTAGATCCCAGGTCTCAAGAATGATAACGATGGATAGTCTAGAAAGTTCCAAGTTGTCCTTTACAAAGGTAATAAGCCTGTCCCATTTTCGACTGTAATCCCACTCATCCCAATGCACCACCTCATCCTCGGAAATTTGGAATTGCACACGCCGAATGTAACTCAAAGCGCCCTTGGGAAGACGGCTCAAGAAAGAGATAGTCTCCTCAGGATCCTGGAAGAAATCGAAACAGTTTTGCGAGAATAAGACTTCCATGGCATCCTGGTGAAATTGCCTATTCACAAGAGCTAGCTCAAATGGGAACAGCCGGCAGTCGCAATCACGAGAGTAGGAAGCGCGCCTATTAGGACAGCAGCAGTCTATGAGCGTCTCTGTGCACTGCCTACAGCAGGACTTGCGAAGAGGACCATCTGTTTGACAAGCAAGTTTAGACCCTTGGATGCGTAGATGATTGTCGCCATCAGCACGATAGCCTCGCCGTCCCAGGTGTGTAAAGCCTAATATATAAAGGCGCAATTCTCGGGGAAGACGCCCAAAAGGAAATGGATCCAGCTTTGGGCCAAGTAAGCCCATCATCCGCAAGGAGGTCTCTTGAGCTAATGCACTTAGCTGATAGTTTCGTTGTCGACCAAGTCGGATATTACACTGCTTCAAGGTTGGTAATCCCAAAAGCGGTTCGATGACTTGCCTGCCTGTGTCTAGATCCTCTACATCGCAGATAAATGTAAACCGTAGTTGTCCTGGGGAAATGGCTGAAGAAAGATAGCGGCATAATGTGCCCCATTCTCTAACGAGATCTCGTCCAGTTTGATCCGTTGAGCTTAGGGCAGCAGTACCTAGTAATGTCGGAGTGCCGCATGTAAGGCAGAATAAGCCATCGGGCCGGCTTTCCTCGTGTCCCCGTGGGCAAGGCCAACATTTGAGTCGGATCAACAGTGAAGTCATAGCTGACAGCGCGTGGATACTCAACTCTCGCAGAGGGGTAAGATCATCAGCAACCTGGGCACGTAAAACAAACTTGTTCTGGCCATAAAATATCGAGAAAGTCTCTGCATGGATCGCACGAGATACGAAAAGCAGCTGAGTTGGCAGCTTTGCGCAGACGCAATCTGGCCGTTCTCTGTCGATGCTTATATGGCAACCGGTTTTCCTTTGGATGTACAAACACTCCGTGTGTACGGCCTGCCTGGAGCTCGGCGCCCCATGGTACGGTTCGAGGGTAACGAGTTCAATCGGGCATGGGCGGAGCCATCCTGAGTAGGAATATATCTTCAGTCTCGCCTGGAGAGGAAGATCCAGAAATGAAATCGTGGGCGGCATTATCCAGATTAGGCGCACATAGTGATTATTTTTGCAATTGAAAGCGTGATGGTCTACAGAGGTAGCATACTTGCGACCAAAACACCTTTAACAGACACTACAGCGGTGCCGATGGTTCAGGTGCAGCGTCAGAGACCGTCTGGCTTTTGTGATACACCGGCACTTAGCAACGCTCGCTGGGACTCAGGAAGCTGGACAGATTAACGCCTCTGAAAGACAAGAGAAATGACAGTATATCCATAGACTAATGGTAGGTAGCTTCGGGGAAATCTGATGTAGATGCGAAAGCCATGAGATGAGGTCTGCTTCAACGGTACATATATCGCGAATCATAGGCATGAACCGACATACCTAGGTGGGCAAGGATTTTGCAGGGACGTTATTTGCAAGGAAACCCTGCTCGAAAGCGGGAAGCAAAACATGGAGTAGTAGGCCGGTCACGACAAGGGGTTACAACGTTGTAAAAGCCCGCCTATGTCGAGCCGGCTAAACAGCTATTATAGGTACCTTAGGTAACTGAACCGGGAGTGACATGTGGCTTGAGGCTTTAGATATATATTATAAGGTACCTTGGGCTTTACGTGTGGAACAGTAGCCGTAGTTACTACACATTTTATAATACAGGTATCTTAGCAATAAGTGTTAAGCCAGGTAAGTGTGTTATTTTAACAATTTAATACGTCCGAGGAGAGATGTTTTTCTCGTCGGCTGATATTGAAACTCGCTTAGTCAGCCACATCACGTCGCGTCCGAATATTCAAAAATTCCCTGACGAGTTCATGATCTCAGGCTCGCCCCATCTTGCTACCCCAGTACCCAGTTTGTTATTTGAACAGCCATAATGGAGACCGGTGGACGTGCGCGCGTAACGCCCTCAACAACCTGTCATTTCCTGCGAATCCCAAAAGGTACGGGTGTATTGTTCTACACCGGTTCCAAATCTCTGCCAAGGTCCTGACAACCGTGAGCAGAAATCCGCCTGATCATATATCGCCTCCTCCTCCTTGGGCCCGGGAACACCTTGCTATGGATAAACCCATCATACGACAATCCAGACACACACGAGGAGGACGATGAGAATGCATGGGTGGACGAGAATCCTTGGGTAGATGATGTGGACGTCGACGATATGCTTCCATCTTCCGACGACGGTGTGCAGTGGCTCGAGGATATGATCTTGCACGGCCAAGCCCCGGAGCACTTTCTTTCTCGGAAGCCCAGCCAATCCTCCTCCCATCCCTCTATAGACAAGGATCCAGAATTTCACGGGGCAATTCTACGAACAAACCGCCAGATTTACTCGGAAGCTTCCTCTCTTCTCTATACGGAATGCACCTTGGTGGTGGAGCCTGGCGATATATTCTGCTTGGGAGAGAGGGTGACCGGACCCCGAAGATTTGGAGTCCCGAGTGAACGAGTTTGGAGACACAACCCCCTCCATGGACTCGGCACGACGGGGGAGAATGGGGTAGTCACCTACGATACGCCTCCAATGCGCGGGAAGCTGGACCCTCACGTTTTTGCTCGTTTCCAGAAGATCAGTTTCGACGCGAGTTTCGGATACGACCATACACAATTCATGGAGATTTGGATGCGCGACGACAATACCGTCAATCCCTCCGACGCTGTCTCGTTGAAGGACGCCTTCCGCGAATCCCCAGTTATTCAGAATTTCGTAAAACTTATGTCCTGCTTGCCGAAGATCGTCAGTCTCGAGATCGAGTTGGAGGTGGAGATTATGTGCAATTGTAACGCGATGGCGCAGATGCCCGACGATAGCGATGATGAATCAGAAGAGTTAGAAGAGCAAGTGGACAAGATAATGGATGTTGCGAACGAGAGAGCGACGGAACTTTTCCTTGATAGCAACACCTGCGAGCCATTGCTGCAGCTCACAAACGTCAGCCAATTTGACTTCAAATTCGGATTTGATCACCGCGAAGAGAATGAGCGTTATACGCCTTTGCCGAGACATCTGAAGCTGTTCAGCGATATGAAGAAGGTGATCGAGGGCAATTTCACGGAAAAAATGGCATCTTTGGTTTGATTTGGGATTGGTATATGCTTGGCAAAAGTTGTAACGTTATGCTCAGAGACTTCGGTTGGATGGAATGAGGAAAAGGGGTGAGTGACCATCGACCAGCTTAATCTACATGCCAGACAGCCAATAATTAGACCCATTAATTCAAGCTTCCAAGGGTCAATACGTAGGCCTTCAATGGCGTGGTATACCTAGTGCCAGCTACTAACAAGCTTCGTGATAGTGACTAATAGTACTACGGGATATAATACCAGAAAAAGCATTGCCCAACGGCCAAGAGAGGCCAATCGGACATCATGTCACCTATGTATTCCTTTCCATGGTCTCACCAACTCTCTACCTAGGCTACCCCCTTTGCTCTATGCGGCTAACATGAATAATGCATAGGTAGTTAGTTCATGGCGGGGCCGCAACTGGATGCGGGGATCGGCCTGCTTAGCAACGCTACATGCTGCAGTAGATCGGAACTTTGTCTCTAACCTACTGGGAGATGTCACCGCGCGATTATGAGCGTAAGGTATTTAACACTTAGGGACCAAGCATTCCCCGGGCATACCCTTTGAAACCGGTAAGGTTGGCGACTACATTCTAAGTACTTGGAGAAGAAAGGGAGCTATGCGCTGCTGTTGATAAGAACTGCTATGTCGAAGATAAATCAAAAGCTTCCGTTTACCTAGGTCTTGGCGAAGTCTCATTCAGGGTCCTCGTTGCTTGCACCAGTCTGGGATCTTGTGGCTATACCGATCGTGCCGAGAAGGGCACGGGTGATACTGAGCTCTGGCACAGCTTTCTAAGATACTGGGATCGCAGGAACGTATGGGAGATTGTAAGGATTGTTAAGGGTTTGGGGGATAGGGAGGTAGAGCAATGACCAGAGTCTGAACCGGTGCAAGTCCTGCGCCCTAGGAAAGCTGATTCGACATCGCCGAGACAAGGCAGTAAATTACCTAGCAATCCCCATAGCGCTGGCGCTCCGCGGTGTAGTCCAGATCTGCAGAGGAGCGGTGATGGGTACAGGCTGCATCGAGCTCATTCCGCCATCTGGCTGGATCAAGGACGACGTGGGAGCGGGTGAGGAGAAGGGAAGGATGCATAGCGCGATGAGGAAGAGCTCATACAGAGCTCATACGGTGAGAAGAAGGCTCTGCAATCTCGGGTCAGTTCGACCTTCGAGACTTTCGCAGCATGTTCGCAGTTGAAGGCGCATGTAATAGAGGGAAGCCATGACGGGAACAATACGCGAGTATCCTGAATCTTGTTAGCATAATCGGGAGGAGACAGGGTCCTGTCTTACCGATAGGGTTTGGGATGAAAAGGAAGATATTCTCCGGGGCTGGACTCTTTGTGGTGCCATCGATGCCACTGACTCGAACGGGGCGGTTCCCCCCATGTGACAGTCACTTCGTCTTCATAGCCAGTGTGTTTGATTCTTTGATTCGAAGGGAATTGCAGAAGGCAGAGAAGATTCCAGGTTAGTATGCCAATGGCTGCTATCAGTAGCTTGACTACGTAGACATCACTCGTAGTACCCCATGTTCTAGCCGAACGTCATTTCATAGAAACCGGACAAACCTCTACCACCACGAATATAGCACCCACAATATGCCCTGCACCTTGTGAAAGCAGTCCTATTTGCGAATTAGTACCTTTTGAAGCTGATACTGCTAAAAACAAGGTCGACTCTTTGACATATACGACGTCTAGCACATCGATACTTCCTCTCTTCCTAAGCTCCGATTTCTCTGCGTTTTCCCTTTGGCTTGCGACCTATACCGGTGGGGAGATGAGATGCTTAGCAAGATCGAAGTTAGGGAAGGAATGTGGTAAGAACACATGAAGTTGCTTCCAAAAAATGCTATATCTATCAATGAATGCCGATCAGATTCCATGGGGAGAATCCGCGATGGGCAGCAGGTGCCAGGTGAGAAGAAGCTATATCACGACGATTTTATTTTCAGCGAACCACCGGGCTTTAATGAGCGTCTACTATTTGATCTGCACTGATACTGCAGCTCTAAACGTGGCATATCTGGATCTACATCCTTCGCGGAGAAGCTACTTGTCTTCCAGCAGACCGATCAGATGCTTGGAATGGACGGGTACAGGGTATGATGCAGGGAGACATGTGTAGTTGCATCTGTCAAGAACGTCAAAAGTACTAGCGGGGAGAGCCTAGGAGAAGGGTCTTGGTGAGCTTGAGAGCAGCATGGATGGTCAGAAGATTGCTGGCGTGTTGGGCGCACATGAGATGGAACCCGTTGCAGAGACAAAGCCGCGGATTCATCCGCTTCTCAAGGGCAGCTCTATACAACTAAACGCCACGGATAGTACGAAGGACATCCAAAATCAAATATCAAAAGAGCGATATCGATAGGACCAGCGACGTGACCGTCCAACGAAGCTCAGTCCCTTGACTCCCCCTCCACGTTGCTATCGCCGAAAGACCAGAGCTGCGTGGTTATCCGGGGATCCAGATCCGTGCGATAGGATAGGGACAATGCTCCATGATCCAGCGCGGTCCCAAGCGATGCTACGTACTTGACTTGACAGGCCAGGATTCAGGAGCATCGCTATATCAGGACTGGATGAACGGAAATTTGGCCGAAGCGGCACGGCGCGCTTATCTGAAAGGCAGATCCTCGCTGTAACGTTTCAGGGACGGACACGCGGTGCAGCCAGGGACAAGCGGACATGGGACAGAGTTGAGGACTCCGGAGGACTTATCGTGATTCTAACCCTTGGTAAGGTAAGGTATGTAGAAGTCCTTCTCGTTACTACTCTATGCGAGGGCTCTCAAGACATTGAAGACATAGACCCGATCATTCCTAGTCATGCGGTCCACAATCCGAGTCAGCGAACAAACCAGCGATAGACCAGCAATAGACCAGCAATAAACCAGCAATACAACCACGGAATAAGGTACCTCACGGTACAACGTTAATGCGCCAGTCGTAGCAAAGCAAAGATGGGGGCTGTCCCTGAAGGATAGCACTGGACAGGACATCCATCCCCATGGGTTGAGGCTGTACTCCCCGTCATTCATTATTGGCTCCCTAACGTTGCATGTCCATATCCAACAGGCCCTTGGAGGTTACATGGATTGCTATATCATCGAGTAGGCCGTAGCGACGGTATTGTGGGGTTCCTCGACGATCCCTTCTTGTTTATATACTCGTCGCCTGGCCTCTCCCTCGACGTCCAGGTTACCAGCATTCCAGCATTCCAGCTGCCCAGCACCAATTGCCCGTGGAACTTAAGATGCACTTCAATCGCATAGTGCAGGTCGTGACCGCCATCACGGGCGTGCTCGTGAGCACAGGAGAAGCGGTCGCCGTCAACCCTCTCCCCGCGCCCCGGTCAATCACCTGGGGGACCACCGGCCCCAAGCAAGTCGCTGGATTCCTCGTGTTGAGGGGATCTCCAAACCAGATCGTCTCGGAGGCCTGGAACCGCGCATTCCAGACAATCACAACCCTGAAATGGGTGCCAGCCGCCACCGAAGCCCCAATTGCGACGTACGCGGTCTTCCCAACGACCCCAGCCAAGGTCAAGCGCGCGCCTTCGCTGCTCATAGAAGTAAACCTCAGTGTCAAGGACGGCAATGCACCGCTGCAGCACGATGTCGATGAATCGTACACCCTGGACATCACGGCCAACTCGCCTGTGATCAGCATCACCGCCAACACGACCTGGGGCGCTCTCCACGCGTTCACGACTCTCCAGCAGCTCATCATCTCGGACGGTCATGGCGGGCTCATCGTCGAGCAGCCCGTATCGATACAAGACGCGCCGTTGTACCCGTACCGTGGAATCATGATTGACAGCGGGCGCAACTTCATCAGCGTCCCCAAGATTCTAGAGCAGATAGACGGCATGGCGCTGTCCAAGCTGAACGTGCTCCACTGGCACTTGGACGATGCCCAGTCCTGGCCCGTGGAAATGAAAACCCTCCCCATGATGACCAAGGATGCGTACGCCCCGTCCCAGATCTTCACCCAGAGTGATATCAAGAACGTGATTGCGTATGCCCAGGCACGTGGTGTCCGCGTGATCCCCGAGGTCGACATGCCAGGCCACGCGTCTTCCGGCTGGAAACAAGTTGACCCTTCGATCGTGGCCTGCGCCGACTCCTGGTGGTCGAATGACAACTGGCCGCTGCACACGGCCGTTGAACCCAACCCGGGCCAGCTCGAGATCCTGAACAACAAGACCTACGAGGTTGTGGAGAAGGTCTACGACGAACTTTCGGGTCTGTTCACCGACAATTTCTTCCATGTTGGCGCCGACGAGCTCCAGGAGGGCTGCTACAACCTGAGCACCATCACCCAGGACTGGTTTGCGGCCAACTCGTCGAGGACATACGATGATCTGGCACAATACTGGGTCGACAACGCCGTGCCCATCTTCAAGAAGCCCGCGAATCGCCGGCTCATCATGTGGGAAGACATCTACCTGTCGACGCCCCATGCCAGCAACGTGCCCAAGGATATCATCATGCAAACATGGAACAACGGGCTAGCCAACATCAAGACCCTGGCCTCAGACGGCTACGACATCATCGTCTCCTCAGCTGACTTCTTCTACCTCGACTGCGGCTTCAGCGGCTGGGTAACTAACGACCCGCGCTACGACGTGATGTCCAACCCCGACCCATCCACGCCCAACTTCAACTACCTCGCCGACGGCGGCTCCTGGTGCGCCCCCTACAAGACCTGGCAGCGCATCTACGACTACGACTTCACCGACAACCTGACCAGCACCGAAGCCGCGCACGTGCTCGGCGCCGAGGTGCCCCTCTGGTCCGAGCAAGTCGACGACACCGTCGTCTCGTCCAAGATGTGGCCGCGCGCAGCGGCCCTCGCCGAGCTTGTCTGGTCGGGGAACAGGAACGCGGCGGGCGTAAAACGCACCACGGAGCTGACGCAGCGTATCCTCAACTTTAGAGAGTATCTCGTGGCGAATGGCGTCCAGGCTACGCCGCTGGTGCCCAAGTACTGTCTGCAGCACCCGCATGCGTGCGATCTGTACTATAACCAATCGGCGATTTCTCCCTAGGCTTGTCTAGGAGGGTGGAGATGCCAGAGGAGTGTATATAGCACGTACGATTTAATATAGATATCTAGTATATTAATAGCTTGTGTCTTGTGTTCAGTATACTGGCATGATGGGCGTAACGTGCAAAAATGTGGGAGCCGAGGCACTGTTCCTTCGTCTCCTCTCCCTCTCAACAATCGCAAATCTCGCAATTCGCAGTATTTCCAGTCCCATCTTTGATCTCATAATTACTAAACCACATTATATACACCTTAAACCATTACATTCTTATGAATCTTGGCCCAATGTATCATGTTCCAGCGCTCTGTTCACTTATCAGTCTTGTATGCTGAAGAACTAGATGCTAGGTACGAGACGGCTGTTTGGCTTGGATATGCCTATAGTACCCAATTTCGAGCATCGAATTGAATACCGACGAGTTTCGAAGATCAATACGGAAACATCCAGAGCCTGGGGTAGTTTGGGGCTGTGGCAGGGATCAGGTGATAGAGTATTCGAGGTTAGGGTGGTGAAAGGAGAGGAGAGGTAAGGTGGGGAGAAGGTATAGACGGGATGCTTTGATCTGGTACAGCGTGCTGGTTCGGAGTGCTACGCAAAGAATGCTGTTAAATATTCCAGCGAGAATTTCTGTACCTTGTCCCATCCAGGATGCCCGAATATTCAATCACCTTCAGCCTCTCCACCCTTTCCAACCGTGCCAGAAATCCAGGCCTCCAAGATCCCCGCAATCTCATCACTATTCTTCTCCAAGAACATCAGATGTCCATTCCCATGGATTTCCCTATCACTAAGCTTCAAATGCTCCACCTTCTCACAGCCTGCCTGCTCCAAGAACAACTTGAAACTATGATCATACGTGGCATGATAACTCGCCTCTGCCGTTACGATCAAGATCGGGACCTCTCTTAGGTTAGTCAGCTGCTTTGCTGGTTCTTCCTGTAAGATACAATCAATCCTGCTCTCGTCGCTGGTTGGGATTGTTTTCATGGTTAGAGGCGCGGTGGAGTCCGTAGGTGCAGGGTCGTACGTTAACGGGATGGAAGTTAGACCCCAAGGTCGGGTGAACCGGGTCGAAAAAATGGCTTCGCGGAATGGGGGCCCTTTAGGCTCGACTTGAATGAGGGCTTTGATGAGACGAGGCCGGGCGTCGGCAATGGACCAGCCGTAGAGCCCGCCTGTAGAATGAGTCAGGACAATCGCTGGGCCAGATTTGTCGAGGAGTGCAATCAAGGCATTGCGCATGTTAATCTCCTGGAATGCCTGGTTGGTTGGGACTGGGATTATGGAAGTGTAGTACTTGTCGAAGATTGGGTCGCCTATCATGCCTGACTGGAGAGAGCAGATTAGGATCTGGAAATGAGCCTAGGGACAGAGAACTTACGCCAGGCCATTGAGTATGAAGGTGTGCTTGGGGCCATAAAGAGAAGTTCTGCACTGCGGTAAAGCGTTGTTGGACGTACTCTGCTGGGAAAGCAGAGTAGGAAACGTTGCTTTTCGGGTTCAATGGTGAGCGACCTGTTGCTGTGTGGTCGATTAGGTAGACTTCGTAGCCATGCTCTAGAAACCAGGAAGCCCAACCATTGCCACCGTCTGGCTTGTTTAACCAGTTCTAATTGAGGTTATTGTTGTTCGGCAATAGTGACTAAGGGACGGCGGGTACTTACAGTCCCGGATTGGCCTCCGCCTTGGATGAAGATTATGGGATAGGGCCTTGTGCATCCACAACTTGGCGTAAGCTTTTCAACATACATTTGGCCTTCCATAACATGCCCTAGTGCTGTTTGATGGTAATCTCCTCCCACGTAACAGTATGAGCGAAGATGAGGCGTCTCTTGGCTTTCAGCCATGCTGGCAGAGGTTTTCAGAGATACCTTTGACAGTGAACCTGCCTCTGGAAATTTTAATATAAGTCAGATAATCTGCAGACTTTAACGTAGAGACCGACCGTCCCAGGCAAATGGAAGTCAAGTGAGAGACACTCAGACAGATATAATAGAGTGATAGAGCTTTCCGCAGATTCATGTACACAAGCATTTCCAACATCAGAGATTCAAGAGCCAACAAAGAAATAATATATAAATGATCAATTTTTTTTTGGCACTTTGAAAGGCATACTCAAGTAAGAGGCCAAAACATTCGTGTACTTCAGACACAATTGCCAGTGATATTCACGGCTGTTATTTGAGGATCTTCCAACCTGTTACCTGACAGAATGCACGGTGTAAATGACCAACAGCGATTTGTTATCTTGAGACACATTCCCAATACAAAATTGCATATAGAGTCATCGCTTGATCGACGTGCTTGGATGTATTATTCCCCAACAGAGGGTTGATAGAGGAGGAGGTTGTGTTCTCTCTGTGCAGAGTAAAACATAGCACGGACCTTGTCAGAATAAGGTTATCCGAAGATCAGCCACCCGAGGATCAGACGGCGCTAGTAAATCTAGAGAACTCCTTGACCCAATCTCTCCTTTCCATTTCCCATCATAGTCGTAGACGAACTTAGAATGCTGCTGTTTAAGTAAACACGCAGTGTGTCTGAAGTACAAGGAGGCTTTCATGATGCCACTCAGGCAAAGACAGCCTCGTCATCAAAATTCTTCGTTCACCGCGAAACCTCCCTGAATCAATCACGTGGCACGTGGCCTGCGACTGATGCTTTCGAGAGTGGTTGTGCTGCAAGGCAGCTAGTAGGTGTTAGCAACACCTAATTTACTACTCTCCTCATCTCCCCCCATCCCAGTCTAAGTTCCTGTCCAAGCAGCAACTGAAAACACGTCACCTAAGGCACAGCATTCCTTCCTGACGTGCGGAATCTCCATCTTCCACAAGATCACTCTTCACCAGCAATTCGGGGAGTGGAGAATTACGTCTCTCACATCTTTCCTTCCTACTCTTTGATCAATTCCACTCTTTTCAACCTTACAAACAAACACCATAAAACAGACGTTTCTGCTAATCATCTGGTATGCCACTGATCCTGCCTCTGCGCAAGTTCAATCTCTCCTGCTATCTACCTTTCAACCCTCTTTGTTCTACTCCTACACGGTTGTCCCTCTCTACTGGCTTTTGAGCTGTGGCAGCTACCACTTCACTTGGCGTTGACATTCTTCATCCCCTGCTGGTATCCTTTAAGAGCCCAACAGTCGCTGACGTACTGATCTTGAAGTCTGTTCTAGCAATGGAAAACCCGTATTTGAAGCCCCTCCTGCTAGAGGGTGATACATACATCTTTATCAACTATCCGATTGGTGTCGAGCTCTACCATCCAACCGGTTCCTACATGCCGGTGATGACACACAGGGTGAACAGCGCAGCACTCCTTGCAACCGGCTCTGCCATGTTCGAGAAGCTCCTGGGTTACGGACAACAGCAACTCTTTCGAAAGCAACACAGCTTCTTCTCCAAGGATGCGCTTCCTTCAGGGATTAGGTATGTTATCGATTTGACGCCATCAGAGGCGGGGGAAGAGGGTGTAGGTCTCATGACAATGCTGTCCTGTTCCTTGGGGCTCCGGCATTGGGCTTTGACATCAGTCAAATGTGGCATTGACTACAGCCTTGTTGGAGGTAAAGACGTGTTTGTCAATTTCCCCAATGATGGTCAATACTCGAAGATCCAATCCGAATACTGTCCAATTAGGCATCGTTTTGGGGTTGAGGAGTTATTGCGTACAATTGTTGGACAGGGACCAACACTGGATTCTGCTCCGAAGGTTTGGACCTTGTTTGCACTCTCCAAGTACTTCGAGTGTACTGCACTGGTGGTAAGTCTCTTACCCGCTTTAATCGACTTACCTTGCTTACTTTCATAGGCTGAACCGATTGTCAAATGGATGTTAAGCAACTATCCCATCATCGAGATCCTTCCCGAAGTGAGCTATGAGATTGGCTTAGGCCTTAAGAGCCAGATCATAACTCGCTCTGCCTTTTCCGTTTTAGTCTCCGAGGCCGCCTTGAGCGTTGTCTCTCGCAGGAATCAGAAATTCGACGCTGATGATGCCCATACAAATCAATTCGGTCGTGCTAGAGAAAATGTCGATAAGGACGACCTCAAAATGATCGATGCGGCGGCTGTCACTTTTGAAAAGAGGATACGAGGTATCGTCGAGAATCTACTTGATCCAGAAATGGCCTGGTTCGAGCAGCTTCCCGAGTTCCGCAAGATCGGGACCTATGAAAAGGAGACCTCTTTCAAATTCGGAGTCCAAGAGGTTGTCAAGAGTCTTGTCGATCTCCTTCGCCACTATGTTCGTGGCCGGATTGCTTCCGTTGGCACTCAACCGCTTTGCAGGGCTGATAGGAACAAAGCCAATACCCATCGCCGCGACGAGCAATACCTGAAGCCTTACGATGGCGATTTTGCGACGTTCTATGATAACCTGACCGAAGACGAGAGGTTCTTTACACGTTTCTACTGGAAGATGCTTAGTGAGATGGACTGGAAGGCGAGCTTTGATACGAACAACATCCTCCATAGTTACTATTCGGAACGACGCGCTGTTCAAAACATCCATCTTGCGGAAACTAGGGGCATCGCGGCAGCCACCTTTGTTCAGGTTGCGAAGGCTGGCGATGATCTTAACGATACTATGGTGAGGGATATCAAAATCGGCAATGCCTTGAAGCCCGTGACTACTGAGAACCCCTTCAATGGCTTCAATGATATCCCATTCTTTTCCACTGCAGTCTTTTTATCCCAGGTCCACGCCTATATTCATAGACTCTGCGAAACCATGTTGTCGGCGGATCCGTCCTTTTATTTCCGTGACTTCACTGATACAATCGTTTGTCTTACGCACGAGGAATTCAAATACCTTCCCCTCTGGGCTGACGAGAACAGTGACTTCCAAAAGATTGTCCCTGTTACCGCCGGTTCCACTTCCCACGTCGAATCCAGCACGCCTCCCGAGACGATCAGTCCTGTTGCTTTTAGCAAAGATGGTGAAATTACTGAGATGAGTTCCAACATCAGCGTTCCGTTGGATAATGGGCGCGGTGATGATGCGGGTCCTCAGGATGATGATATCACCCTCTTCCCGGATGAAGCCACCGAATCCAAAGGAGAAGGCAATAAAAAGGGTAAAGAATCCGAGACAGATGAGATGGAAGCTTATTATGAATACATGATCGCATTCTCAGACGACGAGTACGACGAAGAGTTTTCGCTGAACAATTGATGAGTTATGGCTAGAGGAGGTGTTATGGATCTTTGTTCATAGAATGGAATGTTGTAGATTAGATTATCACGAATGATACCCTGTGGATGAACCTTGATTTACGGTCCAGCGGCAACTTTGCAAGTAGAAGTAACGACTTCCAAGTAGCAGTGGCGAGTGTCACGTCACGGCTGTCAGAACAATGGCCATGACATGTCAAGCTGGGATATAATGCTACAGAGTATAGCAAAGAGGTGGCGACATAGTGGGGCTTCTCTCTTGTCTTTATGATGCTGGCCTGTCCGGCTCTTCCGAGGAAGGGACTTGACTTGGCATTGAGCGGGTGTTTATGGCTGGGACGCCACTCGTTGCGGCGAGTTATTGCGCTAGCAAGTGTGTGGAAAGGGGTCGCGTGAGGGAGCTTTTGATATTGAGGCTGAAGGCACAGATGCGTGAAGTGAAGATAAGAGAGGGAACAAGCCTCAGGATAGGTATGTATATGTATGCATGCAGATACCTACCTAGATATCTATACATATCTACCTAGGTATAGATAGGTCCTAGATAGATACAGTACAGTATATGAGCTACGTGTATATAAACTTGTATTCACACGTATACATCTCGTCCTTCATGCGATGGATACCTAGGAGCAGCTTCAAAAGGGCTGGATCACAACAGAGCCAGAGATGCTGGATATTAGCACGATACCTTAAACACCGGGTTATACTTAAAATAGCTATTTATGATCTGCCGTAAACTCAAACCAGCCAAGTCCCCTGCAGCCCCCCCTTTCCGCATGGGTATTATCCACTGCATATACGGTATTATCCCTGTACTATCCCGTGTACCGTATTATACGGTGTATATCCGTAATCATCCGCCAGGTCTCGCCCCGCCTCTGGCCAATCACAGTGCACATCCGCCGAATCCTTTCCAACGGTGGAGCGACGAAGATCAACGTCTGTCTTCTCCCTTTTCCCTGAACCCTCTTCTTCTCCCTTCGATAGAAGACAGATTCACCATTCATTGCAACGACTGTCGAGGGCATCAATAGCCTCGCTGCTCCCTGCTGTTTCCTGCTTATTGTTCTCAAATTCCAACCGCTGAACTGCTGCACGATTTCCTACAGAACAAACCCACTGGTACTCGGTGCCAATTACGCTCGTTAGAACAAGACTAGAACACACGCCATATCTCCAGCGATCTCCCGACTTTCCCATCCTCACCCCTAGTTCCGCATCTTCCGCCAGCCCAACGCGCCCTCGTCCTCAAAAAAACGCGTTCTCTGCCCATCTTCCCAGAGACTCCTCCACAGAACACCACCGATCGAGCCCTCCAGCCTTGGGCTTTGGAAGATCTGGCATCCTTTCCAGGAGAGGAGATCTCAACTGCTGATGCCAACTTTATAACCGGATATCCTTGTGTTTGAACAGATGGCTCCGGACTTTCGATTACGGCTGGGGAGATGTCTCCTGTTCTTGGTCGGCTTGGCATATACAGAAGCCTTCTACATTCCAGGTGCGTGTCCGCAGAGCCTCCTTCGGTGGCGCATCAAGGCAGAAGGGACTGACAAGACGTAGGGTGGTCGATCAAGAGCTACAAGGAAAACGAAGCAATTCCCCTTCTTGTCAACAAAGTTTATTCCGATAACACCCAGTTACAATATGCCTACTACGACCTTCCTTTCGTCTGCCCACCCACGGGAGCCCGCCATGAGGGCTCCTCACTCCTCAGCGGGCAGACCATCCCCCTAAATCTCGGCGAAGTCCTCCGCGGCGATCGAATCACACAATCCGATATCGAGCTCGTGATGGGTCAGGACCAAGAATGCAAGTTCCTGTGCACCAGAACTGTTACCAGAAAGGATCTAAAGCGCGCCAGAGAGATGGTCAAGGGTGGCTATGTCGCAGAGTGGATTGTGGACAACCTGCCTGGCGCGACGAGCTTCGTGACTGTAGACAAGAGTCGGAAGTACTATGCTGCAGGGTTCAAGCTGGGGTATACAGACGTCTCGATGAGTTCGGAGAAGCCTAGATACTACATAAATAACCATCTCACGATTGTCATTCGATACCGCAAAGCGCCTGGGAAAGATGGGGAGAGGGGCGGCAGGGTGATCGTGGGGTTTGAGGTCTATACGAAGAGTATTGGGCCGGGCAATGGATTGGAGAATGGATGTCCGGAAGATATCAATGAGGTGGAAGCACCGATGGAGCTATACCTCCCTCCGAATACGACAGATATGGCTCTTCAGTATCCGCACTCGTCCTACTACCCCCCGGAGAGCGAGCAAGACATCGAGGATGGCGCAACGCTCAACATCCCGTATACATACTCGGTTTACTTCCGCGAGGACGACAAGATAGAATGGTCGCATAGATGGGATCTATACTTCGTAAATCAGGAAGATGGCTCCAGGATTCACTGGCTGGCAATAATCAATTCTCTGATTATCTCTGGGTTGCTGAGCTCGATCGTAGCTATGATTCTTGCCCGAACCATTCGAGGGGATATTAAGACGTACAAAGACGCTTCAGCAGAAGAAGGATTCAAGCAGAAGCGACGTTCGCGCCCAGGTTCAGGGGCACGTACGCCCAGACCGGGTGAGAAAACAACCGGGGGACTTCTGGAGCAAGTCGGAGATACCGAGAATGATGCAGATATATCCTCAGATGAAGAAGCGCTGGAGGAGGCTACGGGATGGAAATTGCTCCATGGCGACGTATTCCGCGCTCCTGCGTACGGCTACCTGCTCGCACCGCTGATCGGTTCGGGCATGCAGCTGGTCTTTATGGTCGTTGGGCTTCTCTTCCTCAGTAGCCTTGGGGTTTTGAATCCGTCCTTCCGCGGCGGATTCATGTCCGTAGGCATCGGTCTCTTCGTATTCGCCGGTGTCTTTTCAGGATACTTCTCCGGACGGGTCTACAAAACATTTGGCGGTGTGAACTGGCGAAAGAATACCCTCATAACTGCTACACTATTCCCGGGTCTGCTCTTCGCCCTGGTATTCATCCTGAACCTTTTTGTCTGGGCGCAGGCCTCTTCGACCGCGCTCCCATTTGGTACACTAGTCGGCATCGTCCTTCTCTGGCTCTGTATCCAATTACCCCTGGTGTATTTTGGTTCCTGGTTCGGTTATATACGCACCGGTCCCTGGGAACACCCCACGAAAACGATCGCGATCGCACGGCAGATCCCGGTGCTCCCGTGGTACATTCGCACGCCGCAATCCATCCTCCTCGCCGGCCTGATCCCATTTGCGGTCATCTTCATCGAGTTGCTTTTTGTCTTCCAGTCCCTTTGGCAGGATAAGTCCGGCTACTACTACGTCTTCGGCTTCCTATCGGCTGTCTGCGTCATCCTCATCCTGACAATCGCCGAGGTCACCATCGTGACCATCTACATCAAGCTCTCGGCGGAAGATTACAACTGGTGGTGGCACAGCTTCTTCGTCGGGGGCGGCAGCAGCATCTGGGTGTTCTTGTATTGCATCTGGTACTATTTCACGAAATTGCATATTCAGGGCTTCGTCAGCGGCCTGCTTTTCTTTAGTTATAGCTTCATGGCGGTCTGTGTTTATGGACTGTTGACGGGCACGGTGGGATTTTTGACAGCGTATGCCTTTGTTAGAAGGATTTATGGGTAAGTCTTCCTCTCCATGTTTCTCCCACCTTTCTCCTCTTTTTTGAAATCAATGAACTAACACGCAACCAGGGCCATAAAAGCAGACTAACGAACGATTCCTACAAAGTTGGCATGGGCGGACACAGGCTGGAGTTGAAGAAATTTGGAAACTGATCGATCGGGAACACATGAATGCTAATGTTTTTTTATTTGTCACTCCCTCATTGTCCCCCACCGCCGTGTTCCATGTCCGGGATGTAATCTCCTGTGTTAAGTGACAAGAGTGTTTGGATTTATGACTACCTAGGTAGGCATTCTAGGGAGGGAATCCTAGAGGCGAGTTTTGCACGTTTATATCTAACTGGGTAAGAAACCGCCATGCCAGCGAAAACGCCTCCCGAGGACGAATACACGTACCTAGCCATCTTCGCCTTGCCTCTCCATAACTATCTCTCATGACCCCTTTTACATCCCACCCCTCTACTCACGCATGCTCACACCCCCTCCGCCTTCGCAAGCGCAATGCAACTAAATCTCAGATCCCCGCCTCCACTTCTCAGCTCCAGATCTATAACCCTCTTAAGCCCAAGCGCCAGCGCGCGAGGACTTAAGACATCGTCTTCCTCAGCCAAGGCGCCGCGGTCTAGTGGCCGTTTCTGCAGTGTGTCAGCGCTTGTATGCTGGAGGATGGGTTGGGAGAGGGATACGTACCCTATTACCTTCCAATTCCCAAAGTCGGCCGTCCTCTTTCACGAAAGCGACAAAATGCTGTCCTAGTCTAGTATTTATCAGCTTTTCCCCCTTTCTTTCCCCACGTCCTTACAAGAGTCAGACAACGTACCTATCACCATCCTCCGCGCTTGGCGCCCTGGTATCCCCTAATTCGGCTACACTCTGATGTGCATCTTCAAACTCCCGATCCTCATAGAGTAGCTGCGCCCTCGCGTTTACATCTAACGGATTGGCGGTCTCGCGGATACGTGCCAATATTGAGTTGGGTAGGATGTGGGCTTTTGCGGGCCCGTTTAGGAGACAATGTAAGAGACCGATAGAACCGCAGGCGTGGCCGATGGTTTGCGGGAAATAGAGGATAGGTCCTGTTTTGTTAGGTAGGTAGTTAGTTCTCTTGTAAAATCCTCTTGGAAAATCCCACCAAGTGATATATAACAACCTGAAAAGAAATATAGAGGGAAAGACAAACCACCAACTCCCCCCTCCTTCTCCCTCCCCTCATCCTCTCTCCTCCGTTCCTCATCCCACGCCCTCGTCAAAGGCAGAATAACCAATAGCGCATAGACCGGTCTCGGGATCAACGCCAGCAATTCCTCATCATCGAGAGAATACACATCATAGAATCTAAGGGTAGGCTCGAGACCGAGTTTTTTAGCGAGAGCATTCATCACTTCTGGATTGTTCTCTGCGGGATGTTAGAGAGGGATGGAGAAAAGAGGGGGGCGGAGTACCAAGGACGGTGAAGGTTTTCTTCCCATTGATGATTTGGGCTGGAGGGGCCAGTTTTTTTGGGAGTTTGCTTTTGGGGGTGGGGCTGCTTGGGAGATGTCGGGAGGGAGATTGGGATTTGGATGGAGAGAAGGTGATTGTTGTTATTGTCATTAACCTCGAACACAAGGCCGAGGCAGCAGCGATGACGAGGCTGGGTAAATGTGAAAGACACCGAGGGATGATACAACCCTGCTGCGATTTGTAGGTATGTTTATGAGCTTATATATTTGTGTGTTATGATAGGTGCTATACACATCAGTATGCATGCCCTCTTATCTCCTTTCCTTTTGCCCCCTTCTCTGAGCTCTCTTTTATCAACCTCTCAATGTCTCAACATCACTCAATCCCCACAAACCACATATCTGCAACAGAAAGAAGATCACCCAAAAGCTCCCATCTCAACAACAATCCCACAATGCCTCTACGCGCTGGTTTGTTTGTTTCTTTGATCATTGTTGGATGACTCTTCTTATTGTGGTGTATAAGGTAGGATCGCGAGGCTGGATCTGGCGAGTGACGCGTATAGCATTTAGGGAAACCAGTATTATGCCAAGACCCCGAGTCCATGGCAAGGCATTTATGAGGAATATCGACTCGGGAATAGGGCTTGCTTTGATGGAGGAGCACGAAGATATGGGTGAGAAGGAAGTGGAGATACTCGGAAGAAGATGGGAGGTATGTAATTAATTCCAACTTTAATGTCTTCCAAACTAACCAGCACGTACTACTTTACTCATTGCAATGCTAGCTTTGTGGCAAAGGCTTTGGAGGATGTGGTAATCATGGTTGGTCGTGAAGGGGCCATGGAGCCAATGGAATTCCTTCCACTGTGGTTCCGCTGCGATCTTGAGAGCATTCCACTGACAAGTTGATTGAGTCTGGATATTTGCTATTTCCAGGCATAGCCATGAAGATGAACTTTGTCAGGCCTTCTGGACATGCTCTTATACCATAGGGGTTGTCATGCTTCTCTTGATTTCTCAGCGCTTGCTCTTCTTCTTCTTCTTTTTGTTTGGCTTCTTCGCTCCGGACCCTGGCGCATGTGTGGGAAACCGTGTTGCGTGTTCAACATCGAAAGCAGGTTTGTGGCGTCTGAAAAGTAGCATGGTTGTACGGGCATCCTCAATACTCGAATGTTCCCCTTCCTGAATATCAATTCCCAGGATCTCCTTTGCCAGCTTCTTCAAACTCGGCGCCCTCCCTGCACTGTACTTCCTGAACCCCGAAAACCTGGCCGTATCTCGTATATCCTTCTTGGGGTGCCCCAACATCATTGCATCCAGGTCGTTCTTGATCGCATGTCCTACAATAATCCTGTCCTTCAATATGGCCGCGACGTCCGCCTGTACTTCCTCGAAACTTCTTGCGGTTGCCATGTCCTTCGGAGAGACACCGCTGACATGTGTCCTCCAATCTGTAACAAACTCTTTTGGCCGTACAAAAGAATCATAGACTTGGGTACCGTGGAAGTTGACGATGCTGACCCGTGCCAAAACCGATCGATCTTCTTCCCCACCAACTCCCACCATCTCACAATCGATGCCAATGTATTTCCCAATCTCCACGTCTTTTGATAGCCCTCCATTGATGACATCTGCCTTGGCTCCTTGGATAGTTGCGCCCTTTATACTCCCTCCATATGCTTCTACCAGATCCTTGGCCGAGATGTCGTTTTCTTCAGCCCAGAGAGCCAAAGACGCAGATGGTGCCGAGGCCGTTGATTTTGTTGCTTCCGCTGGTTCCGCCGCCTCAGTGCTGGTCCCATTTCCCATTTTGGCCTTCTTCAGAGTTCTTGTCAACGGTGCCTTGACCGGATTACCTTCCAACCTCCTCCGCTTCGCAATAGTGTTCTGCTGTCTTTCCGTCGGTATTGCTTTTCTCTTCTTCTCTTTGCTTGTTGTAGATTCCTGCTTTAACTGCGCCTGCAGTTTCTTCCAATTACTCGACAGTTCGGGGGCCATTCCGTTGTGTTATCGAGTCATCTGGACGCTGCCGTTAAATGCTGGGCACAGCAGGGAATTACAACGATAAGAAAGGGGTTACAGTGTGTACCTAGGTAGGTATATTTTGAGTTTCCCCGGCAGAAAAATTTAGCGACAAGGCTCTGGACTTCAACGCTAAAAGCCGCCTCTTCAGCCTTGTCAGCCCCTCTGGAATTCAACAACTTCTCAGTCGCGATCCATCAAAAATCCATCCTTTTCCATCGGATCAACAGCGACCTATCATCATGGCAGGCGCAGGACAAGGCCAGGAAGCGTCTGTGGGGTCACCGGCGCCCAAGAAGAAGGGGCTGGCGACCGTTGATACGTTGAGGTGAGTGCGGCGATTGTCACGGCGCGAGAGTTCCAGGCTGACTTTGGGTACAGGGTCGGATGTGTCGCTATGGTTATGAAGGTGAGCCTACTTCTACAATCCCCTGCATACCCTCTGGAGCGGTTGATTTTCCCTCTCCATTGCGGTGCATCAGAGTTTCTTTCCCTCAAGATCTAGTGGATCGATGCTAACGACGGTTCCCAGGATGGTGGCTACAGACGAGCAGAAATCCTGAGTATAAAGGAGACGAAGAGCGGCCGGCAATTCTACTGCAACTTCGACAACTTCAACAAACGTCTAGACGAATGGGTCCCCACAAGTCGAATTGATTTCACTCGAGAGGTGGAGTGGCCCAACCCCGAGAAGCCCAAGGATGCAAAGAAATCCGGCCAGGCGGCGAAAAAGTCAACAACTGCCCCAAAAAAGGGACAAAAGCGACCAACTGCTGCTACCAGAGAAACATCTGTAGCCTCGGAGGGAGGTACACCGCGCCCATGGACAGAATTTCCGGGATCCCAGAAACAGAGTCCTGGCTCGCCGGATGAGAAACTTACACTTGGCTTGGACTTGGATGCGACGCCCGGGGTGGAAGATGATGATGCTATGGATGTGGACGGTGCTGTGGCCTCGGCAGTATCAGCGAAGGCCGAACCTCAGGAGCATTTCAGTCGCGAGGAAGAGATTGAGAAACTACGGACAGGAGGATCCATGACACAGAACCAGGCCGAGATCTCGAGAATACGAAATATTTCCAAGGTCCAATTTGGGAAATATGACCTATACCCGTGGTACTTCTCACCCTACCCTGAAATCTTTACCCAGGAAGATCTCCTTTATATCTGCGAGTTCTGCCTCTGTTATTACGGGGATTTCAAATCCTTTACACGCCACCGCCAAAAATGCACGCTCCAGCACCCCCCTGGGAACGAAATCTACCGGGATGATTATGTTTCCTTTTTTGAAATCGACGGTCGGCGCCAAAGGACATGGTGCCGCAACCTCTGCTTGCTGTCCAAAATGTTCCTTGATCATAAAACTCTTTACTACGACGTGGACCCTTTCCTCTTCTACGTCATGACCACACGAGACGACAAAGGCTGCCACCTGATCGGCTATTTCTCTAAAGAAAAAGAATCCGCTGACGGCTACAACGTGGCCTGTATCCTGACTCTGCCGCAATTCCAACGCAAAGGCTACGGGCGCCTGCTCATCCAATTCTCCTACGAGCTCTCCAAGATCGAAGGCAAGCTCGGCTCGCCAGAGAAGCCTCTGTCAGATCTCGGACTCCTCTCCTACCGCCAGTACTGGACGGAGAACCTGGTCGAGAAGCTCCTGGAAGAAAATGCTAAGGGCGCGAAGTGCAGTATCGAGCAGCTCTCGAACTATCTGGCCATGACGCCCACGGATGTGGAGAGCACTCTGCAAGCGCTCAAGATGCAGGTCTATCACAAGGGCGAGCACAAGATCGTCCTACCGACGCATCTCATCAAGCGACATGAGGCGATGAAGGAAAAGCAGAAGACGAAGCCGAAGAGGGCGATTGATCCGGCGAGGATACAATGGAAGCCGCCTGTCTTCACGGCGAGCACGAGGACATGGGGCTGGTAGTTTTGGAGGTCGGTCGGCAAATGGTGGCGTCTGGTGGTTGGATTGGCCTTTGGTGTGGCCTTTGGGTTGAGGCGTTGGTGGACAATAAAGGTTTTCTAACTATGTCTAAGCTCTATAATGAGCTCCCGATCTTGATGATACTGTACATACTTTGACTAAAGTATCTAGGCTCCATATGTGAGCCCGCTTTATTCCCTCTGATCTCCTCCCTTTCATGCTTCGGTCCCTCGCTCATAGCGGGTCGGTGGAGACCAGATTCGTCATAGCACAGGAACAAGGAAGGGAATGGATGGGCAGACGATTGAATTTGTAGAGGCCTTCTACCAAAGTCATGACTCGAAACTGTATAATTATAATCTCTATGTTAATTTGAGTAAAATAGCTAGAGAGGCTTATCATAAGAGACTGCCGGTAGATAGGAGGGGCACGTCTTATTATCTTGTCACCGCCATTTTCTGCCGAGGCCGTCCTTTATCACCAAGCGATTTCCGGGGCAAACTGTGGGGAACGGGAACAACGCGGGTCGTTAACCTTTCGCCCACGGAACCCTTGCTTCAACTGCTCGCGTGCTCCCCTCCCCCTCCTCTTCTTCACATCCCCATCCTCCCAACAACTCCTGTCCGACTCTCTCAATCCCTCGATTCGATCCGTCTATCACAACCACAGCTTCAATTACCATTATCGTGAGGGTATCGGTGCCACAATTCCCAACCGGAACAGCGGAAGCGTTCACAACAAAGGAGCTCTTACATCTGCATACCCGATCCTCTCTCGCCACTCCTCGAACTACCTATACATATCCACCACAGCAGTGAAAACTGCCCAGAACTCACAATTCCGACCCCCTTACGTCTACTCTCGCTATAGGAGATAGTGTCTCCAATCAAGCAAAGCAAGCAAAGCAAACATGCCGCCCGCTCGAGGCTTTGTCGCGTACGCCACCCCTCTGCCTCCCAAACCCCACATATATCTGGCTTAAGAGAAAGGAAATTGCTGACCTGCACGTGTACCAGCAAGCAACGCACACCACTCGTCATTGCTGCCTGTGTGGGCGCAGGTAGTGTGTTCATTGGCTTGAAATGGAGAGCTGTGATGCAGCGGAGCGAGGAAGCAAAGAGGGCGGCGGGTAAAAATATCAATTATACGGTTGCGCCTGGGAGAAGCGGTTCGTCTTTTCTCCTTTTCCCTCTTCTTCATTCTTCCCTCTCGCATTTTTACATTCTTGTTATTTGAACCCCATTTTATAGTATTCCGTTTGCCTTGTTCTCTTTGGAGTCAAATGAACTACGCTATTGGGGGAACCCTTGCTTACAATATTTTCATCCAGGAGGCGGCATTTAACTCTGACACAAGGACCTCGGAATGGGAGATAGGTAAAGAATGATATAGAATATGGGAGAAGAAGCGGAGGCGAGATAGATAAATAGAAAGACCACCATATGTATACCAAAGGTTGGAATGCCCCGTGTCGGGGATATACCCTTCTGTCGGGTTGGCGGCGGGCTCTTACTTTCGTTCTAGGATGAGAAATCAATCCAACGTCCAGATGTCGATTCAGTATGAGGACCTACGTCAATATATGTGAAGATTTGTGCACAGGGCGAATCACTCTCCTACTAATGCAACTATACGTATCATCAGTCGTGTTCAGCTAGGAGAAAGATCCTTACAATCCTCAAGCAAAGAAATATCTTCTTGTCCATGGTCCGGGTAAGGATCAGGACACAAACCATAGTCTTGATACGAATCCCCGAGGACTACGCTCTGCCCGGGAGAAAACAGACCGCCCACCAGCGCCCATCATAAACAAATTAGCTACATTCTGGGATGAGATTCTTTAACTGATTCCAAGATACTTCGATTCCGCCGGAGCAAGCTAGCTAGCTAGAGCAGAGTCCGTCGATTCAGATGAATGATGTGAAGGAGGAGGAAGACTCCAACGTCTCTCTCGTTCGCTTACAACGAATGGAAAACAATGCCTGGCGAATCCTGCTTAATAGATTAGAAGTCAACGATGATTGATGCATTGCAACATGATATTATCGTGGTTAACAGATCTAATATTCAATAAACCCTATAGATCTAAGTATTTTTGTTTCCTTCCGCTTCAATCAAATTCAGCGATATATGTATGTATGTATTTTGAAAAACTAGTGGTTTTCCAAGATCTCTCTAATCGGCTCAGAATCCACGGGTATTAGCTATTGACTAGCCGTACTCCATGGCAATCTCGATCGCCGCGGGTCCTTCTGATTCCGTAGCTTCGCTCTCTATCCTTCTTATGTACAACCCTCTGTGTAGTAGGTACCTTACCTATTCACAACCCGTTAGCCAGCCATATGACGCATATCAGCATATAAACAAACCGACAGAAACACCACCCCTTCATTCATCAACACTTGTATTCTTAAACCAAGCCATCATCTACCTATCTATAAACCACAGAAACAAAAAAAGTCAACTCAAGTAAATGAAAATAAAAGCTTATTACAACCAGTTTCGACAGCGAATTTCAGGGTACCTCTTTCGCTAATCCTCGCCTAAAATCCCAGGGTCCCCCCTATTTCACCATATACATGGCGAGGTGATCGGATCAAGATGTAGTCGTTGAGAATAATACCCTACCTACCTTACCTAGTTAGTTAATACTTCGTTGTTGAAGTAAGCAATTAATCTCTAGATATGATGGGATGCGAGGGGGTGATTGAGAAATTTGGAATTTGTCTTTCTTTGCCCCCTTTTTCAAAGAGAGGGAGGGAACAAGGCTATGAGAAATGAATGAATGAGTCGGGAGAGCTAAGCTGTCTCTATCTTCACACTCTCTTCCTACAATAAATCTTAGATAAGTAATTTAAAATAAAAAACAAAGAGACAAGCCCCCCAAAAAGGAAACAAAAACAAAAACAAAAGAAAGACATACAACAGTAGGTAGGTATTCGCTAATCGTCACCGACTTAACTACTAATCTACCGATTCGAGGCTCAGACGGGATGGCCTGGTTTCCTCGGTCTATGGTCATATGTAGTAGGCTTTTTTTGTATTTGGGAGATAGATGGTGATGGTTCTTTTGGAGAGTGGGGGAAGGAGAGGGGAGATGATAGTGGGGATTCGTTAGGTATTCTATATAGCAATCAATGATGCAAAAGCGCCTAGATGATTGAGGGTCTTTGACAAGACAAGCGGTTTGATGACGTGGAGATACAACGGCTTGTGCCCCGGAGGGATGGTGTTATTTATGATGGGAAATAGATATCTTATGCCATGTGACCCTGCTACATACATCTCGATGGGTCCGTCTAGGTACCTATATCTAGATTGAATACAAGCATCTCCTCTCATCTTTGAAACGCACCAAAACGCCGACCCGAAAAAACGCCAGTCCATGCAATTGATGCCGACAACGAGTAGATGATAAGTCAACCTCTAAATGCCTAGCCATGTCTTTCCCCTCTCGTACACATAAAAGCTAACCGCGACCATCGGTATAACCTTCACATAGCCGATACTCAGCCCTACCCAGTATCCCCTAATACCTTTCTCCTTATATATCATCCTCGCTGTCTCGCTCAGGTGCAATCGGCGTCCATCCCCCACAGCACCGCCAACTTGCATCCTCCTCCTAATGACTTCAAGCGGGTACGCGGACGTCTGGGATACCATTCCTGCGATGCCGCCTGCGAAGAGTTCTGCCCAGGAGCGCAAGGGCACTGGTTTATCAGGCGGGGAGTCAAGGGGCTTGGGGAGCGTCGTGTACTTTGAAATCATGTGGTGCCGCAGAATATCCCCCGCCGTGTCGTGCGTAAGGAAAGACATCCCCGCATAGGGTAACATGCCTAGGATCGTGGCCGAGAAACCCCTATAAAAGTTCGAGAGGCCGAACCTTGGCGTCACTGCATCTATGGTTTTGACAGTCGTCGCTATTACCACTGGTTCGCCAGATACGGGCCGCGGCGGGGGTGATCTCTCGTTGTATATCTTCTTGCAGATTGCGGAGAACGAGGAGCGACTATCGCGCTTCGTTTCGAATGCCAGTCGGACTCGGACGACTTCGAGTGGGTAGGTAAAGAAGACGCTTGTGACTCCGGCAAGGGAACCGGAGAGCAGGCGGCGAATTGGCGTTTCCTGATCTGGGTTGCGGATTAAGGCAGAGCGGATCTGTTCGTATGCTAGGAATTTGATAGCGGCGTAGGGGAAAATTCGCAGTAACGTTGCGGAGTGTCCGCGAAATAACCCGCGCGTTCCGTCGTCTCTGTAGATATCCTTTATGGCCGACACCACGCCGAACCATGATCCTGTATATTTGGCGAATTGGGGATTGCTGGCCTGGAAGAGGATCTTGACTCGGTCTAGAGGCGCTACCACTGTCTTTGCCTATTTCACCTTTGTATAAGTACTTGGGCGGGGATCCGTGGGGACGGGTGAACGTACGGCGCTCCCTGCCAGCCCTCCCGCCACTCCTGTCCGCCATATGTAATCCCAACTCTGCTTGTGCGGTTTCTTCCTCTTCGGGGCTATCGTATCATCGTCTGTCGGGCATATCGCAAGCTCCCTCTTGCGAGCTTCTGCTGCGGCGTCCATCTCTCGTGATTTGTCCTTAAGCATCGCAGGTGGAGAGGCATTGTTCAAGAGGGCCGGGGGCATTCCTCGCCGCCCAGCGGGCTCCGGGTGTATCTGCTGCTGGGCTAAAACCGAGTTGACATCGGGTGATGGCACAATTGGCAGCAGCAGGCGGATTCTAAAGAATTCAAAGGTGAAGCTGGCGAGGGCGGGGCGGAGGTTGGAGGTTGGAAATTGGGAGAAAGAAGTTGGCTTGCAAACCCTGAATGCGGAGTCGTGGATAGGAGCGGAGGTCGGCTTTGCCGAAGTATTTACGAGTTTGCCGCGGGACTCCGCCAGAGACGCACGGCAAAGCTTTTGTCCCGCCGTTGGCGATTTGATTTATCCGCACACGCCCTGCTTTGGCTCATCCGCTACGGGTCTCCTTCACTTGATATACACATCTGGAGTATGCTTCCGTCCATTGTTCTATCGATTACCAAGTGGCAATCGGCATGAAGCTTCTCACTATATTTTTGCCTGCCCCGTCTGACCATTGTTATATACGGGATAAAGACTCTGTTTACGATGTAACATACGCCCGCTCCAATGCCCTCCTCATGTTTGCTCTACCAAAACTCCCTGTCCACCGTCATCTTACTGGACATTCCTCGTTCTATCGAGGAGGCACAAGGTGACTCCTCTTTAAGGTTGATTTCCTCTAAGCCTTTGGAGCGTCCTTATCCATCCATTGAGCCGAAATCAGAGAAAGCAAGGAATAATGTCGGGGAGACCTCTTTGGATGATATGTTGCTTCAGAAATATCTGGAGTTTGCGCTGGACGAGGTGAGGCGTGAGTTGAAGGGAAACAAGAGCTGGTTATTACCTCGCATTACTGAAGAGGATGTTGATGTTCTCTCCTCTGAGAGAAAGAAGAAATATCCAAGACAAGACGCGTCTCCTAATAGGAACGCAAGCCTTTCCCTAAGTGAAAAAGAAAAAGAGTCAGATCATGAAGCACTTCATCTAGACGATTCGCTCTCAAACACCATCCACTATCACAATCGCCTCTCAGCATTTCTACATATCACACTCGGCCCATCTAAGGGCCGTGCAAGGATCCCCCCTAAATCCACCCTCTTACAAGGCGACATCGCATCAACCCTTGATACCTTCACCACCACTGCACCGCTCTTCAACCTCGTGGTCCTGGACCCACCATGGCCGAACCGGTCCGCACGACGGAAGAAATCGTATGGCATATCTTACGGGACGACGGAGATCAAAGATCTGTTGTCTGCCTTACCAATCGAAGCTCACTTGACTGAAAATGGGTTGGTGGCTGTGTGGGTGACGAACAAAGTCGCATTCAGAGATCTGTTACTGGGGGAAGGAGGGTTATTTGAGCAATGGGGCGTACAGCTCGTTGAGGAATGGGTGTGGTTGAAGGTCACCTCGGACGGGGAACCGATTTGTGCACTTGATTCTACGTGGCGGAAACCTTATGAGATACTTCTGATTGGGAGGAAACCTGGGAAAGAAAGGGAAGCGGAGAAGGGAGGAGAGGTGAAAAGGAGAGTTATTCTAGCGGTTCCAGATTTGCATTCGCGAAAGCCGAACCTGAAATCTATTTTTGAGCAAGTGATGGGGAGAGTGGAGGGAGACTATGAGGCTCTGGAGGTCTTTGCGAGGAACCTCACGGCTGGATGGTGGTGCTGGGGGAACGAGGTTCTGAAATTCCAGATGAGCGAGCATTGGAAGGAAGTAGAGCATTGATATCCCATGTTTCATAGCCCGCCAAACCACAAAGCAAATATTATACACCTTTAATATACACACCGGCCGATACCTATCATCGCTCAAGCTTGGGCAGTTGAACATCACGCTCAACCTCGATCTCCTCCCCCACATTCTCCCATTCGCTCCACTCACGTCTTGTATTCCCAGTCTTCCACTTCTCTTTCCCCTGCAATAATAACCTGGCCTGTTCCGCAATGCTCGCGCGTTCCTTCGTGGGGATCTGTCGGCCATCGGGTCTGAACTGTTTCTCGTTCTCCTCGCGCTCCTTCTGTGCGGCATCGAAGGTCTTCTTGTCCCACTTCTCCAGATCTGGGACTTCGGGCCACACAAACGGTCTCTCCATCTCGACCGTCATCTTCTTGATACTCCGCGGGCGGAACCACTTTCTGGGGCTGGGCCGTCGAGCACCGGGCTTGTCCTGTCGAAGCTTCTGTATCTGGATGTAGGAGCGCACGGAAGTGACGGGGATGCCATAGCAGTTCCAGAGATAGTCCCGCAGATCAAGCTTGTTGAGGTTCAAAGGAACGATGAAAGACGCGAAGGTGGGAGGGAGATTGGGGGTCCGCAGGAGGGTCAAGGTGAAGTTTGGCCTGGAGAGAGTTTGTTAGCTGGGGATAGACAATTGGGAGGAGAAAAGGGGGAAGTACAAGTATATCTCCTTGGTCCCCAGCTTGGGACCTTGGCGCACGATAGCTGAGGTTGCCATGGCTGCGGAGTTGGCCATATCAGCGGGGATAGAGATGGTGGACCTTGGATGAGGTTGTTGAAGCTTCACTAAGGTATATTTTTCAACCTCCGCGTATACTCGAATCGGGAAATAAACTGTGGCGCTAGTCGCGAAGAGGTATCGGGCCATCAACGATACCAGATCGGGCAAGCGCGGCGCTGAGTGGGCGGTAACCCGTGATATCCGGACTAAAGCAGCCACAGCACGGAGTTAAGCTTCGCCGTGAGGCTTGTGAACGGCTGGATGAGGCAATTTGTGGGCCGAAAGCCCCTCTCGTTGTGTTTGCCTGACAAATCCCCCCTCCATTGCCGCTACCCCTCCATCCTATCCTTTAGAGGCATTTCTCGAAGCTTCATTTCACACATTCTGCTTTTCCTCATTTTCGCATTTTCTACCTCTTCACCCATCTCTAATCGACCCTCTATCTTCTTCTTGATCTCCAAACCAAATAAAACATCATGGCCTCCAACCCTCCCGCCGCCTGCTGCACCGTCGGTGTCAAGCATGAGTGCGTCCCCCCCCTTTTAACCCACCAAATCCATGCCCGCATGCATATTGAAGAGTGACTGAGACAACAACAGAGGTCAGCCTACCGGAACTACCATCAAAATCGACAACATTGAGACCTATGTTGCCGAGCCCAAGGGCAAGATCGTCCACAAGGACACCGCCATTCTGTACCTCCCAGACGTCATCGGTATCTGGCAGAACAGCCAGTTGATGGCTGACCAGTTCGCCGCCAATGGCTACTACACCATCATCCCTGACCTGTTCAACGGCGACCCACTGTCCTTGAACAAGCCAGAGAACTTTGACTTCATGGCCTGGTTGACCAAGGGTTCCAGCGGTAACAACCCTCACACCTACGAAGCTGTCGACCCCATCGTCGAGAAGTCCATCAAGTACTTGCAGGAGAAGGGCTACAAGAAGATCGGCGCCGTTGGTTACTGCTTTGTGAGTTTCGCTTCTAATCATTGAGCCACTGGGAAATACTGATGATGAGTTACAGGGCGCCAAGTACGTCGTTCGCTTCATGCCCAAGGGCAAGGGAATTGACGTTGGCTACCTCGCCCACCCTTCGTACGCCTCCTTCTCCCTTTTCTTCTGCACCCCGCTAACATCCTTGCAGCTTTGTCGAGGAGTCCGAGCTCTCTCAGATCAATGGTCCTCTTAGCATCGCCGCTGCCGAGACGGACGAGATCTTCCCTACCGAGAAGCGCCACAAGTCAGAGGCTATCCTCATCGAGACCAAGCAGCCTTACCAGATCAACTTGTTCAGTGGTGTTGTCCACGGATTCAGTGTGCGATGCGACACCTCTAAGAAGATTGAGAAGTTTGCAAAGGAGCAGGCCTTCTTGCAGGCCGTTGCCTGGTTTAACGAGTGGTTGATCTAAATGCATGGTCGATATTCAAATAGGATAGGGGAAAACCAGCCGAGGCTGTAGATACCAGACAACTATGAAATTTACAAATATATTAAACCAACCATTTACATTTAATCCATTTCTTTCTTGGGTCTATTTCTATTTATTTCGTCTATGTCGTCTATGTCGTCTATTTTGTCTATTCCATCCCTTTCCGTCTATTCCTTGTCTATTGTCTATTCCCTCTATACCGTCTATACCCTTTACTACTCCCTCGTGTATCTTCCTTCTCAGGCCTTTCTGCGACTGAGCTTAATACATAGCCCATCCACCACTTGAGCTGATAGACTGTCCCGTAACCCATCTGCTATCCTCGCCAGCCAACCATGCAACAATAGCCGCAATTTCCTCCACCGTGCCGAGTCTGTGCTGCAATGGCGTGTTATTCTTCTGGATGTCGATAACTGCCTGCGGGATATTTTCCAACATGTCTGACTGCACTGGACCTGGGAGCACAGCGTTCACCGTAGTTCCGTTGTGTCCCAGCTCGGTGGCAAAGCAGCGCGTCAACCCCTCCACCGCAGCCTTCGACGAGCAGTAAACCGACATCCCGGAGAAGGCAGCGCGGGAGCCCACGGACGAGATATTGATGACGCGCGACGCAGCAGGAAGGTACGGCATCACGGCCTGGGTCATAAGGAGAGGAGCTCGGACATTCACATCGTAGACGCCAGCGAAATCCTCGGGGGTGATCTGGCCGAGAGGTCTGACGAGCTCGACACCGGCGTTGTTAACCAGGATGTTGATCTTGTCCTCCTTGCCCTGGCTCTTCAACCATTCTCTGGCGGCGGCGACGATGGCGGCTGGCGCGGTAGTGGTCTTTAGGTCTCCGCAGACGGCGACGGCTTTGGGTTGGTGGGGCAGGGAGGTGATCTTCTTAACGACTTCTTGGGCTTTGTCTGCGCTTCGGGGGGAGGAGTGGACGATTATGACCTGGAGGGAGGAGTATTAGGATCAGATTGTGGATGGGGGCACGGGCCGGGCGAAAGGAGGGGAGGGAAGAAACATACATCAGCGCCTCGGCTTCCCAACTCAAAAGCTATTCCTGCACCGATTCCGCGGGAGCCTCCTGTGACGAGGGCGGTCTTGCCTTTAAGAGTGAGAGGAGAAGACATGGCTGGGATTTGGCTGGGCCTGATGGTAAGAGGGAAAGGTGTCTCGGGTTCTTCTGAGTGAGATACGATAAGGATTTAAGTTAAGTGAAGGGGAGAAAGAGAGTTTATATAGAGTAAAAAAATGTGGGAAACGCCAAAAAGGGGATTCCTATTACAAAGAAAAGAACCAGATATCTATCACCGAAAGGGGATCAGTAATCCAAGATAGGAACTCTCCTGGAAGCCTTTGGGGTTTGATCCACCCTACTAAATGGCTTTAAATAATAGGCCGTAGGTACTGGGGCTACAGTTAAAATAGCAGGCAAAATGCATACTATACTTCCTACCTAGGTAGTAGTATTATATACCTCTGTATCGACGCTTGTCGGCCATGAGCGCTTCCATCAAGACGAGGGAAAGACGACGACGTCGTCTGTGACCCTCTTCGGCGATAAGATTGTCGAAAGTCGCCTCGCTTGTGAAGAAAGCTCTTGATTTGATCCCTCGCTCAAACCCCATTTCGTACCAGCGCCGGCGGAACTGCGATACTCTCTCCCAAGACCCAAGACTGACGTGGGGGTGGAGGTAGACTGGGAGTTCCATTGATTGGTGTTGCCATGCCATCAGGGTTCCAGCCGCTGCCTATGCATCAGTCCAATTTCAACCCCGCCGCGAGACGCCTCGAGACGTCGTAGGAGATAAAAGCTTGATTGGAAGAAAGACACGCTGCGCAGATCTCAGGGATAATGTCGTCCGGGTCAGTAACTCCCCTCGAGATATGCACGCACGACTAATTGCCAAAGCAGGTCGTTGAAAGACCTCACCAAGGCGCTGACCACCTCGATACCAACCATCTCCTCCCCTCTCCCTGACGACCTCCTGCAGGTGATAAACGCGTACCTCGAGAAACACGATGCGCACGACGACTCAGATTCGCAGCGCCTGCAGGAAGAGTTACTGTCCATATATCAGACCCATGTCCACGACAAAGCTTCCCGTCTTGCGCCCTTTCTCGCCGTTCTGCGCATATTAAGGCCAGCGATTCGAGGTTCGCGCAGGTTGTTGCAATGGTGGGATAAGCTCTGCATCCCGGTCTTGAACAATTTGGGGGAGGAGAAGGGATTGGCGACGGAAACGAAGAGTACCATACTCGAGCTCCTAGTTTATGATGAGGATGAAGAGGAGGGGGAGCTCTTGGATGACGCGCGAGCGACTTCTTCTGCCATATTAGAGAATCTGCTCGGCTTATGGCTTGAGAAGTCTAAGGTTGCGTCCGCAGAGTTCGACAACGATGCTCGATTTACGGAGACTCAGATTCAGACGATCTTGTTAGCATTTGGGAAGAAGAGACCTAAGGATTTCCTCACGACTATCGATAAATTTTTCGTCAAGAAAGAAAGCCGGATTTTGGTCCTTAGTCTGGTTTGCGAGTTCATCAGACATCAGCCGCCGCACCTACACCAGTTGCTCCAGACGCCGCTGTTTGGCAATCTGCTCAAATGTCTACAAGTCGATACAAGTACGAGGGTTATCTCGTTGGCGATGACCGCTCTCGTTATGTTTTTACCGCATATACCCAGCTCTCTGACTCCACATCTTCCGGCCCTATTCAATATCTACAGTCGTATGCTATTTTGGGATAAGGAAAGGAGGGCATCGGCTGAGATGGCAATGGACGAAGAAAGAGAAAACGAAAAGGGGCCACCATCTCCCGAAGGTCAATGGGACAAACTCTCATATCTGTTGGAATCGGATGACGAGGTTGTCCCGGAGCTGCTACATTATTTCACATTCTTATACGGATTGTACCCGCTCAATTTCATGAGCTATATCCGGAAGCCGCAGAGATATCTCAGACATGCGAATTTCCCGGGTGCTGATGAACTGGACGTGGCTCCCACGGAGATTCGTCAACGGTCTGAACCTTTCAGACAGGTTCACCTCCTGCATCCGAATTTCTTCATGATGACGATCGAATCAGAACTAACTGATAACAAACGGTGGATGGGCAGTGAAGCTGCCGATGTCGTTGCTGAATGCATGGCTTTGTACAATCCTGGAGAAGGGGGAAATCCTATGGCCAGCAGATCAATGTGTCCTGGCCAAAGTCTTGACGCCAATACGGATGTTCCTGAGCAGCCATTGCTGGAGGGTGATGCTATAACTCCGTACCACTCTCGGCATACAAGTTGGCGGCATACTCAATCTACTGCCGTCGCGTCACCAGATGACTACTACCGTTCGTCTGGAATCCCGCGCAAAGGGTCTCTAGCAAGCCAGTCCATACCATCTGTCGCCAATTCTCCGTCTCTGCGACCATCAGATCGTCTCGACAGTCCAACTCTGCCACCTCACATAGTTGGATCTGCCGCTCAGAGCCCACGCCGTGAAGCGTTGCGTCCCCAAAAATCACGGGGCAGCATCTACCGATCACCTACAAATGATAGCCTCGCATCCCTCGCATTATCTCAGAACAACAACGACAATTCCGTTCACGTAGATGCCTACTTGCAATCGCTCACCCGCGATCCCGTACCTCGATCTCCTTCCATCCGTCCAACTCAAACAGATTGCGAACTCAGAATTGCCTACCTGCACCGTGAGATCCAACTTCTACGCAACGACCTCAACTTTGAGCGGTACTTCAAACAACAGCACCTCTCTCACATTGGGCAGCTCCGTCGCAAGCAAATTCGTGAGGCGCGCGCGGAAGCCGAGACCCAGAATCTGATCAATTCGAATCGAGGATTGAAGGCGAAATTGGAAGAAGTGAAGAGTAATCTAATGAGGATGAAGAAAGAAAACGAGAAATCAAAACAGCATAGCAGGAAGTGGGAGGTGGATTTGGCGAGCAAGCTGAGGACGCTGAAAGAGGAGCAAAAGAAATGGACGCAAGAGCGGGGAGAAATACTAAAGGAGTTGGAGAAGTTAAGAGAGGATAATAAGAATTTGAAGGACTTGGTCCTGGCGGCTGAGAAAAAGGAGTTGAGCATGAGCCAGAAGATACAAAACATCGAGATCAACCTGGATGAATTGGAACGCCTGAGGGCGGAGGTAGACAGGCTTAACCTGAGCTTGAGGACCTACGAAGCGAAAGAAGCCGATACTCTGCAGGCGAAGGAGAATGAAGAAGAGGCCCTTCGCAAGGTCGTACTCCTGGAAATGCAGCTACGCGCCCGCGACGAGGAACTAATGAAATCACGAGCTGCATTCGAGGAAGAGATACAAGAATTGCGGGAAAGGCATGAACAGGCTCTAAACGGTGGCATCGATATGGCTAGGCGAGAGAGGTTGGAGCAGTCAGTGCTTGATTCAGCACTGGCTGCGTCGAGGCAGAGAGTAAACGAGGTCCAGAACGCCCATAATCACCTCCTGCGTCGATACACGGAACTGCAGGACAAATACCTGGAATTGAAAGAGGCGAATGACGAAACTTGGAGAGCGGACGAGCCTCTCCTGTCTGGTAATGGTGGAAGGGGTGCAGGGTCCAGTATGTATCCCCAGCTGTTAGCATCACCGAGCGAGGGTTCCAGCAGAGATAGCGCGTCGGCGATAGGAGAGGATGCGGGGCCTAGCGCTGGGCCAAGCGACCGCGCTGCAAGACCGGCCAAACTAGAGGCTAGTGGTCGGTCTTCTCAATCGACTACAGAGAGATATCCGGGCGGTGGCGAATATGGGATGTTCAATCCCTTTACTCCTCCCGGAGGCGGTAGGAGCAGCACGGATGGCGAGAGTCTCGACATGTATGGGAACCCAAAGCAGAAGATCAAACCGCAGAGTGATATCCGGGTCTATGGTCGAGGTTTGTCATCCCTTCGTCTTCTACCTGATTGCATTTCTAATTCGAGTACAGGCGGGGTCCAGAACATAGGCAAGAAAGATAAAGAAGGGAAGAAGGAGAAAGGGAAGGAGAAGGAACATGGGGGTCCGGCAACGGATGGCAAGAAAGAGAAGAAGGGCGGTCTAGGGATTAGGGGGATTCGCGCATTCGATTTCTAACTGGAGGGCCACCCTGGGAATGCAAACCCCAGGATGTTTATGCGGGCGATTGGCGCGCGTGCTTGGGATATAGGATGCAAGGGTATATATTATGACATGACGTTTGAGCGACTTCACAAGGTTGACTGCGGCTTCGGAACCGCAGGGCCTGGGATGTACGATAGTAATTACTGCAAAAGGTTTGAGAGGCATATGAGAGGTATGTATGTACTCTGAAATGATCGGACCCTTTTTCCTCTTCTGAGATATCACACACTTATCACACTTGAAGACTCGCCTACAGTGTTGATATCCTGGATATTTTATAGTGGATCTCCGGACCATTTGTAAGACCACAGCTTGGCAGGTTCTTCGAGGTGTCACAAACCACGCAAGACGAGGGCGAGACTCGTTGCAAGGCGAGACAAAAACGCAAGGGCAAGACATAAACGCAAGGGCGAGACATAGGGAAAGACATAAGGCAAGACAAAAGCAAGACATGAGGCGATCGAAGATGTCACCGGCGTCGGACCCTTGACATAATCATGACACGACGATCTTCTGGCGACCTTCTGGTGACGTTTGCGAAGATGCTAAAGGTCCTAGCGAAGAGGGCGACGGGGGGCGACTGGACTTTACCACGGAGAGAGTTGGAAAGTTGGACTTTACCACAAGAGTTGAAGAGACTTGAACCATCAGAGGACCCCGAACCGACTTAAACCCCATCGAGCGAGCGGAGCGGTGCGTTTAAGGTTGGACATGACTAATCAATGACATAATCCCTCGCGTAAGGTGCCGTCGTCTGAGCTATGCGCACTACGCCCGAACGAGTGCCGAACGTTTCCCAGTCATCTATCTAGCATCAACAAGGTAACGAACGATACTCCACATCCAACTCTCGAAGCGTATCTGGCCCGAGGATCGACTGGGGACGCCTCACGCTGTGCGCGGCATCTGCGAAACGGCGCGCGGTTGTCTATATATCTGCCAGCGCCGGTATATCCGGGAGCACCGGTGCCCCCCCCCAACACAGCCAGCTTTTGCCGCGGAAACAATGGGGGGCTGGTTGAGAAGCGTCCAGTGATGCTCCACCTTGGCCTCGGGATGATGCGTCCTGCAGCTGTAGATATCACTCAAAGCTCGTATCCGGGAGCAAGGCTTCCACTGGGGGGCGATGGGACGAGGAGAGCCGTTGCCGGTGTGCTGGTAGGGCCCGCTGCTGGAGCTGCCGGGATTGCGTGGGAGGGCGAGGCACCGTCATGAATTCCCTTAGTTCATTTTGTCTTACTCTCTTGAAAGAAATATCCCGTTTGGTTTGCCTCCTCCCCTTGCCAAGAGATCCTTACCAAGAGGACGGATCAGCCGTGGTGTCTTGCAACCCGGACCAGAACTCCATGTTGCTTCGAACCCTACCGTCCTGACCGCTCCACTTCATTGGGTCTTTGAAACATATCTCGTTTGCCATCCCCCCGGATCTCCCGGGAGATGAGACGACCCTTGGGGTCCAACACTACATCGCTATGGCTATGCTAGTGCAAGGGGTGCTGCGTATGACGCTCGTCCGAGAAAAAAAAAGTCGAGGAATTCTTAAAAATCATTACCTAAAGAGCACTCGCCGGGGATATACGTGTTGATGGTATTTGCGAGGACATGTCCTTTACATAATAATGGAGAAGATGCAAGCACGATTTCCTCTATCAGCTTTCGGAGTACGCACAGGACTTGGAGTCCCCACATCTTCGAAGGTGATGAGCGTCATGACCCATGTGACTTTGGCATCTGGTCCATAGTATAAGATTACCCTCCTCGTCTCCCTCCCTTCTCTTCTTTCTTGCTCCAACTCGCACACTTGTAGCCTCCAGCGACATGATCTTCAAAGGAGTTCTCGCTGCTGGCTTCATAGCCGCAGTTTCTGCTGCGCCGGCGCCTCAAGTTACGGGTACATCATCGTCGACCACATCCAGTTCATCCTCTTCGTCCTCTTCGTCATCCTCGTCTTCCAGTTCATCTTCCGGTGGAGCTGCTACGTCCTACTCCTACCCTCAATCGACCTCTGTCAATAGCGCCGCCGTCTCGTCTGCCGCCTCGTACGCTGGCATTCCAGTCTCCGAACTCCCAGGTGCCACCGATGGCGTTGTGCCACTCGTGAGCAGCGAGGTCACTGGGACGACAAGCCACGGCCCGTACAGTGGTACACCAACCACAACGGGGGCTGTCAGCAACTCGCCTCTTGCAACGGCTATCCCGGTCCTGCCACCCAACGCGACCGAGCTCACCTACAGCCCCAACGGCTCTCTGCACAACCCGCAGCCTATTCCGTATCAACCAGCTGGGGGTCTTGGTACAAGCGGCACCGAGCCTGTCTACCGTGTCCAGTCCGACTTTGACTATGAGTCCATCCTTCTCGGCTTGTACCAGGAGTGGATCGAGCTCGATCTCTTCCACTACATCCTCGCCACCTTCTCCGAGGCCGACTTTACCGCTGCCGGGTTGACCGCCTCTGACCGATACCTTATCGAGTTCATGGCCGATCAGGAGGCTGGCCACGCCACTCTCCTCTCCAACCTGCTCGGCGGGCCTGGTGGCGCAACACCGCAGTGCACATACAACTACCCCTTCACGACTGTGCCCGAGGCCTTCGACTTCGCCCAGAAGGTGACGCGCTTCGGTGAGTCTGGAGTGTGGGGCTTCCAGGCGCACTTGGACTCCCGCGAGGTTGCTCAGCTCCTCTCGCAGTCCATCGCAACCGAAGCTCGTCAACAGATGATCTTCCGTCAGTTCCGGGGTCTCTTCCCCATGCCGGTATGGTTCGAGACTGGAATTCCACAGTCGTGGGCCTGGACTCTGCTCGCACCGTACATCTCTTCCTGCCCACCGAACGCGAAGCGTCTTGCGTGGCAGAACTTCCCGGCCCTTCACGTCTTGAACCAGCCTAACAGTGCTCGTCGCAATGCAAGCCAGACCGGCACCAACGAGACGGTTGGATGGGGTCCCGCGGCACCAAGCTCGGATGTTCCCGCAAACCAGTCTTGCATCGCCAACAACGTGACTGGTTTCGACTGCTCGGCCGCGATCTCGCAGAACCGAACAATTCCCCTGTCCTACCCAGGCCGCCCGGTCTACCTCCAGTGGGAGAACCCGGGCCAGCGCGTCGGACCGAACAATTCGTACGTCACGGCCAGCAACGCCAGCACGCCGGCATGGGTTCTGTGGGTCACGCAACTCAACACCACCTACTCGCCTCTGACCAACATCACGCGATTAAACGGCACGAACTATGGCCAAACCATCCAGCCTGATGTTTCGACTTACGAGGGTGACCCTGCGGTCAATGGTAAGCCTCTCTACCTTGTGATGCTGAACCGAAGCTAATGATAATAGGAACCATGTTCATTGCCATCACGGACACCAACACCACCTACACGCCCTTCAACCTCAGCAGCGTCAACCCACACGTCGTTGCCGGCCCCTTCCTCTACCAGGCCGGATAAGACGTCTTAATAGTTGGGACGATGATGGGTGAGACGAATACCATGCACACAAGCATAGGATGGAAATCATCAGTCCCGACGAGAGCGAGCTATGAATGAAAATAAATGCCTCTTTTTCTTTCTTTCTTTTTTGGGTCAGTGGGACGGTGGGGATTTGGTAGCGGGGCGGTAATTTAATGAGCATGAATTATATATATATATTTTCGTATATACAGACACAGACGTACATACAGACACGTATAGAGAGACAGACAGACAGACAATATTTGTACTTTGTACGACTTGTCTCTCTCGTCAAATAGATGGTGTTGGCTCCTGTGTCTCTCTAGCATCGTGCCTGCTACTAGAACGAGTCTCTTATTCATCCATCCGTTGATTATTAGCTTCCATAATCATCAGGCCGCGCGTCGTTGTCATCATGTCATCATAGATCTAGACCTCGTTCTAGAGCGTGTGGATATTCTACCTAGATCAATAAATATATTATCCACTTTTCCAATATTCAATCCATCTATCACTTTTGAGAAAGAGGGTCCTACCTACCTACCTACCTACTCTTTACCTTAGCCAACTATTTATTTATTTATCGATATTTTGTTTTGTTTCGTTAGCTTATAGCAGTAGTTAGTGAGTTGATATAATAAGCTATGGGGAGGGTATAATATAGGTGGATTCCGGATAGAGAGGAGCGTTGCAATCTGGTGCCCTTTCACATTCACAGCGAATAAAAGATAGATTGATTATTAGCGTTTTGATAAAAATAGAAAGACCAACAGAAAGAAACCTCGAGTCTTCATCCATCCGGACCATCCCACGGGCCGGCACGAGAATCACGATTCACGACACAACCTGGCCCGACCCGTCTCGTCTCGGATCTTCCGGCCTTGTTAAGTAAGGTACTGGAGTCTGGAGGATTGTTAGATTAGTTTTGATTGATTGGTTGATTGATTGATTCTGATTGATTGATTGATAGGAAAAAGTGGGTGATGGATGTTCGGAAGTGGCCGTTTGTTCGTTTCCTTTGATCCCTTTGGTCCTGTGAGGTGCAGGATTTCGTTAGGTTTGTTCTTTGTTTCTGATGGATGAATGAGTGAGTGAACATTATCTATTCAGGGAAGGAAGGAGGAGGGTAATACAAGTGTGTTGACTACCTACCTAGGTATATAATATGGATATAGATGTAGAGAAGTGGAGGGGGAAGGAAGTATGAAGTATCAATATATATATAAAAAAAGGGGGGGGGGGAGATGCAGAAATATCTAGCATACAAGTTCATCTTCCAGGAATGGATCGGAGGTTCACTCTACTGATAATCAGAGAATGCAGAAAGGCTAGGAATAGATGATTGAATTTGTATGCTGTGAAATACGATATAATGAACTCTACTGTGTGTAGCAATGCATGGTTTGCTGATCATGCCTGATAGTAGAAATTGGAGTGTGAAAACGGTTCAGAATAATACTGATTTTGCTAGGAAGTAAGTCACTGGACTTTTTGAACAACCAACGATACATGATGCATCGCAGTCTGGACTCTGGACATAAGAGAGCAAAAGCAAATTCCAGTTCTAGAGCCCGAACGTCATAGGTATAAAGACAGAAGAAGGAGAACTCGGCAAATGAACAATTTCAGAGACAGGAAAGAAAGAAAGAAAGAAAAGAGAGAATCAACCTACTACTACTCATACAAACGACACTCCCTCCCACAATATTATGAGACTTTTGTCTCCCCCCAGAGAATCCCCATCCTCCTGAAATATCAGCTGGATCTCTAATACATCCACCTCTACGTACCTACTCAGACCTTGCACTTCCCAGCTCTTCTTCGGGCCGGGCCCTGAAATAATGAGCTTCTCGTCATCATCGATCGATCTTCGCACACGTTTCTAGCCCCGCGTGCTCGAGCCACAGTCGACTGAGATTTCGAGATCCTTTGGGTTTCTGGGTAGGTAGGTTATTGTCCTCGAGGTCGGCAATTCCTTCAAAGGTGATGAGACTCATCAGGTCCTGTCTGAATTGAAATCGACAAGAGAGAGCATCTATCTAGTTTTGCAACTACTGCGCCTTAGCTGGACGGCTGAAGATATCGTACCGGAAAGTCAAAATCAAAGTTCCTGGACGTAGGGAAGTGGGTCGTCATCGAAAAGGCTGAGCTGGAGGGGAGACATGATATCGGCGTCTAAGATTTCTTCTTCTTCTTGGAGTGTAGGAAAGGAGTTGATAGGATTCAGATATAAGTGAAGATTGCTCTGCCCGTGACACCGTGTTGGTTGATATTTATAGCTCAGGCTCTCCGCCCAATAGATTTGAGATGTGCAAAGGGGTCGAAACACACACAGTTCAGAATTACACACGTAGAATACCTAAGACCTAACACGTCAAACCATTAAAAAAGAAGAACCCTCGGGATATAAACCAGAGTAGGATATATAGTACGTGTGGACGGTGCCGATAGTGTGACGGTTATTGGGGTGGTTTCCCTCCCGTCCCACCGTCTCACCTAACACACGCGTGGGCAGAAAGATCTGAAAAGCCCTTCTTCCTTCAGGAACTTGATAACAGAAGATATTCTGTGAATTAGATGTTGGTTCTTCCTTTACAATAATAATATGTCGGCTACTTTTTTTGTATCTTATCGCGGGGGGAGAGGGGGGGCATTTTTTATATCCGGGGTTATAATAAACTAACTCATGGTTTCCTTAGACTACTGTAAATAGAAAGTGTCGGATCAGAACTTTTATTAAGGTAGTCTCCCTTTTTATATTGCTCGATCATTTTCAGGGCTGGATATTTTTCATACATAATATAGATCAGAATACGCCTTTTGATAAACGTGGGCGGTGCCATAGGGTAACGGTTGGGGTGGTTTCCCTCCCGTCACACGGCCGAACCCTACACGCGGGCAGAAAGATTTGTGAGAGAGAGAAAAGAATGATAGTCTAGATGTCTTCCTTCAGACATATTTGATCCTTCGGCAAAAAAACAAAAAAAAATTGATAGGCACTGGCTTCCCTCATACCTTTGCTAAGGATTTCATCGTGTCCACTTTCGTGAACAAGAAAAAGTCGTAAATTTTTGTAATCTTAGGGGTGGATAATTATCATGCATAATATAAATCAGAATAGGCTTTCCAGTCAACGTAGGAAGGGTGATAGTGTGACGGTTGGGGTGGTTTCCTTTCCGTCACATGGTGTCGCCCAAGTTCCAACCCACGCTGGGCAAAGATATGTGGGCGAAAAACAAGAACTTGATAGGCCAATGGCTTCCCTTATACCCTTGATCAGGAGTTCATCGTGTCTACTTTCGTGGATAAGACGCCCTTTGTTTTTGTCATCTTTTGGGGGTGGATATTTTTCATACCCGGGGTTGTAATTGAGTATGGGGGAGACCCACTAGGCCTATGTGGAGGGACTGGGGGACTGGGAATCTCAATACAAACCCCTGCACCATGTAGCCTGCTGGTTGGGGACCTTTGTTTTTATCTTTTTGCTCTAAGCTATACTGCTGCAGTTTGTCTACCTAGGTTCCTTCTATCTTTTTACTTTTACTTTTACTTTTGCTTTTCTTTCCTGTCGTTCTTTCCGTGCGGTTGTGGAAGGGATGATGATGATGATGGCTGATTTAGGTTTGTATAGGAGACTCGCTTACGCCATCTCGCTAAGATCCCGGCCACCCGCGCTAAGCGAGCGATCTCTCTGTATGCGTGTCCCTTGGCTGGTGTGAACTGTGCACGCGCGTATCAACGTCAATAGATTGATTCAAGGGGAATTCTAACAGACGATGGTACAGTGCTTGTTGTTGATTTTCGCATCTCTTTTCAAAGGAAGGGAAGATGTGGGGGATTGACAAGTCGATATCGTACCTACAGTAAGGCTGGATGGGTTGCCTTAGGCAGAGACATTACCTGGTGAGTCGCGGATGATTGATTGATCGGACATTGACCTGGCCACCAATAGACTCAATTCCTCCCTTTCTTGAGGCAATGTCCTGCGAGAGAATGGTTGATTGAAATGATGCCTCACCGCTATACATCTCGATCGGGATCCCTACCGGGATGAAGATACGTGATGTCCGTATGGGAGGTGTGAATGAAGAAGAAGGGATTAAGAAGAATATACTCGATATGCGATCTGCTTATGTAAGAAGCTTGGCTGTCTCGAAGCACAATGATATCAACAAACCATGATTTAACGAGGATATCTTATCTAGATCATCAGATTAGATACCTCACTCTTGGCCTTGATACATTACTATGTACAGTACAGTACAGTAAGTACATCATAAGGGTTTAGGGTGACCCCAAAAAATACACCTTGCGTTTCTGGGAAAACCGGCTTCTCACCGTCGACGAAGATGTGAGATATCTTGGATGCAAATTATGCAAGCGATATTCCCATATTGAAGAGTATGTATGTAGATCGTAATGGCTTCCTGGATGGATCGAGGATGGATATTCAATCAACGGAGAGCAGCAAGTTCCAGCGGCCTACCATCCACCGTTCAAATAGGCTGATGTTGAATTTCCCCCAAAGCGGCTTACTAAGTCCCGCACACACAGGGCGCTTGGCGCAATGGTAGCGCGCGGTCCTCCTACTGCAGAGATGCTGTAAGACTGAGGTTGAGGGTTGTAAGTTTATGCCTCTACTCTGATTTAACTGTGTCAGTTACTAACATTGTTATAGCGAGTCCCTTGGTGCTCGTGTGCAATTGATTTTTCTTTTCTCTTTTTTTATATTTTTTTTTTTTTTTTTTAATTTTACCTTGTTGTCTTTTCGTCCTCTGCGTTTTGTTTATTTTTATCCCATTTCTTTAGCTCTTACTCGGTACACCCCCATGAAGTTCTACATACACATCCGGGACCCTATCTTCAAGATGAGATCAGATAACTATGAGACATCAACTAGTTGTACCTTGTCGGTAAGTGGCCTGACTATTCCATTCTAACTTCCTGAACTGACTCTCCCTCTTGTGTCCTGAGTCAACGTCATGCTGTAGCCGCAACTCGGAGAAGACTCGGGCGGCATCGGTGTTCTGATCCCCCACCCACGTATTCCCGCATCACCCTTCGATTGCCTTATACCCGGGACTCGACTCGCCACTCTATCGATAACCACCATCATCGGCCGTATAGTCAGAGGAGAACCAGGAGATGCAGTTGTCGAGAATCTGGATGTGTCAGTCGACGTCGATAAACGGGGACACGGCGGGTCTCCCGATAGGCTTCAGACTGAAGGCTTCTTGGGGCTGGATGCGACTAGACCAGACCAGTGTCCGCTCTTCAGGAACGAGGAGTCCTCAATACGATCTCACTATTCTCTTTCCAGCCTCTGTTCAGCTGGGGAAGATACGCATCGGCCCTAGTGCCTTCCGCTACCACAGGGTCCATGCCTTGTCTATGCTACTTTCAAGCAAGTAACTTGGAGTTCTGTACGCAATGATACATCCTGTTTGTCTCTATCATACGCCATCATCTCTCTTGAATCTTTCTCCAGCAGAGTGCTCAACTTCTCTTTCAAGCTTGAATGTTGACCATCATTCTCAAACTGCCTCGTAAGTCCTATACGAAGCCTTTAAACCACAATATTACAGTGGTTCTCTCAGAAGCCTTAGCGCTCAGAGCACAGTAAGCACGTCATGATATCATATGTACTATTCTAGTTACATCAGTTACTTCGAGCTTTGTTACATCAGCACCAATTCAATAGACTTCAATTACATCAACATCAATTACCTCAAGTACCTCACGCTTGTCTAGATCACTAGTTTGCCCTGCGCGACGATCCGTGGCGGTGTGGTGTACTTTTGCTTGAGATATAAGTTCGTGAGAAACCTCACAATGAGCTTTCTCAGATAGTTGTACTTTCGTGTTCATTCATCACTCGTGCATTCATTCTTCCCAAGTCGTGCGCATTTAGTAATAATGGCTCCCATTGCTCCAAACAACAAGGAATTCGACTTCATCGTCGTTGGAGGTACCAAGATATCATGACCTCATATCAAGGGGAGCAACCACTAACGCTTTTCAGGGGGTACCGCTGGTAATGTCGTTGCAGGCAGATTGGCGGAGAACCCCAAGGTCTCCGTCCTTGTAATCGAAGCCGGTGTCGGGTACCTTGAATCTTCGGTCCCAGATGAATTCATCGAAACTAATAACCGTTCAACAGGAATCCTCAGGATGTGCCAGACATCACGACGCCAGCTCATGCCTTTGATCTCCGAGACAGCAAGTATGATTGGGCCTACAAGACCACCATGATCGACCGTCCGGACTACACGCGGGTTGAGAAGCCAAACACTCGAGGAAAGGTCCTGGGTGGTAGCAGTTGTCTGAACTACTACACCTGGCTTCGAGGCAGTAAGCCAACATTCGATGACTGGGCCGATTATGCGGGTGATGATTGGACCTGGGAGAAGTGCAAAGACTACTTCAACAAGGCATGTCTTCCGCTGAGGTCCTTCTACTAGCAGCTAACACGGAGACCTAGTCCGCCACCTACCACGATGACCAGGGGATCTACCCGCCAGAACTGAAGAAGGTTGGGATCAACGGCCCATTGCAGATTGAGCATGCGGAGCTGGTTCCCGAACTGAAGCCCTTCAGAGACGCTTTGGAGAAGGCTTGGCTCAGCAAGGGCGAGAAACTGACGGATGATGTCTACTCCGGGGAGCAGGCGGGTCTCACCAAGTGCATGAACAGTATCTACAAGGGTGTCCGCTCTTCCAGCTGGGTGTTCCTGCTGGGCAAGCCGAACATCACCGTTCTGTCGTCCACCCACTCGAAGAGGCTGATCATCGAGAATGGCGTCGCGAGGGGTATCAATGTTCACGGACCTAACGGCGAAGACTTGTCCTTCTACGCCAAGAGGGAAGTCATCGTCTCTTCCGGTGTCTTCGAGTCTCCCAAGTTGCTGTTGCTCTCTGGTATTGGCCCAGCGGAAGAGCTCGCAAGGCACGGTATCGATCCAGTCGTTAAATCCCCCCACGTCGGGCAAAATCTCCTCGACCACCCCATCCTGGCCCACGTCTTCCATCTCAAGGACGGGTACGGTCTCGACAACCACATCCTGCGCGCGGGTCCCATGAAGACGGCCGCCGTCCAGACCTACAAGAAAGACAAGACCGGGCCCCTGAGCAGCGGTCTCCTCGAACTCGTCGGTTTCCCACGTATTGACGAATACCTGAACCGCAGCAAGGAATACGTCGAGTACAAGAAGAAGAACGGCAATGTCGACCCCTTCGGACCTGGCGGCCAGCCTCACTTCCAGATCGATTTCGTCGTATGTCCCCCCCCTCTCTTCCCCCTTCCTCCTCTCCCACAATTAAACTAAAACCCTCCTTTCCCAGCCCATGTTCGCCGACGCCTTCCAATGGCACATCCCCACTCCACCCACCGGCGACTGCCTCACCGTAATCGTCGACCTCCTGCGCCCGCTCTCCCGCAACGGCACCGTGAAGCTGAACTCGACCAACCCGCTCGAGCAGCCCAACATCAACCTGAACTTCTTCTCCGACGATCTCGACATCATCGCGCTGCGCGAGGGCATCCGCTTCATCGACGACATCATCATGAACGGCGAGGGCATGAAGGATATCGTGCAGGGTGATTACCCATGGCCGATGCCCCGCGCTTCCGACGCCGCTATGAATAAGATGATCTTGGAACGCTCGCAGACTGGATTCCGTAAGTCCCCAATATCCCCCCCTCCCAAAAAAAAAAACATATGAAACAAAAACTAACCCCAACAAAAGATCCCTGCGGTACAAACCGTCTCTCCAAGAACATCGCCGACGGCGTCGTCGACCCGAAGCTCAAGGTCCACGGGGTCAAGAACCTGCGCGTTATCGACGCTTCAGTATTCCCCGTTATTCCCGACTGCCGTATTCAAAACGCTGTCTATATGGTAGCTGAACGTGTATGTCCCCCTCCCCCCGGTCTTCAATCCCTCCTCCACTTTGTTCGAGTTATGCGGCCAAGAAAAACTAACGGTTTTGTGTGATTGAATAGGGTGCCGATTTCATTAAGGAGGAGTACAAGGATTTGTATCAGTAGATGGGATGGGAATGTGGGAGAATGAGAGAAATTGTGAGTGAGTGAGTGATGGGATAGTATGACGAATTGAATGAAAGAATGAAATGAAATACTTAATTCATCCATGAAATGAGTATTTTGTATGTATATAAGTGTGTACTAACAAGAAGATGCGAGACTGTTATATTAGGAATATATGTATATACATCTCACCAAACTTTTACAGATACGATTTAAATATGCACAAATGAGAAACCACCCGAGAAGACTACAAGTAGAGTTATATATAGATAGATATCTAAACCGTACAGTACTTACATCCCATTTATATATACACATATTAATTACAATCCCAATCCAACCCAATCCAATCCACTCCATTCCAGTCCAGCCAACCATCCAATCCAACCAATCCACCCAAAAAATGGAAATAATACAAGAATAATCAAAAATAAATCCCAGAGAAGAGAAGAGACCCTTTACTTTTAATACCAATTATGACCCTCCTCGCCCTCCTTCACATTCGCCGGATTCAAGCTCAACATCCTCTGTCCCGGAATCGTCACTCCACTCTGCGCCTCAAACGTGCCACTCAGCCCCCTCCGACTAAGCGCCTTGAAAGAATCAAACCCGCTACTCTCCTCCTGGATACACGCCTTCCACTCGGGGCTCTCAGGCGAGCGGCCATCCCCGAGATCGCTCCAGCGCGTCACCACGATGGCTTGCTTGAAGCGGTTGAACGGGTCCGGGTCGTTCTTGTCCTCGGTCAGTTTGAGCTCGATCAGGTATTCGGTCGGGCATTCGGGACAGCGCCGCATGGGCCGGCACTCGCTGCACAGCGAGATGAAGACTTTGGGGTTGCGCAGCGCGAGGTGGATCGCTGGCCCGGATTTCAGTTGCTGCGTGATGGGCGCTCGGGGCGGTGGGATGTGCGAGAGCGCGCATTTGCAGAGGTTCATGAGCTCGCCGTCGCGCCAGTGAGCGCACACTGAGAAGTACGGCGTGTAGTCTTCGCGCCAGTAGAGGAGGTGTCGCTGCATGCTGGGTGGCAGCTGGCCCTCGGCGAAACAGGTGCTGACGACCCGGAGGAGGAGATGGCCTTTGTGGAAGTAGTAGCGGGTCTGGTGTGTCCATTCGCTGCTGCGGCATTTGTAGCGCTTGTTGAGGGACTCGACGGGGATTCCGTATTCGGGACCGTACCGTTCCGCTCGGAAGGCGAGCTGCACCAGGGAGAAGGGGAGCGTCCAGCCGGGGGTGATGCGGGCCTTGGATTGCAGTTTGGGATTTGGACAGTTGAAGATCGGGTTGAGCGTGTGGTTGTGCTTGATGCGTTCTTGGCCTTTCTGGATCCGTCGGTGGTAGACTGCGCAGGGGAAGCAGAGGAGGTGGTCTGGATAGAGTCTGTCCATTGGGAGGAGGAAGTCACATTTGTACTGACGGTTCTCTGGAAGATTGAGGGCGGAGAATACTCCGGGGCCCATGATAGAGTGGAAAGTCTTGCATGAGAATGCGAGATTGGCATGATCAGTCGGCGTCAAGTAGGAGGTAATGTGTTCCCATAGCCCCGGTGGTAAGCTGGCAATCATACTCTCGCCGCGCTTGCGCGATTCATCCCAGGCCGTCCGGTTGTTGCGATGTTCCCTGTCCAAGGATGCGAGAGAGTCAAACGAGTCCCGCCGCAGGAAACTGTGCAGCATCTCAGCCTCATCCCACAACTCTCCGGTCTGCGCCTGGACGCCAGTGGTGTTTTTGTTGTAGAAGTTGATGGGCTTCTTCTGCTGTACCGGCGTTGGTGGTGCTTTACTGGCCGACTCTGATGCTGGATAGAGACTCTCACTTCTCGGCACGTCTGACTTGACCTGGTTTAGAGAGTCGAGAACCTCAGCCTCGTAATCGTATGCCGGAGGAGGCTCCTTGGTCAGTTTCTTGCCGGCCTTTGGCTTGAGGGCACTGGCCAGTCGCGACCTGAAGCCCATCTTCTTGGGAGAAGCCTCAGACATTGTGGATGGAGCCGGAATGAGAATGCAGGATGAGCATTGAACGTCTCCCTGAGCGCAACTCGGGTGATGATGAGTTCAAGTACTGGAGTCTGGATGGTTATGGAGTTACGGAACAGAACGCGTGAGGGATTTGGATTTGATTTCTTAAGCCGTTACGTAGGTGAACCGGGCGTTCCGGGATAAATGAGTTAGTGCCGGTAATGGACTAGCGCTAAAGACCCCGTGTTTTCCTATTTTCCTCTTGAGGCCTAGCCCCTCTCGATGAATCGTCCAGGGTCGTCACGCCAAGTCAATTATTATCTGATTATCCGAATGCTTAAAAGAAGGTTAAATGGACAGTTGAGGCTCTTGGGACGACGAATACTACATTTGATAAATGTTATTCAAAAGTACGTAGTTTTATGACCTTTTTATAGCTTTAGATGATGGTCATAAGAAACATGAAAACATCAAGCTGTAATTATTGATTCCATCGACTATCTAGGATATGCAAACCGCTTGTCCAAACATTATTTTGGAATGGAAAAGCAACCCAAGGATATATTATACTACACTCCCAGCACTCCCATCCAACATCTTCAACAAACCCCTACACAGTAGTCTCATTCATGGGGCTCCTAGGGGACTGAACCATGGGTACATTGTTACCGGCCTCTGTCTTCTTATCATCTTTCCCTTCCGTCCCCAGGAACAACCCATCGTTGCCAACCTCCCCACTGCCCTCGTCCCCAATGTCGCTCCGCTTCCACTTCGCGCTCGTGATCGGATTCACATGCATAATGTACATGGTATCAATCTCCTCCAAGCTGCGGTCCTTGCTCTCAATCACGAAGAAGTACACTACCCAAAACAACGAGAAACAACAACCGGCAAAGATCAGCCCGTAGAAATAATCTATTTCATTCGTGATGAACGTGGTGAAGAAGGAAATCAGGAAGTTGAAGAGCCAGTTCGAGGCCGTAGCAAGAGCCATGCAGGATGCGCGGTAGCGTGCAGGGTATAGCTCGCCGACGACAGCCCAGACGATGGGACCCCAGGTGGTGGCAAATGCGACGATGAAGAGGCATGTGAAGACGATGAGAACAATACCAGCTTCGGGTGTGGATAAGGGGTCAGAGGCTGAAAGAGCAAAGTGCCCGACGAAGGAGTAGACCAGGAAGCAGACGCACATCCAGGCTGCGCTGACCATCAAACACTTTCTCCGTCCGCAATTCTCTATGATCCATAATCCGACGATAGTAGCAGCCACATTCACGCTTCCCAAGATGATAGATGTAATGTAGGAATTGCTGATTCCCGTGGAGCGGAAAATAGTGGTGCCGTAGTAGAAGAAGAAATTCGCGCCGGTGAGTTGTTGGCCGGCTTGAAGTGTCATCCCCAGAATCGTTCGGTATAGCATTCGTGGGCCGGTAAATATCTCATACCAGGGGTGATGGCCACCCGCTCTCTCGGCTTGAATCTTCTCTTCTATTTCGGCAATCTCAGAATCGATAAGACGCGAATATGGACCGACACCATTTAGAAGTCCCATGGTCTGACGAGCTTCTTCTTCTCGTCCGAGTCGATAAGCATATCGAGGGGATTCAGGCAAGAAGAGAACTGCGGTGCCGAGGACGATCGCCCAGACAGCGGAGAGACCATTAGGAATCCTCCATTGGGCCGAATTGCTGAAGGCGGACTCGGTTCCATAGTTTATCTAACAGGTGTCATTAGCAGGGACGAGGAACACACAGATAGGAAGGAATTTGAGATTCTGAGAGGTGTTTATGATATTTAAGAACTCACCATATATGCAGTCCAAATACCAAGTGTAATCAATAACTGATAGGAAGAGACAACTGCGCCACGAATATTCTTTGGAACACTCTCGGACTGATACATGGGGACACTCGTCGACAGAGCACCAATTCCCAGACCCGCCACGGACCGGCCCACCGCAAACTGAACCCAGTGAGTTGAACTGGTAATCTCAACAATAACACCGATGATATAGAAGAATGCTGCAGCAGAAATAGTGTAACGTCGTCCGATTTTGTCACAGGTCCACGCGCTAACCAAACAGCCAACCAGTGTACCCGCGCAGAGGAGACTGACTATGGTTCCTTGCCGAACAGCGGTGAACTTCCCGTCTTCCCCAAAGCGATCGAGGAAATCGGACATTTGCAGGAAACCTTGAGATGGGTTAGGACTATGACACGGGGCAGATCTCTGTTCTGAATAAAGCACGACATACCCGAGATCTGACCCGACTCGTACCCGAACATGAATCCTCCAATGGAAGCAATCGAACCCAGCAAAACAGCCAGCTTGGTGACTCGTCGCTTTCCCCCTGCTTCCTCCGTGGCAGCGTTGCCATCCTGATCAATTTGAGCTGGGAGATCAGCTGCTGATCGAGCCACAGGCGTGAGGGGCGTTGGCGTCCCACCCGGCGTGCTTTTCTCCTCAACCGTGACCGTGCCCGAGGGCTGCTGCACGTCGTTTTTCCTTCTGTCAAACAATCCCATGATTTCTATTTTGGCAGGTACCGCGAACAATGTTGCGAAAGTATAAGGGAGAAAAAGTAATCAATAATGAAATTGATGGGAGAAGTAGAGAAAGGATGTAGGGTTGGAGAGTTAAGTAGCCATGAAAAACTACGGTAGAGATGACGGAGAGACTTGATCACCAGAGCCCATACTTTGGGTTGGGGTTCCTAATGGCGGCAACAGCGACAAGACTGGTTGGGGGTTAAAGGAAGGTAATGACGGCCGACATCCCACTACTTCTGAGTACAAGTGGTAGTCCCTTGGGTGCAAGAACCAGTTGATGAGCGGCGGCCGCTCATCCGTGGTATCTGACCCATTAATTCTACTCAAAGATAAGAATTGAACTCTGGGAGGTTCGTGATTTTATCTTGTGATGGGTCAGGTCTTAAAGGGAACCGTGAACACGTCCACAACGGAAATTAGGATTCTGGAAGGCAGACTCCATCGCAACATGACCGACGACTTTTCGGTGACAAATCTAGCAGAAGTGAGGAAGGGAAATATGCGGATTATGTTCCACGCATTCAACAGCAATAGAAAAAAAGCGCCAAAGAGGAAAAGAGGAAAACTGCCGGAGACAATTAGGTCAATCTCACCCGGGAAGTGTATATGTATCCAGATAGTGAAATACGTGTCACATACGACCACAGACTGAGGAGAACTGGGCATCCCGTCCGCTCTGCCATACATAAGCCTCAGATCGGTAGATTAGTAGTTGGGTGGGTGACCACCAGCGAATACCTACTGTTGTATGTTTTTTGTTCTTTTTGGCGCTTCCTTTTTTAATTTTTATTTTTGGCTTCCGATATTATGCCTCTTGAGATTTTGCTCTCTACTTTTGATGTAGGCTTATGTTGGACTGACGTCAGAGCATCGAAAGCATCGGATTTTCAACAATAACTCCATCTCAAAGTCATCAATAGGGCACCGATCTCTCCCACCGACAGGAAACGCTGAAGCCAAATACGTATACAATTCTGTGTCTGCTGAGCCAATTGCCGGAAGTTTGCATATTATCGCGCTGCATTTCGAGACAGATGGATTCCGGGATGTTTAGCCAGAGGAAAGGAAAATGAGTCCATCGCTCCGAAGGTACATAGATAACCCCACAAGGATTGTTAGGATAGTGCCTTTCGATCGTAAGAGTACTCTATACTTTATATATCACGCACAGGCTCCCACCACCTGCAGGGCCTTGGCCCTCTGCGCCTCCCTGCTGATGTTAATACCAGGACGACCTAAAGTTGATACGCATAGCGAGAGATGACGGAGATGACATACCGACACATAAACCTATCTAGGTCAGCCATTGCATACTCAAAATTGAGCTCCAAACATACCTGAGCATCCCCCACCAACCCCGCAATAAGACCCCCTACAGCAGCGCGCGCATGTCGCGTACTATGTATATCACTATCTGTATTCATGGTATGTCTCTTTCCCCTAATAACCCCCCTAGGATCCGCCTCTGCCTTGGCAAAGACCTGTACCACATGCCCCTTTTCTGCTTCAATCTGCTGTAGAATCTTCATGATTGACTTGGCATCAATGGCATCCTCCATATACGTTGAAGCGGCACGCAGGTTGCCGGCAACTGGGTCGGATGCTAGAATGAGGATATGACAATCTTCGAGCTCGGCACCGGAACTGCAACTTGCTTTGCTGCTCCAGCTGGTTTCGCTCGCCAATGCGGATTCCACCTGACTGTCTTCCAGTTCTTCCAGAGCGAGTCCTATCCCGACGGCGCATGCGTACCGTGATTTTGCCATCGATTCATAGGTATCCGTCGTGATAGCAGTCTTCGCCGCAGCTTTGATGCTCTCCAGCTTAGCGGAGGTCAAGAGTGGACATTTAATCAATACAAGATGTACAAGCTCTTTGCGAATCCCGGATTCCTCTAGCATCCTCTGTACAGAGGACGCTACCTCCCGAGCCTGCACCGCTGTTCCAATTTCATGCGGCTCAAGCTCGCGGGTCCGTCCAACAGCAGCCTGGAGTCCCGTCGTCTTTGGTTCTTGAACGATGAATGTCACGTGTGGACTTAGAACACCCTCGGTGCCTCCAGAGAATATAGTCACGGCGGAAGAGGGGATGAGCGGTTCCCAAACATGGGTGCTGAGCGTCCGAGAGAAATCGTTCACGCAGCCGTTGCCTGATTCATTAGCAACAGGCCTTGACAGTCGCTGGGATTGAAAGACAAGATATCAGGTTCTGATGTGATTTCAATCGTTCTTGAGGAGAAGGGGATGTTTTGGACAAGTGATGCACGTGATATGGAGAATATTGTGCTTCAACATCATCAATTCGCAAAACCATTCCGGTCATCGATATCTTGAAAACCAATCCCGGCGACAGGAGAAGGGTACTTGCCTTCTGACTTGCCAACAACACCGAGAATATCATTTGCATCGTAACCTGCAGCTTTCAACTCCTTGAGGGGTAAGGTATCTGCAGGCGAAGAGACCCCGAATTTGAGAATGCTGATGGGAGCCATTGTTGGTCCAAACTGCGAAGCGATATATAACCTGAACTGAATGAAAATTGACAGACAACGTCTTGGTTTATGGAGCAAGATGCTTCAGAGCAACCTCTAAACTCTTATTGCACTGCCGACGGGCCGTCGCCATGCGCGAGTTGCAAAAGTGGGAGGTCTTGTTCGCATCAATATCATCTCTGATCTCAATATGGACTGCCATGTATGAGAGTATGATAGCAATACTGAATGCTCAAAGATATACGACCAGATATATCCTATCATAGCGGCGTCCCTGATGGAAGTGTCAGCCACAGGGTTCGCAGACTGGAGACAGTTGAAGTTCATTCATTTGGCTCGAGTCGTCTTAACGCCTTATATTCCAGGCAATAATATAGCATTTCCCCCCTGAGCAGTCGTCAGTATATTTCAAATCGCTGTTATATACATCCGTTACAAGATGTTTCCTTTGTCTGGCATTCCTTTAGTTGAGTGTTGCTATATACTCGGAATTGGGTCTATCATTGGTTTTACTTGGACGGCCTGCTCCGAAATGGTGGGATCTGAAGATCCATTGCGGTAGATATGAAAGATGAAGTAGAAAGCAAAGCTTGCTTCACTACCACATGACTTTAAGCCTACACGAATATTCGATTCACTTTGATGTGTCCGGTTACAGATAAGGTACGCGTATTTTTGAATCTACGCGGTTCTGCTTACTTCAACCTCTGCACCTCTTTCGAGCTTCACCCAACACCCTCCAATACCTTTCTATAGGTACATTCATTCAAGATGTCGAACTTCGATCCATCTAAGCTGCCTAACCTCATAGGTCATGTAATCATTGTGACAGGTGGACACTCAGGCCTGTTCGTCTCTTCTCTCCTCCCGTTCTATGATATAGACTGACGCTCCTCAGCGGACTCGCAACCACGACCGAGCTAGCTCGCCATGGAGCCAAGGTGTACATGGCATCTCGTTCGAGAGACAAAGTCCAAGCCGCAATCAAGCTCTTGACAACGAACCAACCCGGTGCAGACGTTCATTTTCTGCCTTGCGATCTGGCCGATCTCAAAAGTGTCAAGCGCAGCGCGGAGGAATTCCTCAGGTTCGCATCTCCTCCCCAACTCATGTTCACTAGCTGATGTGAAGAGTAGAAGAGAATCAAAGCTCCATGTCTTGATCAACAACGCTGGTGTACGTCCGCTCTCCTCCTGGCTCGAGTCCCCCAATAGACTGATCGTACGTTCCAGGTCATGTGCGTTCCGTACGGCGAAACTCCCCAAGGCTACGAAGTCCAGTTCCAGACAAACTACCTCGGCCACTACCTATTCACGCGTCTCCTCCTTCCGCTGCTTCTCTCCACCGTCAAGATCTCCCCTAAGGGTACCGTGAGAATCGTGAATGTAAGCAGTGACGACCACGCCAAGTTGGCTCCGAAAGAAGGAATCGTCTTCTCCGAGAGCTGCAAAGGTCGACGCTTGAGCAGACGTGCGAGATACGGCATGAGTAAATTGGCGAACGTTCTGCATTCCAAGGAACTTGCGCTGCGCTATGGAGACGAGAAGAACGGGTTGCTCGCGCTTAGCTTGCATCCTGGAATCTTCAAATCGTATGTCTGCCCTATCTTCCTTTCCTCCTATCAAAGCCTATATCCAAAACCGCTCTTCCCCTGACTTTCTATTCCCTTCTGTCTCCTCCTCTTGTCTTTTATCAGTGAGAATAATATTGACATAAGTAAAGAAACCCCACCCAAGGACCCCGCTCCGGCACGGCTCTCAACCGCATCATCAGACCCCTCGTCGAATTCGGCGCGCCCGGTCCAGAGAAGGGCTGCTGGAACACCCTCTGGTGTGCCGCAAGCCCGGACGTCAAGCCAGGGGACAATGGCGGTTATTTCGTCCCCGTGGGGAAGAAGGGCAAAGCAAGTGCCGATGCTCAGGATGAGTACTTGTCCGAGCGCTTGTGGGAATGGTCGCAGATGGAGCTGGATGATGCGGGCTTCTTGTGATCTGGTGTGGAATGGCGGGGTGTACGATAGGACCAGGGGAGTGTACGATAGGAGAACGCAACGCGTCTGGCATGAGATCGCTGGTTCCGAGGAACTGGTTTGCAACTCCGGATAGCGAGCTGCTAAGTAGACCAGAATAAATGCACATCAAGTGCAACGAACAGAACTCTTCCAGTGGCGGTATGCATATCCCGAATCCATGGAATCTATTGAGGAGAATGATGACTGTTCTCGTCTCAAAAATACTTTTCGGAGCACTAACTCTAAGCCTCTGGCTTTATATAAACTCTGCCTTCTTGAGATTTCACAAAGCTTCTGCAGAAAGCTATAGGAGAACAAGTCCAAAGAGGGTATGCCAACCCAACTACCACCAACGCCAAGCCCATGCATATATGATACATTTTCCAACGCCATAAATGATCCCCAAATCATCTGCTCATAAGTATATCTCCTCAATCAAAGCATCACCCTCCTCAGGCCCTCCGTGCCACCGAGGACCCTTCGACCAGTGACAGCACATCTGCCTTTCCCACTTTCCCACTTGCCTTCCCTGTCTTTCATGAACTCTTCTTGTTTCTCGTGGTTGCCTTCAATCCACCTATGTATACACGTATAGCAGAATACAAACCCCGTCTGGCACGCCGTGGCTGTCGTGATCTCCTTCTCGCATATGGGGCACAGCTCAGAGTCCTCAGGGATGGAGACCGTGAAGATTGGTAAGAGGGAGCCGGCGGCTATTGGCGGGTTCTTGGTTTCGCTCTCTTCCTGTTTATCCTCTTTCTCCGAGTCGGAAGTACTGGCCTTGGGACCGACTGGTCCGAATTTAACGGATAGCGTGGAGAGACCGGATATAATTGGAGGCGGTAACTCGATTCCCTCGGCTGCTTTTCTTGATAGCTGCCTCGCGAAGTCTGACGCATGCCACCACTCCAGAAACTTGAGGGCGAAAATACTCGTTGGAAGGAGAAACTTCAAGCTGTCCAATAACCTGGGCCCCAACATTCTAGGATTGAAAAACGACGTAATCCCTAGGTTCCCCCCACCAGGGACATCCCTCGGCTTATCCAGCGCAGCAATGGCTCTATAGTCAGCCTCTCCCAACCTCCGCATCCGCGTCCCGATCAACCACATGAACGGCGAATGGTATTTGCTGTTATCGAACAGATACGCAACATTGAACGCCAAGAGGGAGAAATAATACGCCGCATTGACACTCGGATACACATTCCGCAAGAACCAACGATAATAATGCATGAACCTCTGCTTCCACGTCGGGTTCACAGGCATGCGCGTATAATTCCCTCCCAGCAACGCTCGCGGCGCATTGATCTCGTACCCCTCGTCCAGTCTCCTCTTCAGATATGGTATGCCCACCATCACCGCCAGATTCTTCCATATATCCGCATTTGTCAGCGTCAGCGCCTCCCGTACATGGCTCGGCGCCGCGATAGCAGCGCGGGGAACCTCGCCCACGGCTAACGCCTTCTCACGCTTCAGGCCGTAGAAGTTCTCTGTGAATCCCCCGCCGTGCGTTTTCAGATAGTGCCGCTCAACAAGCAGCATGAGTAGAGCGTATAGCTCATCGAAGGAGTTGAGGATTCGCAGGAGATAGCGTGGGTGCCGGTGTGTTGCGACGGCGAGCAGGTAGCGAAGGGAGGGTGGGAGGAGAGAGGAGAGTTGTTGCTCGGAAAGAAGTTCAAAGAGAGAGGGTTTTTGGTCATCGAAGGTGCCCTGGAGGGCGGTCATGAACTCCATGATTACGCATGGGTTAGAAAAGAAAGAATAGAAGATGTGCGAGTGATTGAGGTTGGGCTCGCGAGGCTGCATTCCATGCCGAGGTTGAACATGTAGTCACGTGAATACTCCCTCCCCGTGTGATTCTGAGCACCGCAGATTCAAGGCAATAACTTAGTCATCATTAGATAGACGGACCGTACCCCTATATGTTCGGTTCAACCACCTCGTCAATTGTTCACGGTCATAAGAGATGTTCTTGGACAACACCATAAGATGAGAATTTAACTCAATTTCAAGCAGAAATTTTGGAATAGCAGACATCTATTTGCCTTCTGGTAACAGGGTATGAAGAAGGTTGAGGAATCCTCGAACAAGTATCATTTTATTGAGGCACAAATTCTGACTTGGGAGAACAGACTGTCACGTATCATTTACCAGGGAAATCTGCATCACGGGGACTAGGGAAAAGCATCGAATTTCTCAGTAGCAAATTTCTTAGTAGCAAGAGGTTTCCATATTCCCGTGTTAATGCTTGAATCGTCCGCCGCAATTGGAAGTTTCCAGGGAGTCTCTGGGTTGAATATCAAAGACTTGACTCCTCCCAAATTCTCACGCTCGATTCCTCAAATCAAATTGTCAAGACTGCCATTCCTTAATGTCCTCCAACTTTACTCGATCCGGTAATTGTCTCCTCAGCTTTAGGTTTCGGCAGCCGGGGCTGGGGCGGGGGCGGGAACTGCAGACGAATCTGGCTGTTCTGATTCATCCGACGTCTCCTGAGATGAAAGTGCGGATGGATCAGATGATGCAGCCAGTTGAGCCGCTGCTTCCAACTCCTTTCTCTTCCGAATCTCCTTGAGAAGGAAGCGCATGTAGGTTGTAAAAGTGCGGTAAATGCCGGGCACCATGAAGTCATGTCGAAGTTGGCTATACAGCAATACCTGATGAGTTCTCTTTGCCTTCTTCCTTCCATTGAAGTAGGGATTGTCGAAAGCAAAGTTGATATGCTGAAGGCGGGTCTCCATAGGCAGATGTCGGCATGTTGGCATCATAGGCTGAAGACGCGTAGTCCGCTTAACAGCGTTTGGGGCCATATAGGTACACTGGAACAAGCTGGTGCAGACCTGCAAGTGCGAGAGGTTTGGAAGAGTCTTGAAGAGTCTTTGGAGCGTAATGTCGCAGAGGCTAGCGGTAAGAGAGCAGAGTTCCAAGTCGCGAGGGTAGATGAAGCTCCACAAATCCGAGATTCTTCCGGCATCGCCAGCAACGTCAAGTGTGATTGACACCTTTGTGATCTTTCTGGCCGAAGCCCTAGACCGCTTAGAGATCCTAAGGCTGATGGCGAACGCCGCATAAGTTGCGAGGGAAGTGAAATTAAAGGAATTGTCTCTGTAAGCAATAGCAATACCCTCACGATAGAACCGCTTGTTAACGAGTAAGATCGGTAGGAAGCTATTTGGGCTTAAGTTGTCGGATTTCGTGCCATGCATCTGCTTGAACTGGTCCTCGCGCGTGACGCTAGCATATGGACGGACATCTCCCTCTGCTACGAGTGCGAAGGTCAAGATATTCTCCAAAACTTCCGGAGGAACCTTAGCGAAAGCGGAGACCTTTTGAAGCATGAATTAGCCCAGGAGCCCAAGTTGGTGCCTTAGAAGGGGAGACTCACGTCTCCAGTAGAGTACCAGTCTGCCATGCACGCCATTTTGTATCTTGGGATCAATGGTAGGGAGGGTGGATATGAGATGGATGAGCGCGCGAACAGCACGCGAGGATGTCGAGGAGTAAACACCAAAATGGCGTTTCACGGTAGAGAAGGTGGATGTTAGAAGGATGAGCGCGAACAGCGCGAGAGAAATCGAGGAGTAAACACCAAATAAGTGTTTGATGGTAGGGAGGGTGGATGTCAGAAGGATGAGCGCGAACAGCACGCGAGGATATCAAGGAGAAACTCCAAAGCGGCGCTAACACTCTTTAACCGGGGCATGTTCTCTGATCACCAGCAAGTGAATTTCAAGATATTGTCAGACGAGAAAATCAAAGGTGAGGTAGTCAAGGCAAGTCTTTATTTTTGGCTCTCTCTTTGTCTACCTAGTACTCCTGCATGAGGTCCTAAATGCAGTTGGAATGTCAGTTATCAACAGTTACAATCATAGGCTTTGCTTGTCTCAATAAGTTTGGCTGATTTCTTACACAGTGTGCTAGTAACTGGTTAGTCATGTTGAAACAGAAGGTTAGAGGAGCTTTGCAGACATGGCAAATCAAAGTACTTCATCCTCAAGTATGAGACCATTGGCAGATCTACCATGATCCATTCCAAGGCGAGATTGAAGATAGAGATACACTAAGAGAAACCATTTATGACTATCATATTCAAGGCGTATCATAGTCTATATCAGAACTCAAACCCCCAAAGATCTCTCAACAGATGCAGAGCCTCTGTAAAGACTGGGAAGGCTACAAGATTCAGAGGCAGCAGGCCGATCAGTCACTTCATGCATATTGATAAGACTGCAAAGGATGGGCAATTATTAAGAGGTTCCTAATCTCCATCACAGATCTCATATTGTTATATTTCAAGCCTTTTTGCAGCTTTGATCATCTATATGTCCTATCAGGCGCTTTAGCAGGGGGTTTCATTTCTGTTCCCCTCTTGTTGAACCAAATGTATTATTAAATAGAGCGATAGCTCTCATATTACTCAGTAAGGATATTGAATAGTGAATGAGTTTACTACTACTATATGTCCTGTCACATAATCGTAGGAAGTGGAACGCGATTTCCTCAACGCGCTCCTAAACAGTCAAGTACGTATACCCAAGTTCTCTCAGAACAATACCACCACTACAACATATTCAATACAGCATAAACTCTTCTGTGCATCTATTATCTCTGACAATCCTTTCCCATAGAGCATAATTTCAAACACCACGGAGAAGAGGAAGCCAACATGGACCGCGTCGTGCGATTCAAGGACTGCAAATGCGTCTCACCCCATCGAACACTTGTCGAGTGCGCGCTGGCAAGAAAACTTGAAACACATAAGGATGTTACAAAGAGGTGAGATACAAAAACATATACCTTCAGATCCTATCTGATTCAAAGGCTAACGGCATATCACTTCCCAGCGTCATTGTCGGTAGCCCCATTGTCCATTTCATCGTTGGCAAGGAGGCAAAAAGCTACTATATCCACAAAGACCTCCTTATCATCCACAGCGGCCGCTTCGCCAACCAACTAGCGCGCAGGGGAAATGATAACCAGGAGCCCATCTTTCTTAATCTCAAGCCATGCCCGTTCATCGTCTTTAAGCGGTGGCTCTACACTGGCGAGATAAACGCGTATGATGCCTGGACTGGCCCGGATATTGTACGCTTCGAAGGTCTCTGGCTATTTGGTGAATATCTTCGCTCTCCATCATTTCAGAACTGCTGCATGGACACTATCATGCAGTATGCTGACCGAAATCCAAATTGGCTATCGCGCGCTGAAGCAGTTGCGATTTACAAGTGTACAAAAAAGGGTTCGGTCCTTGATAAGATTGTAACCAGGTCGCTGCTATATCTGAATGGATATTGGAGCTCTTCTGACCATAATCGGCGTCAGTGGCTTGCAAACACTCCCGCCTCGATTGCGGATATCAACCGCGCCCCTCGGACGCTTAGTTACAGTGATCGTCCCTGGTCTGTGAAGTTCCGTGCCGATTACATGGTTGATGAAGTCCCGTTGGAAGTCCGCTTGGAGCGCCACATCTTGTCGAAAAAGGCCAAAGAGGACGAGAGGAAGAAGAAGGCTCAGAACAGACCATCAGGGATGGAATGTCTTCCTGCGGTCACAGACAACAGCACAACAGCACCTAATGCTGCTCTCGACCTCGATCAATGACTGTGGCACCACTAAGAAAACCCGAGTCCTCACTCCCTTCATTACAAGTCTTACAATCCGCAGTAGCTGCCATCTTCGAATTCTCAGTTGTTACCGCATCAGTTTCTTGTCTCCTGAACTTTTTCGGGCCCCTCGTTGCGATTTCTGGCTAGAGTCTCATCTCAATCCTCCCAGCATCCTCGATTTGGACTTTGGACTAACAGGGAAGGACACTCGAGGGAGGATAACGGCATGTTACGCCTGCGATCTTCACGTGGTATCAATAATAGCGAGGATTTGGGGAAATACGTGACAATACGATTCGTACAAGGCAATAAGAAGCGCAGTTCTCCATAATCAATCAGTAATTTGCAAAAGCCAAGCATAGTGCCGTTGGTCTTCACTTGAGGTGTACTTCTTGCAGTGCGATGTCACGCTTTTGCTAGCAATGACTCAAGAAACCCTTTGGCGTTCCTACTGATGGAGGTAAAGGGGGTTTCAGCAGCAAAAAATAAATTAAATTCCATGCATACAAGTCACAATCACAGCAAGAAATGTCCATGGTACCTTGACTTATATATCCTTAAATTATCCTCTATTTAATGTATTTCCCGAACCCCTATCTCAGTTAGCAAGGCTCTATAATGACGGGGAAGAGGGCATACTTCGGATTACTCTCTACAAACTCGTCCCACTCTCTCGCCTTCATCGTCTCCTGATCCGCCTTCTCGTAATTATCCTCATCCGGCTCTGGAGGGATACCACTCGCCTCGCCACCCCCCTCAATAATGCCCCCTCTAGCCCGCTCCTCCTCCAGATACTCATCGATCGTCATCGTCGGCAAGTTATGCCCTGGTCTGAACACGCCCTCTTTGATCGTCTGTCTGCTATCCAGCAACGTAAAGGGCCGTAATGGCTTGCCTCCTGAGCTTAATAGTGGCCCCTTGTTTGCAGCTGACAGCACATCCCTCCGATCCAAACGCTCCGAGTACTCAGACCCATCGCGCAGACCGGCTCGCTCGCGGTAATCACGCTCGAGAGCCTGCGGCGTGGGACCCGCAGGGGGAGGCGCCATAGCAAGGACCTCCAACTCGCGGTTTATAGACTCCAGAGCTTGGAAGGTGGCATGTGTGCATAAGGCGATATTGGCGAGGTGCAGTTCGCGGACGGCAGCATCGTCGTTTTGTAGGTAGGCAGGGGACTGTTCCAGGAACTATTCCACGATTACTGTTAATCAGAGCCCCACGATATTACATGAGACGCCGTACCTCCAGCTTCCGCTTCAATTCCTTCTCGAGCTTGAAATTCGCGATCTTGGCGCCGCGGCGTACGCTCGGGTCGCTGCTCGAGACTGTGGAGAAGGTGGTCGGTGATTCGGTGTACGTATTGTAGAGCTTCTTGTCGGCGGGGGAGAGGATCTCGTAGTGGTCGAGGAGGTTTAGGTAGCGCTCGTATGCGTCTCGCGCCCGCTGGAGGATCTGTTTGCGGTCAGGGGAGGAGATACGCTGGATAAGGTCTGCGAGGCGGTAGTTGATCAGAAGATATCTATCATTTTGATAGTCAGCGCGGATTTGCAAGCACAGCGGAAGCTCAAATCACATACTGCATGTCACCGGAGGCCAGATCCTCGAGCGTCTCATTGGGACTGAACAGCGAGAGTCGGTCGGCGAGCTGGAGACAGTTCTCGTAGGTTGCTATCGCGGCGGCGAGGTTTTGCTGGTATGTTGCGGTGTTGCTGTCCCATGATGCCTCAATGTCTTTCCTCTGGCGCTCTGCAGAGCCAAAGAGAGCTCTGATGCTTTGTTCTTCCATTGCAGAGTGCTTATCCACCGGTTGGTGATATCGTCTTGTATTTGCGGGGATGATTGAAAACGTCAGGTGGGGTCGTGATGAAGACGCGAAATTCCCCTCGATCTTCACCTCGCTTCGCGTCTCCCAAAACCAACAACCCATTCAAGAATGAGTTGAAGATTTATTTCAATATTATACCTATTGACTTGACTTGGATGTTTCTCTTCTCCAGATGTTTTGATCTTTGGAGATAGACATCAACTGCGGCGGGAATCTCCTCTCGGGCCCTGCACATGTAAACCATTACCCTTTGTCAATCTCTATAGTTTCTTCACCATGTTTGCTGCCGGGAACTCGTATCTGCAGGATCTCTCTCAGCTGATCGAGTATCCGGAATGTTTGCTTGCATTCACTGACAGCTCATTTACTGACAACCACACAGTCACGACCGAAGAGCAACTAATTGAGGGAAGTGATGAGGCACGCCAGTGTCATCTCACTGAACCTACCCTCGCGGCTATGGAGATGTTGAATGATACTTCCTTGATAGCTGGATCGAGTGTTGGGCCTACTTCTCCCCATCAGCATGCCAATATGGACTCTCTTCTAACATCGTCCGACGTTGTCTCTTCGTCCACAAAAGCAGCGAGCGCCCATTCAACTCTGACAGCAAACGAACGAGGTCTCCCGGAGGTGTCGTATCCGAAGCCTGCTCTAGCTACATCTCTCCATGAGAATAGACCTTCTCCAATTGCGTTGAAGAATATCAACTCCCCTCCAGGTTTGTCCTTTTCAATCGATCATGGCATAAAACCGAAGGGACTTGCAAATAGAGATACCCCTCCAGTGAACGGCTCACTCGATCATTCGATGCCTCTAACAAGCCAAGAAGCAGTGTCTTTTCCTTCTCCTTATATAGCGGGACTAGAGGAGATGGCAATAGCTCAATTACCAAATCCTCGTCCTGATCACCAGTCAGCCCTTCCTGTCACTAATTACCCTACACCAGACCCAGCTCCCACATCAGGTTCATTTGCTCCAAAGGTCGCTCCACCTTCAACGCCAGCTAGCCCCGTTTCGACTACAGAGACTCTGTCTTCCTTGCCAGCACCTGTCACAGGTCTCGGGCTGCCAGCAGCTACTATCCCCATCCAGCAGGAAATTACCACAACTCTGGCAGCCAGAACTACGGAGGATGTCATTGCCGATCTCAAGCGTTCCTTTGGCACTTCTAATAAGTTGAGCCCTTCAAAAAGTTCCCGAGGCCCCCCCTCTCCTCACTCAGATGAATCGAAGCCTCCGGGTTCTGTGCATGTCTTGCCTACTGATGGACACGAGGAATCAGACCTTGAGAATGGTGAAAATGAGGATGATGATGACGATGACGATGACGACGATGAGATCCGTACTTCTGCAAAGCCGAGGAAAATTTCTGAGCGCAAGAGAAGAATGAACGCCATTGCAGACAATTATATCCAGGAATCCATCCTAAGGTCTATCAAGGAGGATAATCAGGTCAAGCCCGGAGATGAAGTAAATCAATCTGCTAGATGGCTTGTCAATCAATCCGAAAGTCAGGAGATCATCTCAACCCCAAGAGAGTACCAAACCGAACTTTTCGAAAGGGCCAAGGAGAAAAATATTATTGCTGTCTTAGATACAGGTTCGTTTTATACATGAAATTATGTTGAGTAAACTAACAACTGTAGGCTCTGGTAAAACTTTGATTGCGGTCCTGCTTCTTCGTCACATTTTTGCTCAAGAGTTGGAAGACAGAGCAATGGGCAAGCCCAAGCGTATATCTTTCTTTCTGGTATGTATAACTGTTGTATAACTTGTCTTTCTAGCTAACGAAGCTAGGTCGATTCTGTGACCCTGGTTTTCCAGCAACATGCAGTCCTCAAGGCCAATCTTGACCAACCAATGAACATGTTTTGTGGCGATATGGGCTGCGATTTATGGAGCAGAGAACTTTGGGAGAAGCACTTCAATGAAAACATGGTGATTGTCTGCACTGCTGAAGTCCTTCGCCAATGCCTTCATCACTCTTTCATATCGATGGATCGCATCAATCTTCTAATCTTCGACGAAGCTCACCATGCAAAGAAGGACCACTCATACGCCAGGATCATCAAAGACTTCTACGTATCAGAAGAAAATAAAACTTCACTTCCAAAGATCTTCGGGATGACTGCGTCGCCTGTAGACGCTAGAGTTGATGTCAGAACAGCTGCCGCTGAATTGGAAGCCCTTTTGCATTGCGAGATTGCTACTGCGAAGGATGGTATGTTGGCTGGATACAAGATTACATCGCAACAAGAGCAACTTGCCAAATATTCGACGTTGGGACCAGTGTTTGAGACACCCCTTCATCAGAAGATGTATGAGAGGTTCAAAACTAATCCTGTCTTCAAGAAGCCTCTATTGTACTCACATGAGGTGACAAAAGAGCTAGGACCTTGGTGTTCAGACCAAGTGTGGCCTTTTGTTCTGAGTGATCATGAAGCCAAGAAGCTCTTAGCCAAGACCGAGCGCCAGTATCATGCCCGGAAGGTTGAGGAGCCATTGGAGGTTCTAGAACAGCGTAAGCTCCAACTTCAAGAGGCCCAAGATATTGTGAAGGCCTGGAACTTTGATCCACCTCATCTGGATGCGTCAGGCTCGTCCAAGAACCTGTCTTCGAAGGTCGTACTGCTTGTCCAGTACCTGAGGGAAAGGTTTGAACGACCGACTGATGATAAAGTCATCGTGTTTGTGAGACAGAGATACACTGCCAGCCTCCTTGCTAGGCTATTTTCTCACTCACACATCGGGACTCCTTATCTCCGTGTTGATACTTTGGTATGTGATCACATATCATTCTCAGCAGACTTGAGATTCAGCTAACACTAGTTCTACAAGGTTGGCTCCAAAACTGGAGATGCAGGAGATTTGCATGTGTCTTTCCGCCAACAGGTTGTTACGATGATGAACTTCCGAAAAGGTGTTGTCAACTGTCTTTTTGCAACATCTATCGCCGAGGAAGGTCTTGATATTCCGGATTGTAACCTTGTGATCCGTTTTGACCTTTACACAACCCTGATTCAGTATATTCAGTCGAGGGGCCGCGCCAGGCATACGAACTCCAGGTATATTCACATGTACGAGGAGCATAATCTGGACCATATTCAAATTATTCAAGAAGTCCGTCGGAATGAAAGCATACTGAAAAGATTTTGCAACGCTCTTCCAGAGAACAGACTAGTCACAGGCAGTAGCTTTGATATGGATCATTTCTTGGCCAAGGAGAGATCGCATCGCGTCTACAAAGTACCCGAAACGGGTGCAAAGCTTACTTACAAAATGAGCCTCATGGTTCTTGCGAATTTCGTCGACTCGTTACCTCGCAGTCCAGATAGTATCCCCAACCCGGAGTATGTCATTACTGTCCAGAACAAGCTATTCATATGCGAAGTAGTTCTCCCAGAAGCATCACCAATTCGAGGAGCTGTTGGGCGTCCATGCTCTACCAAGCAAGTAGCAAAATGCTCTGCAGCTTTCGAAACATGTCTCCTGCTAAGAAAGGGTAAGTACTTGGATGAATGGTTACTGCCCACGTTCACCAAGCAACTGCCAGCCATGCGCAATGCCCTTCTTGCTGTCGACTCGAAGAAGCGGGAAGAATATAACATGCGCACAAAACCGGACATGTGGTCTGCCGGAAGCATCCCCGATGAGTTGTTCGTGTCAGTCCTAAGCCTGGACCAGCCAGAATGTCTTGATCGTCCATCACAACCATTAGCTCTATTGACAAGGTCGCGACTCCCACAGCTTCCGTCATTCCTCTTGCACTTTGGTGCTGGCCGGAAGTCACCCGTTCAAATCACGTCTTTTGCCCAGCCTCTGAAGGTCAACGCTTCTACTCTCCATGAAATTAATACTTTCACGCTCTGTATCTTCGACGATGTATTCAGCAAAGGTTATGAGGCCGACGAAGCAAAGATGCCATATTTCCTTGCCCCGGTCAAGTCACATGGCTCTATAGATCAATGTTGTGACCCATCCGAGGTGATTGCATGGGACATTATCAAGAGCATAGAGGATTACCAGTCGAAATGGGGTGACCAACCTTGGGAGAATAAAGCATGGCAGGATGCGCCGGATGAGTATTTTAAAGATAAGTTTATTGTCGACCCTTGGGATGGCTCTCGCAAGTTTTGGTCCCTGGGAGTAGACCCTCAGTTTAAGCCATTGGACCCTGTTCCCGCCAATTCGGCATCTCGCTCTGGAGCACGGAAGAACAATGATAACATCATGGAGTACAGCTGTAGTCTGTGGGCGAAGGCCAGAGCTCGTCGAACGTTCGATGAGAATCAGAGGGTCATTGCGGCCAGACTCATATCCCTGCGCCGCAATCTTCTTGATGAATTCGATACCTCAGAAGTCGAAACCTCTAAGCAATGTTGGGTAATTATGGAGACACTCAAAATATCACCTGTAAGTATATCTCTGAAGTCACGTTGTGCAAATGCTGATAATGATAGCTTCCTGCAACTGTTGCTGCTATGGCATATCTGTTCCCTGCAATCATACACCGAGTCGAGTCATACCTCATTGCCCTCGAGGCTTGCGCCTTGCTACATCTTAATATTCGTCCGGAGCTTGCTTTGGAAGCTGTGACCAAGGACTCGGACAATTCAGGCGAACATGGCACCGAACAAATCAACTTTCAGCGTGGCATGGGTAACAACTATGAGCGTCTAGAATTCCTCGGTGATTGTTTCTTGAAGATGGCAACTTCGATATCTCTCTACGGTATATATCCGGATAACGACGAATACAGCTATCACGTTGATCGTATGATGTTGATTTGCAACAAAAATCTCCGCGACAATGCGGTCAAGCTGAAACTTTACGAATATATCCGCTCTCATAGTTTCAACAGACGAGCATGGTACCCCGAGGGTCTTGTTCTCAAGAAAGGCAAGACTGCGAAAGCACCAAATTCCCATCATCTCGGTGATAAGACTATTGCAGACGTTTGCGAGGCTTTGATCGGTGCTGCTCTTCTCACCTGCCATGACTCTAAGGATATGGACAACGCTGTCAGGGCGGTTACTGAGTTGGTCTCCAGTGAAAATCATAACGTCACCAGATACTCTGATTACTACAAGCTCTACAAGAAGCCAAAGTATCAGACTGCCGGTGCTACGGCAGCACAACGCGATTTGGCGCGACAGCTAGAAGAAAAACACGCCTACCATTTCAAATATCCTCGTCTTGCCCGATCAGCCTTTGTTCATCCATCGTATCCCTTCTCATATGAGCATATCCCGTCTTATCAGCGACTCGAATTCCTGGGAGATGCGCTTCTTGACATGGCTTGTGTCAATTTCCTTTTCCATGAGTTCCCTGCGCATGACCCTCAGTGGCTTACCGAACACAAGATGGCGATGGTGTCCAATCAATTCCTGGGAGCCCTTTGCGTATCACTTGGATTTCATAGACATTTGCTTCTCTTCAATGCCACCTTTCAGAAGCAGATCGGGGACTACGTGACTGAGATCACTGAAGCCCGCATCCAAGCTGAGGAAGACGCCCTTCGAGCCGGCAAGACCCGTGAGGAATGCTCACCCGATTATTGGCTTGCTGTGCGTCAACCACCGAAGTGCCTTCCTGACATCGTCGAGGCATACGTCGGTGCTGTCTTCGTCGATTCCGAATACGACTATAGAGAGGTCGAGCGTTTCTTCGACGAACACATCAGATGGTTTTTCAAGGACATGTCCATCTATGACACCTTCGCCAACAAACAACCTACTACTTTCCTAACCAAGTTTCTCCAGGTTAACATGGGCTGTATGGACTGGTCGGTTGTCACTCGCGAGATCCCTACTATCGATGGAAGCAAGCCGGCCGTTATGGCGGTTGTCATGATACATTCCCAGGTCGTAGCGGATTTCAAAGCGGAAAGTAGTCGATATGCGAAAGTCGGGGCTGCGAAAAAGGCATTAGAGATCTTGGATGGTTTGCCTTTGCCTGAGTTTAGGCAGGAGTATGGTTGTGATTGTCAGGCTGAGGTTGATGAGGCTGAGGCTAATGGAAAGCATATTCATGGCACTGCGGTTTGAGGGCGGAGTTGGCTGCTGGCGTTGTGATGACTTATATGGCGTCGACTGGTCACGATTTGTGTGACGATGATAGACACGGCTCATTGTTTCTACACGACTTCTGATATGCACCACATTCTTAAGGTTCGGAGTCTGGGAATCAAGTTATCCAAAATCAATTTCCGGATCCAATAAACTGCCCCTTCCGTGAATCTTTCGTAGCATGAAAGATGAACCCTCTGATATTACCATGGGCTCTACCTATCCTAATGACAACTTGTTTTGAGATGTAAAATACTTGTCACCAGTTTCTCCTAAGTAGGTAGGCAGATATTTTAAGGATGGAATGTAATCCACGATTCAGTGACCAAAAGTTGCAATGCTCCACGCATACACCTTTAGTTATAGAGTGACCTTAACCGATTCTCTAATAGAATCATACTGTAATCGCACCGTAGAGAGATATTCCAGCTTCCGTGGTATTAGAGAGCTTCAGGCTTCAGCAGGTTGAGAGACGGCGCATAAAATCCATCAGTTAGCGTAACAGCGGCGCAGCCACTACCACGAGCAGCACCTATATAGCCAACTTACCTGACTGAATTAAAGATATACTCCCACGCCAATATGGATCGAACTGCCCGTAACAGGTGGATGATGTACGGTGCTGCTATAGCTGGTATATACTACTATAGGCGTATGCAGCGCCGCCGCCGCCGCCTTAATCGTGAGTCTTCGGACGATTCGGACCACTCTCTACGATTTTCTCCCCCACCCCCTCCCCCCCCCCACCGGCGTCGCAAAATCATTCCGCCGGTCCCACAAACGCGTCGTCGCGTCGCCCTCTCACCTCTCCCTCACATCGCAAACACGAACACGAACCCGCGATGCCTGCCCGCGCAATCCAGAAATCAAAATCTCACCAGGGGCCGCTGGTCCCGAACCTTCTTCCCTGCAGGATACATCGTGATGGGAGTGTGGATGCTTCGGGGCGGTATTGGAAGCCGGTTTTGAAAGGTGAGCTTGCGTTTTCTCTTTTCTCTTTCTTTCTTTCTCTTTCTTTCTTCTCTTTCTTTGGTCTTTTCTTGGGCGGGGAGCGAGGCGGGGTTGCGGTTGGAAAAGGAGAAGGGTAAGGAGGGAAAGTAGAGGTTTTGGAGATGAGGTGACAAGAGACGATTGAAAATGGGCTCTAGGGACATGGTTTGATAATAGCTAACTGATGACACGACAGATGGCAAGAAAATTGCCTATTTCAGAGGACGCAAACTATACGGCCGAGAATTCAAGGTTCCGCAAGGATACAAAGGCGTGGTGCTCTTAAAAACAAATCGGGTATTACCGAGAGAGAATCAAGATCGATATGCCGGACACGAAGATACCGCGGATATAGAAGAAAACGAAGAGGAGCAGGAGACGGGAATCCTGGAGGAAAAGGCGACTTTCGATAATGTGATGGTTTGGGGTCATGAAGTGCTGGTTGACAAGGAGGATGTTTATGTGAGGGCGTTGGAGGAGTGGGTTGGTGTTGCTGAATCGGTGAGTTGTGTTTTAGTTCTCTTCTAATATGCTTTCTTCTCTATTCTGTCATCTCTCATTTGTTCTTGATCCAGTTCTTATAGATGGATATTCCAGAGAGGGATGATTTGCGGCTGACGAGAAATAGATCCATTCTTTCGCAGAAGAGAAGAGCGATGCGGCGTTGGGAGGGGAAAAATAGATTCGCTAACTGTGTATGGGATGTTGGAGTACTGGATACAAGGCAAGATACGGCGTTGGTTTGGGCAATACCAGGATATTTGAATTGTGCAGTTTTGGGCTGTTGGTTCTGATGTGACATTTAAAGAGGAATCTGCGGTTTTGAGGGTTTTGACTTGGTACTTGTTACGTATTGGTTCCCTCTTTTCTCCTTCCTTTGCAACACCCAAACTTTACATATTTTATTTCCCCTCCCGTTTCTCGCCTTTTGTGTGTCTGTCTATTTCCTGTCCAGACAGGCACCGCTGTTGTAATAAGAACTCGATGTTGAGGTTCAGGGGATATAGGAGAAGAGAGGCATTTTAGGTCAACAAGACACATCAAACTAAAAACTATGAGAACAACTTTCACTCATTAGCTGCAAGAAATACAAGTCTTCTTATTCATCCGCCTAGCAACTCTCTCATGGAGGCCAGACATGTGATTCCCCCCTATTGATATCGATGATTATATGCAAGCACTTTATTACGGCAGCCATGATCGCGTCGTCGCGCAGAAAGCGCGTCAAAACGCGACTCGGCCCTGCCCCTGTTTAAACGCCAACTCCTGAACAAATTCTCCACAAACATCAACACCGCGACCGTACCACATCCTCTTTAATTCTATCGCCCATAATGGCTTCAGTCATGATGTCCGATGTTATCGACTCAGATATTGGCCCATCCAGCCGGACTGGTACTCCCGGAGCCCGCTCCAGACGCAGGGGGTCACAAGGGTCTTCAGCTCGACCACGAGGCCCTCCAACTGAAAGTGTTGGGCCCATGAGTGATGATGAAGGCTTTGCGGATGATCAGATTCCAGTTGGATCTAGTCGACCCAGGAGAAACGATCGCAACATTCCCAGAGTGGAGGATGCTATCGGACAATACGTCCAAATCAACTTTGAGGATTTCCTCGAGCAGTGAGTAGTAGATTGTCTCTCTCTCTGTCGCAACATACTGACGACCTGCAGATTCGTCGAAGATCCAGTATCATCAGGAGCACCTCCATCGAGTGCTGTCACGACAGACAAGTACTATATTGCTCAGATCCATGGTCTGAGAACATACCAGCTTTCCACGCTCTATGTCGACTATACGCATCTTGCACAGTGGAAGGGGGGTGCGCTGGCTGTGGGAATTGTTGAGGAATACTACAGATTCCTACCTTTCTTAACGAAAGGCCTGCATACCATGATTGCAAAATACGAACCTCGATACTTCCGAGATCATCGCCAACCAGTAGCATCAAGCAACCAGACCTCGTCTGGTGCCAGTAACGCTGCTTCTGCAAGTCAATCTGATTTTCAGGGCGACAAAACCCCAAATCAACAGACTGACAAGTTATTCGCCCTCGCCTTTTACAACTTACCTCTCGTCACTCGTATCCGACACCTCAGGACTAACAATATCGGTCAACTGCTTTCAATTTCTGGCACAGTCACCAGAACCTCCGAAGTCCGGCCAGAACTCTCTCTCGCAACGTTTATTTGCGAATCCTGCCGGAGCACCGTTCCCAATGTCGAGCAGACCTTCCGATACACTGAGCCAACCCAGTGCCCTAACCTGGAATGTGGCAATCGTCATGGGTGGAGACTAGATATCAGGCAGAGTACCTTTGTCGATTGGCAGAAAGTCCGAGTTCAAGAAAATAGTTCCGAGATTCCTACAGGAAGCATGCCTCGGACCATGGATGTTATTCTTCGTGGTGAAATCGTGGACCGGGCCAAAGCTGGAGAGAAATGCATCTTTACTGGAGCTCTTATCGTCGTGCCTGATGTCAGCCAACTTGGCCTTCCAGGCGTTCGGCCAATGGCCGTACGAGACAACCAGAACAGGAGTGGTGATGCTAATGGCGTTACCGGTTTGAAAGCACTTGGTGTTCGAGACCTTACCTACAGACTTGCTTTCCTAGCTTGCATGGTAACCCCAGATACCACGACTCCTGGACAAGCGTCGTCTCAACAACTCAATGGTCAATCCAGCAATATCCTAGCATCTCTCAACCAAACGGCTCCCATTGATCCAAACGAGCCGGGCGAACATGCACAAGAAGCCGTCCTTGCATCCATGACGCATGCAGAAATCGAGGATCTTCGAAAGATGGTTCACAGTGATCACATATACTCTCGCCTGGTCAACTCAATTGCTCCTATGGTTTATGGGCATGAAATCGTCAAAAAGGGCATCCTTCTTCAATTGATGTCCGGAGTCAGCAAAACTACCAAAGAGGGAATGGCACTCAGAGGTGACATCAATATCTGCATCGTTGGAGACCCTTCAACCTCGAAATCCCAATTCCTCAAATATGTCTGCTCCTTTCTGCCTCGTGCTGTTTATACTTCTGGTAAAGCTTCCTCGGCTGCTGGTCTCACAGCCGCTGTCGTGAAGGATGAGGAAACAGGAGAGTTTACCATCGAAGCCGGTGCTCTCATGCTTGCAGACAATGGCATTTGTGCAATTGATGAGTTCGACAAGATGGACATCAGTGACCAGGTTGCTATCCATGAGGCTATGGAACAACAGACTATCTCTATTGCAAAAGCTGGTATCCAAGCCACTCTCAACGCCCGAACATCCATTCTCGCAGCTGCAAACCCAGTCGGGGGGCGATACAACCGAAAGACTACTCTACGAGCCAACATCAATATGTCTGCTCCTATCATGTCCCGTTTCGATCTGTTCTTCGTCATTCTCGACGAGTGCAATGAGAACGTGGATCGCCATCTCGCGGAGCACATTGTGGGGATCCACCAGTTGAGGGACGAGGCGGTGCAGCCAGAATTTACCACCGAACAACTCCAACGCTACATCCGTTTCGCGAAGACGTTCAAACCAGAGTTTACGCCCGAAGCTCGCGAGGTCCTGGTTCAGAAGTACAAAGAGCTTCGAAGCGACGACGCACAAGGTGGCATTGGACGGAACTCCTACAGAATCACGGTCAGACAATTGGAGTCGATGATTCGACTGAGTGAAGCCATTGCCAAAGCCAACTGCGTGGAGGAGATCACTCCCGAGTTCGTCATCGAAGCCTTCAACCTCCTCCGACAAAGTATCATCTCGGTCGAGAAAGACGACGTGGAGGTCGACGAAGACGAGGACGAGGTCCTGAATCGTCGGCCACGAGACATCGATGGAGACGCGCCGATGGCGGATGGCGGTGACGACGAAGATGGAGATCACGGCCCCGATGGTGGAGCAGGTGCAAACGGCAGCACGCCCGCGCCAACGAGCAAGAAGACCAAGGTCACGTACGACAAGTACATCTCGGTCGTCAACCTGCTAGTGCAGCGAGTCAACGAGGACGAGCTAGGCTCGGGCGAAGGTGTCGAGGGCGAGAAGCTGGTGGAGTGGTATCTGGAGCAGAAAGAGGACGAGCTAGCAGGAGAGGAGGACTACCACGCCGAGAAGGCACTGGTGAAGAAGATCATCAAGCGGATGGTTAAGGTTTGTCGCCCCTCTCTCTCTCTCTCTCTCTCTCTCTCTCCTCTGATCCCCAATCTCCCAATCTCCCATTCCTCCATTACTTACTTACTAACTCGCGCGCAACAGGAGAACATCCTAATGGAGATCCGCGGACAAGGTCTCGTAGGCGAGGATGGACAAGGCAGTTCCACCACTACCGCAGAGCACAGCGTCTATGTCTTGCACCCTAACTGCGCGGTAGAAGAGTACTAGGCGTAGTTGTTGCGTATGAATGATGTTCTGGGTATGGAATGGGCGGGTGGCTGGGTGAACGGACGGACGGACGGATGAATGAATGGATGGATCGATCGATACCAAGAAACCTCTCTCGGAATTTTTGGCGTTTGGGGGTTTGGCGGGATGTACTGGCTTCTTCACGTATGGTTGTGTGTATGTGTGAATGGAAGAGAGAAGAGGCGGAGGGGTTGGTAGGAGGGATTGATTATTCTACTATGTCTGAGCGAGGGTGTAGGGAGTGATGAATGAGAGAGGATATATGCATGCTCCTGATTGATATTTCCTGCTTGTCAATCTGCTTACCTATTTGGGACTCTATTTCCGTCTTCATAGGAGGGTGAGAAGATGTCTGAAAATGTCGGTTCAATCAATCAATCACGACCACAGATGAAGTGTTCGTTCAAATCGAGAATTATTTTTCATTAGGAGTTCGCCTGTCTACTAATTCACATACTCAATTCATACGCGTACTTCACCCTACCATCTAAAGCCTTCTCCACACTCTCCGCAAGCTGTATAGCAAGATCCCTCGAGAAGAAAGCGATCCCCAGCTCCTGGCTAGTCATCCAACTAGCACGATCCATATTCCCACTTCCCAGGATCGTGACCTCGTCATCTATGCACACGAATTTCAGATGGCTCTTCACGGGCTCGTTCGGGTCCTTGACCGACTTGTCGCTCTTCGGTTTGTAATATCCAATGCTTAGTGAGCCGAGCCTGGGAGGGTTTTCTACGGGTTGGCCTCGTCGGGATGCTCTTTCGTACCGTCGCAGGGCGATGGTTTTGGCTTTCTTTAAGTGTGAGTATCTGCCTCCGAGCCTTCGTACCTCGCATTCGGTGATGCGGCCTGCGGTGGCGAGCTGTTCGAGAACCATGAGATGTTTTGAGGTGATGATGTGCACATCTACGCCGCGTTTGAGAGCTTCGGTGAGGGCTCTCATGACTGGGCGATAGGTCAGATTCGGCGTTTGGATGTAGATGCTTGATTTTGCGGCGCGGAAAATGTGTTGGAGAAAGGTGGTGAATGGGGTTGTATGAGGCGTGTACCGTATCCAGAGAGGAGAGAAACGGGGGTTCCAGTGGTGAGGTGAAGGGAGGAGGATCGTGGGTATCCCAGCTGGATGTGAGGGGACAGCTGTTTGAGATATCACGGGTGATCCTGGTGCAAGCTCCCCTGGCGAAGAAATGCCCGGCCTTTCCTGGCTATCCAAGGGCAAGGGAGGAAGTTCCGCCCCTCTCTTCCCCCAAAATGCAACCCAGAATTCATAAATCTTCTCCGTGATCTCTCCCTCCATCTCAATACACCCCTCAAACCAGTTCTGCCGGCTGACATTACAACTTGGCATCCATGCTTTTTTCCGATCCATGAGAATGAACTTTGGATGCATGACACTGAAGGGAGGGACAAATATACTCTTGACCACCATATGCAGTCCTTGGATCTCTTTTGGCTTCGGCAACCCAAGCCGTTTCCATGACCGAGGGTGATGCATCTTCCCCTTCCTAACAGATGGATGAAGACGCCTCCACGGCGAATGAGAGGAGAAGCAAATGCGCACCTGGATAGTATGCTTCTGCGCCAGAGCTTTTTCGGACAACTTGTGAAGCAGCAAAGTAATATCCTCGCTGGCTTTGGATTTCTTTGACCAGAAACAGGTCACAAAAATGAGTTCATGTTTGGTTTCAAGACAGGTTGCAAGAGCGGAGGAGAGGACTTGAGTGCCTGTTCCAATGGTGAAGCTGAGGGGTTGTGATGTAGTAACGAGTGTTTTGGGGTTGAGGATGAAGTAATTGGGTTGACGGACGGCATCGAATTGCGGCCGGCATTTCATTTCGCTGAGCCAGTTCTCCGGCGAATGCTCTTGGTCACTTCTCGGATGACAGCTGCATTCGCATGCCCATCCGTCAACAGGATATGCGCGCCGCATACAGTGCGGCCGGTGAACCATGTTGGAGGAATGTCGAGATCGTAGACAGAATGATGGTGGTTAGTATGCCCTGGAAGTATGTTCAGTTACTAGGAGACAAGGTTGGAGTATTTAAGGGATTAGGATTATTGAGGTTACTGATATCTGGAATGGAAGGAAATGAGTAGGAGAGAGACGGGTGAAGACAAAGTTGAGCGAAGGGAGATGTCGTCGTTCACTTGTCACGTGCGTCCCCTCGAAGCCAACTTCCTGTACAAACACAACGTCGTCTCTTTTCGCAGAAGGCGCATTCGATAAATAGAAAGTTCTATTTCTTACTGGTACTTGATCCGCAGGTACCTAGGTATGAACTTGTCGAAGTGCTTTCAGAGGACAATTATGGCTGGATAAAGACCTCTGCGAATATCAGTACCGGCGAAGATAGATAGGTTCGTGTATTTGATTATCAAAACTCTAGTAGTAGATTGGACTATTCAAAACAAGCCTATAATCCGTATCTATTTTTCCTCTCTTTTATATCTTCTTCACTTTCCTCTAAAACCTTTCGAGTGCAAAGGAACAAATAACTAAAGCACTTCATAACAGTAACTGACGTTCGTCATGCAAGTTCTAAAAGTGCCTGGGAATTAATTTCCAATATTCTATTGTAATTTCCGTGGCACCTATCACAAGGCATGGTGTATAGAGTGCAGTAGCTTTAGCTGGTATGGGATTTGATCGATTCTGAAGCCTGAGCCTGTGAGTATATCTATATAATTTTTATCCCATTTTCCTTGTCCTTTCACCTAAACTCTCCCAGATCCTGCTTCGATGCCTTCATTCGGCCTCCCCCTATCTCCCCTCCCTTCCCTTCCATAACATCTTTCACAACCCGCGCCAACCTCTTCACTCCTTCTTCGAGATCTCCCTCCTCCTCCCATGCAAAACACAACCTTAGTGAGTTCTGAAACTTTATACTCTCATCCCCGTGGACCTCGAATAGATCCCCGGGCGCCACGACTAAATTCTCTCTCTCCCTGCACCTCTCACTCACAATCTCCGCATTCACCTTCTCCGGTAACTCCAACCAGATGAAGTACCCCCCAAAGATATCCTTCCCCTCCACCTTACCCTCTTCAACCTTCACGCCCAGTGGCGTCAAATTTCTCGTGATAGCCGACATCATAAGATTGTATCTTCTTGTAAAAGCAGGTTTTAGTACCTTCTCAATATGCTCTTCCAAATCCCCGCTTTGCAGTAATGAGTTTATGATCGTGGCGGTGAGTTGACTCGGCGCTCCTCCAGAGCGCGATGAGCCGCATTGGCTCAATCCATATATGAGTTTCGGGGTCGCCTCGGCCCATCCAGTCCTCACACCCGGCCCGGCAATCTTGCTGAACGTTCCGTTGCTCACAGCGTTGCCAAAGTCTTCTTTCCCTGGCACGGGCTCCAGTGTCCGGTCGATATCTACTAGTCGTGGAAGTATTGCTCTAGTTAAATGCTGCGAGGAGGGGGAGGAGGTGGGCCAGTGCAGGAAGTCATAGACATCGTCCGTTATTATTAATGCATCGTACTTTCTTGCAAGCTGGACAAGTGAGCGCCGACAAGAGAGAGCCATGGTTCGACCAGAGGGGTTGGAGAAGGCGGGGACGGCGTAGATTACATGGCGGTAGATTTTTGACCAAGGCTTTGGCAGTTTGACTTTCTATAATACGTTAGCAAATCGTGTCTCGGAGAATAGCATAGACTGTAGAGATATAAGAATCAGAGCAGTTTTAAAAGTCCAGGCTTGTTCTTGGGTTTCCCCTTCGGTCATCACGTGCCACTGAACACTCCATTCCCCTCTGCCATCTCTCCCATTTGTCTTCTCAGGAAATTTCAAGACCACCTACCTTCTTCTCTGCATTTGCTTCCCTCTCACACTCCTCCAAGCCCTTCTCCAAAGCCTCCAGATCCACCCCTTCCGCTCCCTCCCCTACCGCCCTCGTCCTGAGCCCCGCATCCTCAAAAATCCGACACGCCAAAAAATAACAAGGCGCTACCATCCACACCCGAGTATACAAGGGATCCGTAAACACCTGTAACAAACAAGCCAGATTCTGGGAGGCGCCGCCCGTGATACAGATCCTGTCCCCATCATCCTCATCCCCGTTACCCCCTGTGCCATTGTGCGAAGCTTCCGCGGGGCCAAGGGACGGGTTGCGGTAATAGTCTGATAGCCATCTGGAGATACTCTCCCGCAAAGGTTGATACCCCGGATCAGGACCATAGAGTAATCCAGGTGTTGAGACCTGGGGGTCGGATAGAGCTTTTGCGGCTGCGGTTTGGATAGCGGAGCTGGCTAGGAGAGCCGGGTTGGGCCAGCCCCGGAGGAGATTGATTTGTTTCTTGGCAACCATTATGTCGTTCTCAGATCTGGATATCAGATAGTCAGGAGACGAATGGCGGAAAAGGGGCCAGGTTGTGAGTGTTTGAACATTGGGATTGGTGGTGGGGATGTCATACGTGGGGGAGGAATGTACCGAGTTGATTGATTGGATGGAAGTAATGGGGTGAGAATTTGCCGGGGGGCTACGGGTCTCTTTGGCTATGGGAAGGAGTTTTATAAAACTGAGAAATACAAGGTCTACACAATAAAGCTGAGAGAATTTCAGATCAGGCATTTAGACAAGGTATAGACTTCAATGGAACGTGGTCATTGGTTTGAAATGTTTTGAAGTGTTTTATTCATCAATTGGCTATTTATCGGTATCAATCAAGCCTTAACATCCGCAAGCTACACAGCAATGCTCGCAAGATTTGCAAAGAAGTATCTCTCCTTCAGCTGCTACTGCCTGAATTAGGTCAAGCTCACCATCGAATGATGCACTCTGAGGTCCATCCTTAAATGTGCTTCAAGGCCATGATTATGTCTACCAACTCCTGAAAGTCGGCGAAAATCATTTCTCCTGTGCACCTAATGTACACGCCGTATGCAAAGTTGCATTATAGCCGCTGAAGAGACAAACAACCGCTCATATGCATTCAAGTTACAAGGTGCTGTTGGTAATGCGAAAAGTGGTGTGTTGCTGTGCGTGGTAGAAAGGAAATATGAGGTCCATAATTGCACAAGAAGGTCGTTATCGCCATGCCGAGTAGAAGGCTTCCTGCAAGCTTCCTGTATCATGCTACATCCAAATCCAACACTGATTATGTATGAACCGGTGTTGAAACATGTCGGTTCCAGTTCGAGCCGTATCCTCTGCCATGCCCTCGGTGACCTCCACGACCAGTCGGGCTGGATGAAACCGATGCGCTATCGAGATTAGGAGATGGGAAACTTCCCGATGCATCTCTTGCTCTGCCGCCTCTGGTATGAGAAGAAGAATGACGTGTCGCACCTCGTGAAGCACCACCTCGTCTTGGGTTGCTTCTCTGTCTACTTGCCGGAAGACTGACACTCTTCGGCTCCGCCTGTCCGGGGAGTAAAATGGAGATTGTGACGCGGTTGTTTGTAATATGCTGAGGGAAGTTGATCGGCTCAATACTGGTGGGATTCGAAAGAAGGAACCTCTTTGGAAGTGATTTAGGCTGAGGTGTGGCCATTGACCAAGCGGCTACGGGTGCTGCAACAGGAACCTTGATGACGGGTAAGGATCCCATCTCTTGTTCTTCAAAACACTCTTCAGCAGCTGGCTTGGATGCTACAGATCCATCGTCTGCGGCCAAATCGCCAGTGACGGATGATGGCAATGATACCGTTGCAAAAGATTGGGATGTAGGTAGCTCCAAAGCATTCTTGCTTGACGAATCGACAGCAAAAGCATGCGACTTAGGAGGCGAACTCTTGCGACCAAGCAAATTGCTGATCCTATCTTGCCAACCTCCAGACCCTCCAGTAGGTGGTTGTTGACGAATATCTTGATATGAGGTTTGTCTCTGATTATAATCTTGGCGTCCAGGATAGTTGTTCGTAGAAGGTACTGCTGGCGCCGTAACCGCGGCGGCAAAAGAAGCTGGCTTTGGTGGACCAATTGGGGCAAGCACAGCAGGTGGTAACTTGACTACAGGTGAGGGACGTGGGAGGGAGACATGCGGATGAGCGCTGTCACCATCGTATGCAGGGTGGCCAGCCATGGTTGGCGGAGGTGGTGATGGTGATCCCGGCCTATCGAAAAAGGCATTCGGATCTTCCAAACGTACATCACGGTTGTTATTGGGGAAGAATCTCGATCCACGGACCTGAGGAGACGTATTCAGGTTAGAAGGCGATCTCCAAGGGTCAGGTTTGAATTGAGTTTGCCCATCGAGATGACGGTGTTCTTCGAAAATTGGTCGAGTAGAGGTTTCTTCTTGTTTCGGTTGAGCAGATCCATCATCTATGATATTCAAGGATACTGGTTGGGCCTTGCCTCGCGTTCCATCCTCATTCATAGTGACTGGGCGCCAATGATCCTTAATGATCGGCTGTGGCACGTCCGTGTATAGACCCTTGGCCTGTAGGTCACGTCGATGAGCAAGTTCAGCCTCATGCTGCTTCGCGTTTAAAGCATCTTCTTGGGCCAATTTCTCAGGGAGACTAGTCCAACCAGAGGCAGCGACACGAGATTGCTGCTCTCTTGAAACGCCGTTTGCTCTATTTGGAGGACCTATGGGTGCTGGCCGAGATCCGTATTCACGACCTCGTCCTTGTTGATAGGAACCATTTCCACGATTCGGAGGACCTATTGGCCCAGGGGTGGATGACGAATTCATGCTTAGTTCGGGGTTGAAGGTACCATTCCCGAGTGTTCTGTCACTAGAAGGTGGTCCCCAAACGTTTCTCGAAGATTGTTGTGCAGGTGCTGCACCCCAAGCATGGAATCTTTCAGAGTTCGTGGCTGTGCGGTTTTGCCACGATTGTGTAGACCGGCTCTCCTGAGGAGGTTGGGTAGATGGGGCCGATGATGCAGAAACACCGTGGGCGCCGTTGGGACGGAGGTCTTGGTTCGAAGACTGACTGTCGGTGGGCTTCGCGTCATGCGATGTTGCACTATCAACATGCTGGGAAATTTTCGCGTCCGATTCGATATTTCCTTCTGACGCGACAGGCTCGGATTTTGGCGCGGGCTCAGAAACATCACGTGTTTTGATTTGAGTAGGGACGGCCTTCTCTTCTTTGGGTGCGTCTTTCTTCTTTGCGTCTGGCAAAGGACCGAGTTCTTTCTCCATAGCTTCGAGTTTTAGACGGATACGCTCCTTTTTGGCAGCCTCCTCTCTTGCCTCTTCTTCCTGTCGTCTCTTGATGGCTTGTTCGCGTCTTAATCGCATGATTTTCTTTTGTTCCTCGATTGGATCTTCCATAACAGGCTGACTTTGAATGCCTGCAGGCGCCTGTGCAGGTGGTTCAGGTTGTCCGTGGACAGACTGAGGAGAGGGATGGCTAACAGCGGGCGACGCACGGGACCATGGCTGGTTTTGAGGCCCACGCTGACTTTGCTGTTGTCCAGAAGGAGAATAATTTCGAGGCGATGAAGGCTCATCGCTTACTGCAGCCAATGAACCCCGCCGGGCATTTAACATCTCCAGGGGCTGTGGCATATCACCTCGACTCATACGTCGGGCAAGGTTCCCACTCCCCCCACTAACATTTGAAGAAGTGCGACGACGTCCATATCCGCCATCCTGTCCACTTGCGCGATGCGTTTGGAAGGCCGCAGATGGCTCTGCTGGACCATCTTGCTGTGATGGCCTCTGCAGTACTGCGGGTTGACGAGAGTGTATATCATTCCGAGAACCTCGACGGGTGTCATTTACTGGCTCATATCGTCCAGATTGAGAGTTGTATAATTCTCTGCTCGTGTTGGAATGGCCGTCTCTCCATGACCGGCTGAAATCATCTGCAGCGATCTCCTTAGCTGGAGGCGGAGGCATTCCGTGGAATCCATGGGGATCTCTTTGACTGAAGCGGTTTTGTTGCTGTTGCTGTTGTTGTTGACTCTGGGGGATATCAATTCCAACAGGTGCTACTTTATCCACAGGAGGTAACGGAGCCCATGGCGACTTCACTGGTGCTGGAGGTCCTGGAGGCTTCGCAACCAGAGTAGGTTTCTCGCTCGCTCCTTTCAGAACTAGTCCGGCTCTTCCCCCAAATCCACTAGGCTTCACGGTAGGAGAGACAGACGCTTGGACTGGTGCTGGGGATTTTGGTTTCGTTGCTTCAAGAGGCTTCGTTTCCTTCACAGCCGGAACTGGCGAGGGAGCTGGAGCTGGAGCTGGCGCAGGTGTTTCATCTGCTTGAGGTAGAGTAATCTTTGTACCATCGGTCCATTCGATTGTTTCGGGTGCCCAGTCGTCATCGTCATCATCTATGTCTGCCCAATTCGCCTGTTTTCCTGGGTCATCCGACTGAAGCCTCGTAGCTAGATGGATTCCGTAACGCTGCTTGAGTTCTTCGTCTGTAAAACGCTTTGGTTCTGGGGGTGGTGCAGCTGATACGAGTTAGCATATTTATGTATCACAAATTCAAGTCGCCAACGTACGTCGGTTCTTATTCCATACGGCACTGCCGTCTGGGGTCCCAGGCTTGCCACCGTTCGCAGAAGCAGCAGTTCGAGGAGACGAATCGCGAATACTACTTCCAGACTTTGCAACCAGCCTTGGTCGACTTGGGGCTGTTGTCGAAGGTCCTGTAAGTGTTGCGGGTGCGCCGGCGGCTGGCTTGTCTCCAAGCTTCGAAGGAGCAGCAGCCGTCGCGGCTTTTGCCGCAAGAAATGTCTTGTTTACCGAAACTGGCTTGAAAGATGTAGGCTTCTTGACCGTGGATGTCGTACGAACGTGACCTTTGTCATCGCCTGCAGTTTTCGAGGTTTCCGCCTTCGAAGCTTCAGTATCCGATCCTCCACTAACACTGACCTCCGCCGAGATGACACCTGCTTCGGCAGACTCCGTATTACTTTTCTTGCTTCCATCTTTCTCTGCGGCTCCGTTCACGAGAGGTTGGGACTGTTCGGAAGGGGCATCCTGGCTCGTGGGTTCAGTTGTGTTCTGAGCGCACGTCAGTAAGGTGAGTAGACACATGGTACAGAGCTCTCAACGCACCAGCTCATGGTCAGGGGTAGAAGACGGCGACGCGATATTATTAGAGGTGGCTTCAGTTGCCATCATACGTCTTCAGATTGCTTGTTGTATGGTTCCAAAAGCTGTGCATGCGTTGGCCCGTCTTTGATGACTCTGCAAGCTTTGACCTTGACTCCGAGGGTTAATTGAAGGAATCGTAGATTAGAGGAGCGTCGCAATACCAGCAAGGCGACAAGAAGATGGATGATTCACTCCTTCGTTGGCCGTGACGGGAGGTATTGACGGTGTATTGGGGTCAAAGAATCAAGTTCACGATGCGTGTAGCGTTTAAGGTACGAACAGAATGTACAGGCTCGAAGCGGCTAGCGCGGAAGAATTAGCGTACTTAGCGAGCTCTGTCTTGGAGGCTGAAATTCATGACGGGTGTATAAGGTAGGGAGAGGAGCGATCTTCGTCAATACGTACTTTTAGATGCATTGAAATATATTGCAAAAAGCAAAGAAGCAATTCACTTTTCCAGTCTTGGGGTAAGATGTTGTCGGATGGAATCTTCATCTATAACTTCTGTTACCGAGTTAAGTTTGAATGAATATAAATAGCACCATATGTTGCCGCGGTATTCATGGTTCCAGCAATTCTCAAAAGGGAGCCAACCATCTGCAAGGTGCCCTCGAGATCTCGTTGACTCGGAGACAATTCCTGGGAGCCGTTCACTCTGATCATTGATAAAACTGTTTATCTAAGGTACCTATGAATGGCCATGGGAGATCGTCACCTGACATCCAGAAGCTTTTACGCTTCCGGGATACCCAAGGAGCCTCGGTCTACTCTCCTGTCATTTCTGCCTCTGCTTGACAGCATTTTGTCTTCAGTTAGTCACGGGTATTCGAATTCACCCTGCTTCAGATCGTCACACAGATTTCCTTGGACTGGTCATCCTCAGCCCGGCATTATTTTTGCAACCTTGATTGACTGGTATTCTGTGCCTTATTTACATCGATCATAGTACAGTAGACCCATCCCCTTCCATTCGTGCCCCAGGTCCCTTATCTAATGGGCGTTGTTCTTGTGGTGGCCTGCAAATCATTAGCAATGGTCCTCTCAGCTGTGAGTTTACCTCAACGTACGCAGGTGGAAGTAGTAGGCGTTAGCGTAACTGATGGCGAGGACGGCAACGATGGCGTGGATGATGGCTGGAGGAAATCAAGAAAGTCAGCTATCGTATTCCGACATGGCACGTCGATCGAAGATGGTGAACATACGGGTAGCAGAAGGGTTCTTCCCGAAGTACTTCGCTTGGTATCTGCCCACAAGGCCCTTAGGCTTGACCTCTGGAGCTGCGCCTCGGGGAAGCTTCTCGTAGAAGCTCACCACGCGTTGCATGCGGGCAGCATCTGTGGCAGCGCCAAGTCCCTAAATTCCATCAGTCCGGTCGTTCCTCACTCCATGTGGTCGGTAGTATCGGTTGCTGGGCGCAGGGTCTCGTAGGATTCAATTGACGGGTCGGCGGAAGGACAGCAACTTACAGATGGCGAGGCAATCTGATCTTAGGTTAGCAGACAGAATGGGATTGGGTTTGGATATCCAAGAGGACGCACCTTGGGAGGGATAAGGGTCGAAAGGGCCCGGCGGGTAATGTAACTCATCTTGATGACTATCCCATTCAAGTCAGCCCAATTGAACATCCCCAGCATTGCGATCTCCTTATATCCCCATCCCACACTGCCACGTACCTCTATTGAACGTCTTGATGAAATGCGAAGAGGAGAGTTGCGGTTTCAAGGTCGTGAAAACGACCTGCGGTTCCCGAAAGCTTCCACTAGCGCTAGCTGACTAAGCAGATCATCTTGACCTCGAGCTTGCCGCAACATCGAGACAAATCCCATTGCAACGAAGACGGCAACGCGACGCACAAAATGTCTCTCCTCCGTCCCTCGATCGCAGGTCGTCTGCTACGAGCAGGTGCCCCATCGGCCCTACGACCCGTTCCAGGCTCGACACGCTTCAACACCTACACCGCAGTCGGAACGCCCCTCACAACATCAGATAACACCCAGTCATCTGCACTCAGCAAGGAAGAAGTGAAGAAGTCCATGACCAGACATAATCAGCCAGACTACACAGCGGAAGTCGACCAAGCTTCTTCGTAGGTCAATGGCCAGTCGCAGATGAATTGAGGCTGATGCAAGTCACAGAACCTTCTCCCCCATCCCAAAACGGGTTATGAACGGCAGCGAAGAAGGAGATACTCTTCCAGCCGCTGTTCTGTCTGGAGCTCCAATTGACCTCGAGGCTCGCACCGTCCGGTTTGGTCCCTCTTTCCACTTTCTCTCAGTCGTCCCAACTAACAAATGCAGCATCTACAAGGAAGCCAAGCCCGCAACCCAATCCGGCGATTGGCATAGCCACCACTGGCGCATGGACTGGGATATCCTGGAAAAGGGACACCGATGGGAGAACCCTCTGATCGGTTGGCAATCTTCCGCCGATTTCATGCAAGGCACACACATCAGTTTCAAGAGCAAGGAGGACGCGATCAGGTTCGCGGAAAAGCAGGGATATGAGTATTTCGTGCAAGAGCCAAATGAGAGGAAATTCGTTCCGAAGGCATATGCGAACAACTTCTTGTACAGCCCTACAAAGCTGAAGCACATTAGGACGAAGTGATTTTTTTCACCGGAGAGGGGAAGTTGTCTTGTACATATGACGGTCAGTGGGGAATATATCACGTTCAGAGCTTGTGGATTTTTTTTATCCATCTACTCCGCAATCAGTACATCCCAATATTATATTGATGTTTAGTCGAAAGCCGTGACTATCAAGCGACTACGCACTATCTTGGGTCCCTCGACTGGTTCACCTGGAATTAAGCACTCTCTCTTATCAAGCGAGAACTGAAGTACGAGTATCAAATATTCGTTGAGCGGCGCTTCTCAAACTCAATATCAATCAAGCTACCAGCACCACAGGGTCGGGTATCAAACGTTATGAATCCGGGATTCCCGGAGAATAGCAATCTGTATCGAACGAGAATCAAGGAGAAACACCCGCCTTAACAGCAAATAAGCTTGAAGAGTCGCAAGCATAGTGTCGAAACTGAGAGGTATCGGCACGATTGCCTGGTCTGTTTTCCACGAGTTCGTTTTGATATTGCTCTTTTCTGCCCTATCAACCACTATCAATATTGAAACATAACCGACCCAAGGCCCTAATCGATAAAAACTCTAGCAGTGGCTATGTAATAGGAATGAGCAGCCTTTTTTTATATTCCTTCACGAGAGTTTCTTCCAAATGCCGGGAGAGACTCGAAGAAATCTATCATTTGTCGCTTGTATCGCTTGTATTAAACCTCTGAAGATATTGCTATGGCTAAATTATGGTATCTTTTTCATTCTTCTTGACTAGTTGGTACCAGCTGGTCCACTTCGTGTAAGCGTCCTCTAAATCAGGAATGATGTTCAATGAATTACAATTGCAGCGAAATTCCCTTGGATGACGGTTCCCCACTGAAATCTAGTGTCCACGCAACAGGTCGTCTCGCGCAGTAGTCTTTCAAGGTGGAAGCCAGGATATTCATCAAAGCGTAAAAAAACAGGCAGATCATGCAGATAGAGCTTAGGAATTGGATTGGGTCAAGTTCAGACAGGCTGTGGCTGTGGCGGCCTGCTTTTCATTATTGGGGACTTCCCAGCTTTCCAGATCGTGTAACCATCCGACTCTTTTCCAGTTAAAGCCTCAGATGAGATATGTCATCTATTAGAGGGCCCTAATAAGTCTGCATTATGATATTGGCTGACGTCGATACTGTTTCGCGATAAGATTACCGAAAAGAGATGGCTTTTATTTTCTGTCAATGACGGTGATAGACAGAAGGATTTTGTAAGACTACTACACAGTTTGATGAAAAATGGAGATGGAGAGTCACACAAGGTGTGATATAATTGGAAAAGAGTAGCAGGCAAAGCAGACTTGAGAGATGTGATGAGCTAGAAGCTGAAACTGAAGTGGCAGTAAAAGTCACGTGATAGTCTAAGCAGCAGAACTGCTTCTGTGGAAAAAGTTCTTGTGATCTAAGATGGCAAAATATCAGTCCAATTCTTAACTTGATAGAAGTTTGTAGAAGAAACAAGCAGAGGCGTTGATATCCAAGTTGATAGCCGAGCGCGCTTAATTCTGTTTAGTAAGCGCGGGTAAGCGCGCTGCGGCGATAAACTTCAAGATGCGGAAAACCATCAAGGTCTGAACCCCTTGGACTCTCCCTTCCCCTCCACAGCCGCCATGGACGATCTCGAATCCCTTGAGCTACTCTCGCTGGTCTCGAAAGTTACTTCGGAGCTACAAAACCATCTGGGCATCAGCGATAAGACCCTCGCCGAGTTCGTCATCGCCCAGCATGCGCAATGCAGTTCCTTGGAGGAGTTTCAGAAGAAGCTGGAGGGGATGGGCGCAGACTTCCCCCAGAGCTTGATCGAGAGTATAGATCGACTGGTTTTGACTATGCATCCAAAGTTCAAAGGTGCGAAGCGTCAAAATGGTCCACAGACGCAAAGCGGAACGAACAATATAGACGAGAAGACGAAGGTCTTTAAGGGGCTTGCCTTGCCCGATAAAGAGATACCCTGGAAAGATGATGTAGAGGAAGAGTATACAAATGGCGATTCGAAGCCAGAGACCGACGCGATTGACGATACCCTTGCGCTATTGGAAGGCCTTGAGGGAAAGGCGAAGACGGAAAGATCAGGCAGGACGAGCAGAAAACGAAGTAGAAGCCCAGACGAGGATTATGATAGGGGGCGGAGTCGCAGGGGCAAATACAGGTCGAGGTCTCGCTCAGTAGAAGATACCCGACACCGACGAAGAAGCGGCTATGATGACGATGAGTATGGTCGGTCACGGAATGGTCACAAGAGCAGTCGGCGGAGGCGAGACGATGACGAACAATTCAGGCGGCCCCCAACTCCAGAAATCGATGATGAACCTGTACTTTTCAAGGTCTACGACGGACACGTTACAAGTGTGAAGGACTTCGGAGCATTTGTCAACATACATGGGGTCAGGGGCAAGGTGGATGGGCTTGTGCATGTCTCAGCGCTGGTGGAAGGCCAGCGTGTGAATCACCCGTCGGATCTGGTTTCGAGAGGGCAGCCGGTAAAGGTCAAGGTTATCAAGATTGAAGGTTCTAGGATTGGGCTTTCGATGAAGGAAGTTGATCAAGAGACGGGGCGAGATCTTGCACCACAGGCAAGAATACAGTCTGGAGCGAATATGGAGCGGTTAGGAGGGGGCAAGAATGAGTATGGACTGATCGACGATAAAGTCCTTGTGTTCGAGGGTGACACGTCTCGCAACTCTAGGCAAAAGAAGAGGATGACTTCACCAGAACGATGGGAGATTCGTCAACTCATCGCCTCAGGCGTAGTGAAGGCTTCGGACTACCCAGACCTAGACGAAGATTACAACGCTACACTCAATGGCGAGGGCGAGATGGAGCTTGAAGAAGATGTCGATATTGAACTGCGGGAGGATGAACCTCCTTTCCTGGCGGGACAAACAAAGCAGTCCCTTGAACTCTCTCCTATTCGAGTGGTCAAGGCGCCTGACGGCTCTATGAACCGAGCCGCTATGGCAGGTACCGCTCTGGCCAAGGATCGAAGAGAGTTGAGGCAGCAAGAAGCCCAGGAGAAGGCTGCTGCCGAGGGCGCGAAAGTTGATCTGTCAGCTCAGTGGCATGATCCAATGGCCGATCCAGACGAGAAGAAGTTTGCAAGTGATCTACGCAGCGTTAGACCTGTGCAATCTACAGAGGCTGTTCCTGAATGGAAACGAGCCACACAGAGCAAGGATCAATCGCTTGGTCGGAGAACGAATATGACTATTAAGGAACAACGAGAATCTCTTCCGGTTTTTAGATTCCGGTCAGAGTTGATCAAGGCCGTCCAGGAAAATCAACTGTTGATCGTGGTTGGAGATACGGGTTCAGGGAAGACAACGCAACTGACACAATACTTGGCCGAGGCAGGATTCGCAAACAATGGCATTATTGGTTGCACTCAGCCCCGGCGAGTGGCTGCTATGTCAGTCGCGAAACGTGTGGCAGAGGAAGTCGGCTGTCAGCTGGGTCAGGAGGTTGGTTATACTATTCGATTCGAAGACTGCACGAGTCCTGCGACGAAGATCAAATACATGACTGACGGCATGTTACAACGAGAAGTCTTGATGGATCCTGACCTCAAGAGGTACTCGGTCATCATGTTGGACGAAGCTCACGAACGTACAATCGCTACAGATGTGCTCTTCGCTCTGCTGAAGAAGACTTTAAAGCGACGGCCGGATCTGAAGGTCATCGTCACCTCGGCGACTCTGGACGCGGACAAGTTCTCGGCGTATTTCAACGAGTGTCCTATCTTCTCGATCCCGGGTCGCACGTTCCCGGTCGAGATCATGTATTCGCGAGAGCCAGAATCCGATTATCTGGACGCGGCACTGGTTACGGTCATGCAGATCCACCTGACCGAACCGCCCGGAGATATCCTCCTGTTCTTGACTGGCCAGGAAGAGATTGATACAAGTTGTGAGATCTTGTACGAGCGTATGAAAGCGCTTGGACCGAGTGTTCCAGAGTTGATCATCCTCCCGGTCTACTCAGCCCTACCGAGCGAGATGCAGAGTAAGATCTTCGAGCCGGCGCCTCCTGGCAGCCGAAAGGTGGTTATCGCTACAAACATTGCCGAGACATCTATCACCATCGACCACATCTACTATGTCATCGATCCTGGGTTCGTCAAGCAAAATGCATACGATCCAAAGCTTGGTATGGATTCGTTGGTTGTAACGCCCATCTCCCAGGCTCAGGCCAAGCAGCGAGCTGGTCGTGCGGGCCGTACAGGACCAGGAAAATGCTTCCGTCTCTACACCGAAGCGGCGTTCCAATCCGAGATGCTACCGACGACTATCCCTGAAATCCAGAGACAAAACCTCTCCCACACGATCCTGATGTTGAAGGCTATGGGTATTAATGATCTGCTGCATTTCGACTTTATGGATCCCCCTCCAACCAATACCATGTTAACCGCGCTCGAGGAGCTCTACGCCTTGTCAGCATTAGATGACGAAGGACTCCTGACGCGACTAGGCCGCAAGATGGCCGACTTCCCCATGGAACCCGCCCTTGCCAAAGTGCTCATCGCCGCAGTCGACCTCGGCTGTTCCGACGAGATCCTCAGCATCGTCGCCATGCTCTCCATGCCCACAGTCTTCTACCGACCCAAAGACAAACAAGCGCAAGCCGACCAAAAGAAAGCCAAATTCCACGACCCGCACGGCGACCACCTCACGCTGCTCAACGTCTACAACGGCTGGAAAGCCAACAAATTCGCCAACCCCTGGTGCTTCGAGAACTTCATCCAAGCCCGCTCCATGCGGCGCGCTAAAGACGTCCGCGACCAACTCGTCAAGATCATGGAGCGCTACAAGCACCCGATCGTGTCGTGCGGGCGCAACACGCAAAAAGTGCGACAAGCGCTGTGTAGCGGTTTCTTCCGCAACTCAGCACGCAAAGACCCACAGGAAGGCTACAAAACCCTCATCGAAGGGACGCCCGTCTATCTCCATCCGAGCTCCGCACTCTTCGGGAAACAAGCAGAATGGGTCATCTACCACACGCTCGTCCTGACAAGTAAGGAATACATGCATTGCACGTCGAGCATCGAACCGAAATGGCTGGTCGATGCAGCGCCGACGTTCTTTAAAGTTGCGCCGACGGATAGACTGAGTAAGCGCAAGAAAGCGGAGCGCATACAACCCCTGTATAATAAGTATGCGGCGGAGGACGATTGGAGATTGTCGGCGCAGAAGAGACAGGGAAGGGGTGGGGGAGGGGGGACGTGGGGATAGTTTTTGTATGCGTATCGATCGATGTGTTTTTTGTGCGTGTAGAATTTTTAATTTACTTGGAATATTTCTCCATTGATTGATTGATCAATATACCGTGCCCTCCCCCCCCCCCACCCCCAAAAAAAAAAAATAAAAACACAATAAACCAAAAAAGAAATCTTCCATACCAGGGAGTCGAACCCTGCGCTACCGCGCACAATCACTTTTGAAATGAGAGGCGGAAATGTTACCGATACACCAGTATGGAACTCTTTATATCTGTTTTTGTGATTATTGGGAGTTTTATATGAGATTAGATTTTGGGGTTGGTGGGGGAGGGAGAGAATGGAGATGGGGAGAGGGAGAGGGGGATGTTCACATCTCATATCTTAATTCTGAACTTATTTATTTATTTATTTTTGATTTTGATTTATTCTTTCATTTCATGACTACTACTCACTCGATCAATCGATCATTACACCCCTATATCCCCCTCTCCATCCCTCATCTCCCATCTCCCATCTCTTGCCCATCCAATCCATTCCAATCCAATCCAATCCGCCCCGTTCCAATCCAATCCATACCCCCCAAAATCAAAGCAAATAGCCACTCCAGTGGTATCAATCAATCGATAAATATCAATCAGTTCAGTAGATAAGGTAAGGTACTGACTGACCAAACCAAACAAACGCCAAACGACCACGCTAAACCCACATATTAACAGTCCAAAAAAAAAAGAAAAAGAGAAATGCAACGCTACTATACAGATTGAGATAAAGGGCGCAGGGACAAAAGCAGGCAGAGTCAATTCTCCACACTCCCTAACCATGACCGAACGCCCTCCCTCAGAAAACTCTCCTTCTCTCTCGCCAGCATCCCCGCGTTCGCTCGCGCTTCCGCCATGGCCTCGCGCTCCCGGCTATCCACCACACTCCGCACGATCTCGTCTAGTGCCGTCAGCACCATCTTCTTGCATTCGTTGCGCGGCACCTCTATCGTGTGTTCTGGCACGCGCGGCTCGCGGCATTCCGAGTCGCTGCGTTCGTGACCACCGCCGCCGCGGCGTGACGTGCTGCGGCTCGAGCAGACCGACGAATGCTTGGACCCCGGGCCCGACTGAGCGATGATGCGCTCGACGGCTTCGATCAGCGTCTCGTCCATGGAGATGATGGGTTCTTCGATGAAACGCTCCTCGACCTCGCTCCCGATCTCAATACCAGGCGTGAGCTGCGCGGCGCTGTAGACGTTGCCGTATCTGCTATCCAGACTATTCTGGATGGACGACGTAGCCGAATGGTCGACGTGAGGGCGTTTGATCAGACGGCGGTAGCGGATGAGTTTGATAGAGAAATTAGTGGTATCGGCGATGATAGCCGAGCAGATATCAACCCAGCGGCCCTCGCCGCTATCATCAGGGTGCGGGGTGGAGGAGGTAAAGGGCGTGGGTTCAGCACGCATGCTCTCCTTGACCTCCTCCAGCAAATCTGGTTGAGGAGGGATAGCTTGGAGGGCAAAGTCAGGATTGTATCTCGGTAACCAGCCTCCCACATTCATCGTCGTATCTGAATCGGGTCCGCGGGCGTAATGCTCAAATGCATCCAGCCCATTGCCGAATCCCGGGGTGGGCAGCGAGTAGCCAGAGCTACTGGGTGAGGAGACGGCCGTCTCGAAAGAGAGATATTCAGGGAGGGGCACATCAATCTCGATGACCCCGTCTTTAATAGACGTCTTCACCGGGCTCTCATATGCCCCCGACGGATCAGGGATGCGTTCGCGGCTCCGTACTTGCTCCGTCGCCTCGTCACCACCCGCATCCGACTCTGGTCTGGCCGTCTCGGCGGAGGCCGTCTCTGATCGGCGCATCTCTTCTTGCGAGGTTCGCGCGGTGGCCTCATCGACCATCTGTTGCAGCTTGCCTTGGTAATATCTTTTGTAATTCGGATTAATCTCTACACCTTCTAACGTAGGGGGGGAGGTTGCCGTTGTAGATTCCCGTTTCTTTGACGGATTCCAGAACCCACTGATCATGCTCCCCCAGCGCGAATTCTGTCCCTGCGAATCCGTAGACGTGTTGCTGTATTGGCCGGTGCTGTCGCCTCTCTTCAAGGTCCGGATGAGGTCGTCCGCTGCTAGACTACCACTGCTCCCTGGTCGCGGCGCGGGCCCAGTCCCTCTGACGGGACGTCGGGTAGAAAAGTGAGGCATGGTCGTCACCGGCGTCACGGTCGCGGTAGTCGCCGCACTGCTCTTCCTCGTGCCGAGATCACTTCCCGGGATCGGGAGGTTGGCGGTCCGGATCGATGCTGCATCCGAGGTCCGTCTATCGTGGTGATGGATCTCCAGGTTCTGTGCTGGGAAGCTCATAGTCCTGGCATGAGCGCCTCGAGCCGCGCTCCCGCGCTTGTTGATCCGGCGACGTAGTGATTCCTCTCTTAAGATAGGCACGGTATACGTAGGCGGCGATTGCGAGTAGCCGCCGAGAGAGGTCGATGTACTTGGGCGGTGCAATCGACACATCCCTGGTTGTTGATTTGCCGGCAGGAAGGCGGAGAGCAGGAAGATCAGCCGGCGAGCCATGAGCTTATTGTCCGAGACGATGACGGTTCGCGCGGGGACAGAGATATCATCCTCTCGATTGGCTCTCTGTTGCTGATAATACCGTCGACGGTAGTGAGTCGGCCCCAGGGCCTGGAGCCACTCGGTATGATTGCCCAGGAAGCCGGTGAGGAGGTTGAAGAAGAAGAAGCCCTCATCCTTCCCCCCCGCCCACTTGCTCACCAATCTCGCCTCCTCGCGCCAGATCCCCCATCTCCCCTGGCCAGTGACGACGCGACGGGCGCGGATGCCGCTGAGGATCCGTTGCCGCGACGACTCGACCTCTCTGTGGATATTCGGGGCCTGCATCAGGCAGTTTGACATCAGCTGGACGTACTTGATATTAGGCTTCTGGATCTTGAACGGTTTGACATCCTCCTCTACCCGCTTCCCCGAGACAGACACACTGGCGGAAGGCGTCCGGGTGTGCTTCTGCGGACTCGGGGAGCTAATGTCTGCTTGCTTGAGCATGGGCAAGAGCGCGGCCGTTGCCACGGCCTGCAGATGTGACAGGGTTCGCATAATGATGTCCCAATGCTGGGTAATCGCGTCAATCCGGTCGTCCACATCGCTCGAAAAGGACGATTCCAGAGACTGCACGCCAAAGCCATGGCCCAGCATCGTCCAGCCAGCGTGCCGCGCCGAGTTGAACGACGACGGGAACGACTCTTGCTCGTTGTAGGAGCTCGGACCGCGGAAGGTGGACCTGGACGTGGGAGCGGAGGGCGCATTGGGGGGCGCGGCTGGGAGGCGGATGACCAGGCCCACGGCGTACATCGGCGTCTTCTTCTGCTGTGGTTTCTTCTTCTGTGGCAGGCCATGCTCGCTGACCTGCGGAAAGGGATACCCCGTCGTCTCATCCGCGCGTGCCTTTGCGGTCGGGGTCCGGTCCTGCGCCTCGTCGGCATCATCGTTGGGGAGGGTGACGGGGAACATGCGCGTGATCAAGACCTTCTTCCGCTCACTCCTCGCCGTCGTACCTGTGCTGGTGAAACCCGGGGACGGCATCCCCGAGGCGACGTTGTCTGACGTGAAGGAATGCGCCAACCGGCTGCTGCGCATGCTCGACCTTCCCAGCGAACCGTCGGCGGCGTAGGAACCTGACGTGGGGGTCGATCTGGATTCCGCGGGGAGGATGTGCAGCTTCGTGCCGGCGCCCTTGTACGCCAGGGTATCCGAGGCGCCGAAGATGCAGTTCGCGAACGACGTGACCTCCTCCCGATACTCCCTGGCCGAGCGCTGTCCTTCCGTCTCCTGATAGCTCAGGGTCTTGTTATGCTGTGTGGTCCTGCGATCGAACGCGCCCACGGGCCTCGGGGCCGTCTCCTGCTGGATGATGACGGGCCGGGCATTATTCTGGACGCTGCTGGTCCGGCGCGACGAGCTGATGGAGCGGCGGCCTTCCCGCCGCGGATTCGTGAGCTGGCGCTCCAGCGGGGGCGAGGATGGGGGCGGAGGGTGGCTGTCGTAGAGCAGGTAGGCATGGCCCGTGGCGGCGGTGGCTTCTTGCATGATGATGACCCGCACATCGCGCATCTCCAGATCGATGTCGGGGTTGACGTCGAAGGGCGAGACGGCGGCGGGGGGCAGCACGGTGGCGGACGACAGGGAGAAGACCTGATCATGGTGGGCGAGGGCCTCGGGGTCGGGGAAGAGGAGGTTGTAGGTGAAGTTGTCCTCGAGGTTGGAGTCGAGCGGGTTGGGAGGGCGGGAGGAGGAGGTTGCGGAGGGCAAGCCGGAGAAGAGCTTTCCCAGGAGGGACATGATGGTGAGGATGTATCAGGGGATTCTGTCTAACAGTGGTCATGCCGGTGTTGGAGCTGGGATATCGGACTGGCCATTGTTGCGGGTGGAATGTCGAGAGGCAGAGGCAGAGTCAGAGGCAGAGGGAGAGGGATCGTGGGAGGTGGATGGATGGAAGTGATGAGTGACGTCTGCGCAAAAGCCGGGGGGGTGAACCAGGGTGTCGAGGGAGAGGCCGAGGCAGAGGATGGTGGTGAAGAGAGGATGATGGTGTTGACTCTCGAGTGTTGTAAGTTGTTAAGTTGTACGTTGTTCCGTCGTCGGTGTCAGAAGGTAGAAGTGCGGTCGTTGAAGAGAAGAGGATCTGGCGTTGAAAGGGCCGGGCCAGGGCAAAAGGCAAAAGGCAAAAGGCGAAAGGCCAAGGGCAAAAGCCGGAGCGAGAAGCGGTGAAGGCGGTGAGAAGGGCGAGTCAGATGGGAATGCAGGATTGAAGCATGAAGAGTTGAAGGATCAGATAGATTATATTATTATTGTCAGATGTTATATTTTCCTATATTCATAAATTGATAATTGATTTATCATGCTCGTTTTCCACACCTCTTCTTCTCATCTGCGTGGGACTTCTGGCCATCACTCACGTCTCTTCGGGGGATGACGGTTCACAGTTAAAAGAGAGCAAGGAACACGACGGGCCGAGGAAAGCCTCTCTTCTTCTTCTTCTCTTCCATGACGGGATCAGACAGACAATTACTCCGTGTATTATACATTCTATACATTCTATGATTATACATCATCGACTCGCACCGCATGACTCGGCTTCCCTATCAATTCTGCCGTATCTCGTTGGGGGGATTCGATCATGATTATTCCGGGGATCTCGCTCTCTCTCTCTCTCGATATCGGATATTGATAATGCCGGGGTGGTCATTGGCTTTTGCCGGGGTAATCACTTACTTTACCTAGGGATTGTCATTATTGTCATTGGACATGGAATTGACAATGGACAATGGGATTCATTCGTCGAGGCGAAAGGAATGAATCAATCAAATCAACAGCCAGACACACAACCAGGGGGATCACACCGAGTATATACATACCATCTATCTATCTATCTATCTAATCAAATCAAGTCAAGTTGTCAAAAAACAAAACTGCCACGCGCTCATTCTAAATTCTTACCTGCTGCGGCACGGCGCGCTCTGCTTCCCTTCCCTTCCCTCACACTCTCACCGACGGCTTCTTCACCGACGGCCCTATCATCTATGTACATTGTACATCTATATACATACATCTATATACATCTATATACATACATAGGGGTACATACATACATATCAAGAAGCCCACTCTCCTAATCTTCCCAAAGTAGTCAATATCGCGACCTCTATAGATATGATGTAACGTGATGTTTTATCTGATTTCTTGAATTTCCCCGGGTCCTTCGGCCTTGTTATCACTATATCAATAATCTATCTATCAATCTACCCCTTTCCCATCTTTTCCTTTCCCATCCTCCAAACCCCTCACCTCACCTCACCTTACCTCTCCCTCCCTCCAAATACCCATAACCATCCCCCTAGGTATCTCGCTTCCCCCGGCCCCCCCTATCCCCCAAATTCCCATCCCACCGATAAGCCCCCACGCATCAATTCCAGTACCAAAGCATCGGTGTCGACGTCTCGATTCCGGTATGCGATCTATCATTTCTGTGTTTTTCTTGATCCCCTTCCCTTCACTCCGCATTTACATTCGTCATTATTAACAAATAAATAAATAATTACTTTGTATATGGATCTGGATCTGAGTGTACCGGAATCATCCTTCCCTTACCTTACCTTAATCCCCATTCTAACGTCAATAAAGCATAACCGAGAAATATAGAAAATCCCCCGAAGATCATCCATCCCATCCCATCCCATCCATATCCCCTCGCCCCTGGACCCACAAATCCACAAAATCCACAAAATCCACATCTCCGGCTTTCTCCTGCGCAGCTCGGGGATGAGCGCTTTTGTTTTGTTTGTTTTTATTCTGGATAAGGGATGATTTGATTGATTGATTACTTGAATAAGTTAAAGAGTTATTATTTCATTACAACTCTTGTCCTTGCTTTTCTGTATAGCTTCTTATCTCAGAGAGAGAGGTATTGTTTAGGAATTGTCCTGCTTAAGCTGAGATGTTAGCTATAGAAGCCAAGCCTAGGGAAGGCAAGGGAAGGGAGTACCTATATGCGCATACCGAGCTGGGACCCCCTATTAACCCCCTATTTCCCTACCTAGCTACTAATTCCCAATTCCACTCATTTACCCCCTCCCCTTACTTCTCCATATTCTGCAACCCCGGACGGGCCCCTTTTTAAGGCTTCTACTTGAGAACTTGGTATCCAGTACAGGTGCTTTATAGTTTATATTTTACGTGTGTGCCCTTTTCTCGTGTTTAAGGAAGAGGGAATGGGATTGCGGTTAAGTAAGAATACCTACTTATTTATTTGTATATCGATATCTATCTATTATATAAATACAATTAGTTATCCCCTCTACATCGAACCCATCGAACCCATCGAACCCATCCAACCCATCCAACCCATCCAACCCATCCATCCATCATCCATATACAAGACAGATGCCCAAACACCATCCCTCACGACTTCTCCTCCCCCTCGCCAATCCCCTCCGCCTCCCGACTCTGTTCCTGCACCTGAGCCAACCCCCCCAGTTGCACGCTCGGCCGCCGCCCCAGCGGCCCCGGGTTCGGACTGCCAATGCCGCTGACGCTCGCGAGCCGCATCGGCGACGGGCTCGCGTCGCGCATCGACAGCGACAGGATCCCCGGCGGGAGGCCCAGCGCCGGCACGTCCGACAGTCCCGTGACCGACGGGCTGCGGAGGACCCAGGGCGGCGGCGGCGTCGCGCTGGGCGGGGCCGCGCGCTCGTACACTTCGCGGTAGAAGGCCTCGAGCGCCCCGGCATCGTGGCAGAAGGCTTCGAGCTCCTTGCCCACGGCCTCGGGCGCCGTGACGCTGGAGAACTTGGCGCTGGCGAGACTGGGGCCTAGCACGTCGCCCGTCGCCTTCAGCACGGGGGACTGGAGGCTGGCGGGCGCCGTCGGTCTGAGGAGGGGCGACGAGACTGGCGTCGATCGGTCGGCGTATCGGGGCCAATCGCTGTCGGTCTTGACGTACCGGTCGGATTCCCTCGCGGCTACCGTTCTGTTATTGTACAACCGATTTGCGAGGAGGAGGAAGTTCCCATCGTCCGTGATCTCGGCCAGGACCACGCCAGACCGGTGGATGTACTGGGTGTATTTGAAATCCGGCCGGCCCCACGAGTACGTCACGTCAACATTGCTGGGGAAGTTACGCGCCGCTTCGATATCCAGGACGAAGTTGAACTTCTTCATAATAGCTTTTTGGTAGTAGTGGCGGCTGGCGGGGCTGCTTTGTGCATGAGGAGCGAAAGAGTTGAGGTCGTAGTACGTCGGCGGTCGTCGATCGGGAGGCGGTGCGGCGAGCTTGATAATATAAGGGCTCCGGAAGGGGTTGACAGATGTGATGGTGCACGCTTCGCCGATGGGTGCTTCAACGAGCCTGAGCCCGTAGCGCTCAGCGGTTGAGGCCCACGATTCGATTGCGTCCTCGATCAGCTTTGCCGTCACGCTCATCCAATCGATCCGGATGTGATAGCAATTATCCGGATTATGCAGTCGGTCGTAGTGAAGGTTGATCCGCTCAGGACGGTATGAACGTTTGCGATGGTCCACATCGTACTTCATGACCTTGCTGAGAGCAACCTTGGGTTTCTTCCCAGGCCCCGCTATTGTTGTCGTTGGAGTCGTCGCCCCGGATTCAGAAGATCTCTCGTCGTAACTTGAGCTGGACAGCGATCGCTCGGGTCTGGGAGAGTCTCTAGGTGTTTCTGGGATTGGCGTTGCAGGTATCGAGGTATCCCGACGTCGCGATCCAAACCAGCCACTCCGACTCTCAGGGCGTTGCTTGGCATACTCCCCTGTGACTTGGTAGAAGTACTGCCCATCACGGAAAGGATGCCGCTTCTCGACGTGAACGAAGATCCCCATGTCCTTCTCCTTCTCCTTACCATCCCTGGAACCTTCGCGATCCTTATCTTTGGCCATTAACATGTTGCCAAGCTCAACTGCTTCTGCTCTGGTCTCGATATCTTCAAAATTATCAAGTAGCCATGTGGTCATATCAGAGCCGATGAAACAGTTGTAGTGTATTCGGAAATGCCATCTGCGATTCTGCATCCGAACCCCGCCTCTCTCGACAGGTGCTTGGATGGCTTCGGCCAATTCTGCAATATCAAGCTTCGACTTGCGGAACCGCTCGGACTCGAGCAGCTGGCCACGCCGAGGACCACCATCACCGGTCTCGACCAATGGCAAGGTTTCCAGCTCTGCTGTCACGACAAGCGAGGGATCTTCCGTCTTGTACACGATGTCCAGCGGGTTCGGGTCTTTCGTCTTCCTCGTGGTAAGACTCTGGAACCGGCGTTCTGAAGCAGTAATAACTCTGTGGCGTTGCCACATCTGTGTAAGTCTTTTGATACCTTCCAGCCGGATCTCTTCCTCGTTGTCTTCTCCGTGACGCCGTTGATAATGCGATGGCCGCTCCACAGGAATCAAAACAAAGCGCGCACGCCAGAAGCGTAGGTGCTCGGACATTTCCTCATCGAATCCAGCAATGAAGGTGTCGACATAATTCCAATTATACTCCTCCCTCGGTTTGCCAAGGATGATCTCGCGTGACTCGTAACTATCTCCCAAGGTTGTGCGGATGGCAGCTTTGTAAACCTTGGGTGCAACAGCACCGGAATTAGATGCAGTCGGAGCCATTGGTTTTCGAACAAACATATTGACTGCAATCTCGGTCCCATTGACGCAAGACAGCTGATGAATAATGTTTCCCATCGACATAAAGACACTAACTCCATCTTCTGCAATGCGGTCGCGCTTAAACACGTTGGCAATCTTCATAGACTTCTGCCCAAATGCCTCAGCGACTGCTGGTCCAACGACAATTTGAAACCCTTGGGACAGACGCAAAGCGATGAGCTCCCTGAGAAACTCTTCTCTAGACTTAGTGACCTCATTCAAGTCATCATCAGTGTTTTGAGAGATGTTATACGGCTTCTGCTGATATTCCGTATCCAGTTGATGCTTGGTGGGGAAGTACTCAGTTGTCAGGGGCACGGAAGCGGGAGAGCAGAGGGACTTCCATTTCATCGTCTTCGTCGGGATTGGCCTCGGAAATACATGCTGCCAACGCTTGTACTGACTTGGTCCAGATACATCATTCGATGTAGGGTTCGATGGGTTCAATACATTTAGCCAAGGAGCCATAGCCGTCGTTGGCGAGAGTGTAGCCGGAAGCTCGGGTACGGACCCTGCGAGTAGTTTTGAGGTATATAATTTCTGGCTGTCATCAGATCTTGTGAGGGAGTGTAAAAGACTAGCTTCTTCGTCACCATGCCGACCAATCCCTTCGTAGACAGAGCCCAGGACTGATCTTGACTTGAACTGATTCGTGGCGTCGAGATTCTGGAGCGCGACTTTGATCGTCATAGGCCTGGCAGACGGTGTTGGGGTTTTATCGTTGGACTCAGTATCATTAGAAGCTTTAGTTTCTGAAGGCGCGGTGTCCGCTCTGGTCCTCGATTTATCACTGTGGGATGATGTGGGCCGTTCTGACGCGGTACCCAGCAGGCGATTTGCCATAGTGCTGCTGGTTGGCCTCTTTGTATCCGCTGCCTTCATTGAACCAGTGCTCAGCTTCGCCGCACTGACATGTTCTGTTTGCAATTCTGCTGTAGAGGCTTTCGGGGCTGCGATACCAAATCCATGCTTTCCAAGACTAATTTGGCGTCCAAGTTTAGGAGCTTTGAGAGGCGACACTCTCGATTTTGTTGTCGTCGTAGTGCTGCTAACGCTATCTGTGCGGGGTTTGGATACTTCCTCCATAGCTCGAGAATTGCTCCGACCAGGACTTGCCGCTCCCTTGATAGCCATACCTTTGGGGCTCCCCAGGCCATCGTTAAGAGACGCACCGGAGGGCGTTGAATCTTCCGCAGGTGGTTTCCTTGTAGGTTCCTCACTACCCGCTTTGAAAGACTTCTTGCCATTATTTCTCTGCCTGACCTCAGGGGGCTCTGCGACTAACTCTGAGGTGGTCACATCAAAAGCATCAAGCATTTTGTAGAACCCCTTCTCCGTCTGACTCGAGTTCCGATCGACCAATGGTCTTGAAGGGCCATTGACAAGTTCACTTAGACCCGCATAAGCTTTCTCCCGGCGAATCGAATGAGATGCACCATGCTGATCTGTCTGCTTCTCGGATCCGTCTTGAGGTTGTATCATTATTTTTGGGAAAAATGCATCGTGCTGCAGAGGAGTGACAGAAATCTCCGTCATCACATTCTCCATGACACTAGCCATCTCCATCTCGTACATCTTACATCGAACGGCAAAATCGCTGGGATTTTGAGTTCCAAATTTCTTGAAATGCTTGAGGCCTTGTTTTGGTGCAGGGTTTATGAGATGTAGGTCTTGTGATGCCCCCGTCCAGTAGGAGACATCGATCCAATGGGGAATTGCGTAATTCCATTCGCTAGGATTGGTGGCATGGAATGATCCATTGCGCAGGCTGCGATCAGGTAAGGATGCTTTGGTTGGTGATATCGATTCATTCAAGGATGAAAAGCTCCCAAAGATAGCTCCATTTTGACGTGGCGTGCTGTCCTCGCTGCGCAGTGATTTCATGTGTAGCGCTTCTTGGAAAGCAGCATATTGCGGATTTCGATATCGGAAGATTGGAACTGAATGCAAAGGCATCTTGGGCAAGCATACCAGGTCTATCCCAATTCCATTTCCTGTTAGAACCTCGGTGGTCATTCTCAGGGTATCGTAGTCGACTTCAAAGAGACCAGGGCCAGGAGTGATGACCACAATTGAAATTCCGGTTCGCATCAAATCGCGATCGATATAATCATGCGAGAATTGAGACGAGGCCAGGGTGATTGCCTCAAGAACATTTCCATACATCGCGAGCGACGGTTCAGCTTCTATCCGTGTTCCTAGCGCTCCTCTCATCTTACTCTCTGGTGGTGCAGGGTCGAGACCGCTGACTGTGTCGATTCGATGCATCGAGATATCTTTCCGGAAGAACTTGAATTCACGCTTCAATTGGTATAGGATAGTGGTCCACGATCCGCTGGCCATTTCACTAACCACAACACGATAGAAATCTTTATAAGGCTTCTTGTTGCCATCCGTCTGGACGCCAGTGTGATATCCGTTGTCGTGTACGCTTGTTCCCAGCTCTGACGTGAGTCCCGTGTCATATTCCACTCTCGTAAAAAGCACGATACTAACAAGATGTTTTGCTCGGAGTGCGACCCACTTTTTGAAGAGGGCGGGGAGGAAGCCATTGACAACCTTATTGAACATGATCTCCCCAGACCCCTCTGAATCAAAATCCCACATCTCCCTAGACATCTGGATGAAGAGCACATAGCGCGCTGACTCACTCCGAAAGATTGGTTTCGTGTCCGTTGAGAAGAAGGCGGATTGAACCTTGCGGCCATTGACATACACAGATGTCACCTGCGCCTTGATCGTGCCCATGAACAGTATTTTTTGGCCCTTGAATACGGTTTTGTTGCTGAGTTCATAGACCGCCAGCCTCCACATATCAGACCGTGCAAGATATTCATCCTTAAAGGACATTTCCACATGAGAAGCAGAGCAACTAGCAATATCAGCCTGGAACATTTGTTAGTAGAGTTGATATAGTGGAAAAGGGCACAGAGATGACGAACGCTAGCGACGAGCACATTAGATCGATGCTTGAAATGAAAGATATCAGCAATATGCTTTGCAACGGATACCTCTAGACCTGGCTGCTTTGCTTTCATCTCGGAAGACATCGGCTTCACAATGAACAAGCATCTTCTCCCGAGCTCAACTTCACTCCTGATATCCGTTCCGCTAGCTTGGCTTGGGCTTTTTGGATTCGAATTGCTTCGCTCGCTTCTCATCGTAGCTGGAAGATTGTCTGCATCCTTCTTTGGGGTATGCGCCTTCTCCTGGAAGTCACGCACGCCCAAATCAGCCTTCAACGATACAATTGCCATAAGATCCCCAGGCTTGACGTCTGGAAATAAATCCAAATTGAGGACGACATCATTCTTAGAGAAAGACTCCTCGTGTACCCAGAGATTGCATCTCCTCTCCACAGATGCCTTCGGGCATATTCCATCATGCTGGGCGGTGCCAGTATCTGAGGCTCCAGGCGTGGGACGGTTGCTGAAATTCGAGTCTGCGCTGCCGTTACTGACGTGCCGCAGATGCGAAGCTCGCTGGGTCCCGCGACGAGGAGTAAAAGGCGAAATGGTTGTCATGAATGCCGCAAGCCACTTGGCTGAGCGAGCAGAGTCAAGTCATGTTTAACAGAGGAAGTTGGAATCGCGACGATAGCTTCATTGATGGGAGCTATCGCCTGGACCGGCGGTATTGCTGCTGACCGCCTTTGGATCGCTCAAAACGGGAACGTGTGGCCGGCTATACTCCGGGTGAACTTGAACATCAGGAAAAAGTTCCGCAGCATTTAACAGGAAGATTCTCCAAAACTCTGCTGGGCGATGAACAGTAGTAGAAAGCGACAAATCAGTTGAAAATGTCTAAGAGGCCCGCGGAGGATGTTGAAGATGGTAACCAGGCCTATCTGAAACGACAAAGGACTACCTCTGAAAAGGTCTTCAGTCCCGCAGAAGAGATTCGATCTGCGAGGAAGTTGCGACAGATTCTGGCATTTGATCAAGATGCCAGCCGTTTAAAACATGGTAGATGCTCCTGCTCCCTTCTTACAATCAATCTTACTAAAAGAGCTTTCTAGCAATTCAATCGTTCAAAGCCTTCCTAGACAGCTTCGCAACAACTGAGAACGACAATGCGGGGAAAATCTCTATCCTCAAGGAATATCTCGAAGCGCAGAAGCCATCTGATGAGGAGGACAAGACTGCAGTATACTTGGGAGATTTGATGCAGACATGGAGCTTTGCGTCCCAATCGAACAATGATTCGCTGCTGTCTGCTGTTCCCGCGGTCCTTGCATTACTTCTCAGAACAATATCTCATGAACTCGAATTGTCCGAATACGGTTTAAGATTGGGTCGAACTCTGCTGCAGAAACGTCAGCAGGAGTTGATTGCGAGAGGAATTACATCGAACAAGGGCAAGGAATTTCTCATCTCGCCGGTGTTGCGCTTGCTCCGGGAGTTGACAACATTTGATGGCGGTGTATTGGCCAAGCAGGTGTTCCGTGCTAGAGATCAAACATATAAGAACCTGGCCCGCAACTTGAACCTCAGATATAGTGGAGATGGCGTGGAAGATAAACGAAAGCCATCGGTACGAACAACGGCTCTTCGATTTGTGCTCTCTGCCATAAAATTCCTTCCTTCAGATACGAAGCGGGAGCTTCTCAATCAACGAGACATCGTGGGGGCGTTGACGAAGGATATCAAGGATGACCCTCCATTCATGGTTCGTGAGATTCTTGATACTCTAAAGGTCTCTGTACTTCAGGACGAGGCCCTCCCAAGGGATGCCAAAACGAGGATTGTGAACGCCGTATCTTTGGGAAGAATTGCGATGCTGTATAGGTACGACCAGCCGGACGAAGACCTGCCGACGTTGAAGAAGCCAGTGGAAACGGTAGCACATGAATTTCTGTTGCTGGCCTGCACATCTGCGGATTTAGGGGTTTTAAATCGTCAAACCGGATTCTATCCTCGGGGCATTGATCCAGATGACGCTCATGATGCCAGTGCAGGACAGGACTTTATCGACCTGGGACTCGACAGTATTGAGTGGATGGATAGATTTACCGAAAAGGTTCCTGTTCGCAATACCATCTTAGCAGAATTTATCCAAAACTTACGACCATGGTCAAGCACAAAAGAGAGCCATCTATTGATCACTATACTCAAGTCTGCACCTGAGTTGGTAGCAGAGTACTTCTTTTCCAAGAAGGGATTCACCTTCGACCCTAAGCTCACTGCGACCTGGATAGGATATTCAGCCTTCCTGTTTTCAGCCCTTCAGCTTCCTATTCCAAAGTACTTTGGATATCAAGAACGATACGCACGGTTACCGCCACCATCCTCTGTGGTTTTGGAAAGCCTTCTCCCCCAACCTCTGAACCAAAAGGTTTTGACTCGTTGCCTGAATCAGCCTGATAAATTGATTACCTTCTTCGCCGTTCGGCTCCTATGCGTTGCTTTTGCCAAATTCCAAGAGGTCTTCAAGATGTACCAAGAAGCAGCTGCAGGATCTTCAACAACGGTGTGGTCTCAAGCTGCAGAGAGACTGACAGACGAATTTTGCCAAAGATGTCCTTCTATCAAGGATGTTATCAACGCCTTCCGAAATATGCCCAAGACGGACCTCATGCAGCGAGAAGCAATTACGAGATTGCTGGTCTTGTACTATGAAGCTGTTCCTCGGATTGCGCTGGATGCTAAATTTGACGTATCGGCGACCCTTGCAGAGACGCTTCTAACAGTCGATGAAACCCCCGAGAACCGAGCCATGCGTGCATTGGAGTTGGAGAACCTATTCCAATTTGCTCATTTCTCACCTGGTATGCGTTGGTTTGCAAAGGCCGAAGGACTGTCCATTTCGCCGTTCATGGCCATGTTGAAGCTCGCTGCTGAGGCCCCGCCTGACATACCACTTGTGAAATTGAGGTCGGTGCTTGGCTCAGTCCTTCAGGAGAATCATATACTTCAAAAAGAGACCGCCATATCTTCTCTGGATACTTTTATCCTTGGGTTGAGAAGCCTTCGCGAAACTACGAATGGGGCCACAGTGTTTGAATTTCTTGACGATTGTGTCTCAAGATGCGCAGCCAAGCCAATCAAGTACATTTTCGCTCTTGAAGAGATTCATGCAGAGGCTAGTGGATCTAATGACAAACAGTCCCTTGTTAGTCTTTTGACACTAGCAATTGTTGAGCAATGGCCATTTGTGGTCAAGACGGCCACTGATTCTGTGCTCCTAGAAGTCGCGGACTACATCGCACGGCATCTAGCAGCTTCGATCAAGATAGGCGAGGACAAAAAAGTAATAAAACTGGTGATAAAGAAGCTAGCTGCAGGAACGCCAGAAGGCTCACGTCCTCGAAAAATAATTGAGCGTTCTAAGAAACTGGTCGATACCGTACCTGTTCCGGACCCCCAAGCCGTTCTCGCTGCGCCAAGAGATGCTGGTATCATAGCCGATGTGCTCTCCGCCACCGAGAAGGAAGAGATAACAACGAAAATGCTGGAGGATTCGGGTACTCGCGTGGAGGATCACAGCTCACTCTACAAATGGGTGACAAAAGAGGTCGACGAGGTGATCGAAGGAGGCTCTGCCGCAGCAATGATTTTGCTCCTGTCGTCAGAACACTTGAGTATTCGACGAGAGGCTGTCACGAATATCTCAAAGTTCGCTGCGAAGTTGAAGGAATCCACATTCGAAGAAAAGGAGCAGATCTGGTTACTTCTATTAGAAGTCGTTGAGACAGCGCGAAAGGTCATTGATCAAGAACCACTTCCCACAATCATCTCTGCATTCGCATCGCATGCCATCGCGGTCCTCAACGATCCTCTTCACTGCCTTTATCCAAAGTTGAACAAGTTCCTTTCCCAAGGACCGGTATGGGAGTTAGATAAGATTCCGTTGATGTACAAGATTCTTGACGAAGCACCCAGTCTCGACGACGCACATTATTCTGAGATAGCTTGGCTTTTGAATTATATGCTCGACGGTCTACGCTCCCCTGCCGACATGGCTATATACCGGAAACGAGGGGCCTTCGAAAAACTGTTCTCGCTGTATAGCAATTCCTATCTAGGACCAGGCTTGCGTGAGAAGATCCTGAAGATCTTGTTCAGGGCCACTACTATCGAAGGTGGCAGTACAACTCTTATTACGAGGTTCAGCACTATGACTTGGCTACAGGCGCAAGTTGCGTTGAGGGGAGGAGTACCGCTGAAAGTTCTTATGGAACGGATTCTGGAGTCATGTGACCAAAAGCGTGTTTCAACATGGTCGAGACAAGGCGCAAAGGAGGCAAAGGTAAATACCTTGAACTTTTAGATATGTAGATATGATACCCAATCATGATCACCGGTGGTCGTACATCTAGATGTGAAATTGTAATTCTCTCAACGGTCTTGCACTGGGCAGGGTGATATTCACACCTCGGTACCTAGATCGTAAAATATAGAAAACGAGACAAGTGTAAAAGAGCTAGTCAGATGAGTACTTGCTATATTATATAAGAATAAGAGAGACTTATTAACTTTAAAAGAACCAAAGGAAAAAAAGAACCTCAGAAGTGAGCACTTCCACACTGCAGGAAGAATACCTGCCTCGCCTGATCACGCTTATTTACATAAGCAGCCCCGACGTGGGTGTCTGTCCATTCATGACCTTGACGTGCCATCACAGCACCGCGACGAAAGCCTTGAGACGAAAGCATCGAAAGCAATAATAAATATCCATTGACAAGAATTCACTTCGCCTTGGTCTACCAGCTTTATGAGCTCACCTCTGACCACCACCAGCCTTGTACCTCGACTCCTACAATCAATCAATCCTGACCCTTGACGATCAACACCACCGCCTTGGAATCCCCTTACTTCCTCACACGACCTACTTCTTCCTCCATTACGCCTGTACGCTCGACCTGTCTTGACGCCGGGGGGCTGCCAGGAGTGCCTTGCCAGCGTCACGACACTCTCCCTCCCTCCAACTCATAGCATCTCCTCGCCTCTTCCCTCCCCATCTCACCACTTCGACCGCTCAATTTGACACATCTCTACCCTCCTTCCACCCTCCTTCCACCCTTCAGCCCCGATCTTCTTTGCTCTATCGAGCTATCAAGGTGCTGCCCTCTCTACACAGACGGTTTGTGCGGCCTGCAGAGCAGCCGATGAACGTTCAGGGTCACGAAAGGTAGCCCAAGTTATCACAGCAATCATGGCAATTCGATATACAGCAGAGGAGTTGATACACCTGCGAGAATCGCCATTATCTTTATTGCGACCTCCAGGTCTACCCCCAGCAGAACAATGGATGGGGTAAGCTCTTCGTTGCTTTCGTTGAGTATACATGTTGACAGCTATTCAGACCAAAACCATCCGCAGATGCAACCCGTAACTCGACCAGTGCAACTGAACGAGCCAAAAACCATGACTCTAACGTACTGCTAGATCAGACAAGTAGACGTCCGCAGCATATATCACGGGGTAGTGCAAGTAAGGATACCACGAGACCAAGTAAACCAGCTGTGTGTACTAATGCTGCGCAGACCCTGAAGATATCATCCTTGGCCCTCCAAAGATGGCCTTCACGTCCTCAACATCTATTCGTAATGCGAACAAAACCTTTGATTCCCCTGACCACCCCCCTACCCGAGACGCTGACTCCCGCGACCGATACAACTTCCGTGGCATGAAGAGAGACACGGAGAATGAACTGCGAGATATGCGGGGCCACTCACTACGTAATAGACGGGCGGATGGCGATGCGGACAGTGATGGATGGAGCACCGTTAAACCTAGGAAGAGTTTCGGGACCGAAGGCGCTGAGCGCTTCAACGGCCGCATGGGGGTTGACAGGCACAAAGATGATGGGAGATTCAAGGATCGCGAAGATCGCGATACAAAGGATAGACCTCATCGCGGATTTGATAACTTTACTCGAGACAGGGATGCTGATCACGACCAAGAGCGCGATACCCGTAGAAATGGAACTGGTCGAGGTCGGAACGAATCATGGTTTCGAACAGATCATGACGGACCTCCCACACCGAGAGACCGTAATAGCACGGGAGACAGATTTGCTGACCGGAACAGAGGATGGAGAGAAAAGGACCGCGATGATAGAGTGGGAGATCGTGGAGACAATCGCCATGACCGAAGCGACCGGAGATGGGATAGAGACAGGGATCGGGACAGAGATAATAGGCAAGAACGCGAGCCTGAGTGGATGGACGAACCAGCGGGTGAGAGAAGTCAAGCTCATACCCAAGAGGAGTTTCAGAAGTGGAAAGAGCAGATGCAGGGTAAGGATAAAGCTGGCAGTGCCAAACCCCTTGTGGAAGAAAAGATTGATGCCGGAGGATCCTTTGGTTTGGAGAAGCTCAAAATTGACACTCCTCTGGCTATCGATACTGGTCCAGATAAGTTCTTTGGCATGTGGGCAGCCCAGAAAGATGAAAACGGTCTGGATTCAGGTATTGATGCAAAGAAAGAGGGAGTGGCCAAGCCTAAGACTGCCGGAAAAGCCTCGAGATTTACGTCTTTCTTCGCCCCGCAAGAAGACCCTGCTCGAAGACAAACAGAATCGAACCCTCCAGCGTCAGGAGCTTCTGCTGAGGGAGTTGGAGCTTTGTTTCAAAACACAACACCGGATTCTCGCGAGAAGGCAGCTTTCGCAGAATTGCTTCAGAAATTAAAAGGCCAACCATTGCCCGGTTCGGGTACCACCTCTCCAGCCAATGCTCAACAGCAACAAAAGCCCCCTGCTCCAGACAAACCGCAAAGCAATCCCATTCTTTCACCAGATGTTTTCCAGCAATATCGCCCTGATCGCCAGGAAGAAAGTCGGTCGAGCACACGTAATTCGCAGCCAGCTCTTCAGGATTTGCTAAATCAGCGTCAAGGAACTGGAAGCCAGCCAGCTGTGCGACCAGAACAAATGTTACATGAACTAGTTGGCCAACGTCAAAACGCTCTTAGCCAGTCGTCAGTGAGGCCAGACCTGCAACAGAGCCACAGCAATACCGAATTCCTTATGAATCTAATGCAAAGCGCCAAAGCAGCGCCTGAGCCGCAGCGAACTGAACAACTTTTACTGCGGATGCCACCCGGCCAGAAACCCATGGATCGACAAATTCAACAGCAGATTATGGAGGCTGAAATTCAGCGCGAAGCAGCAGCACAACGCGAACGTAGTGCCTCCCAGCGGCAAGCTCGTCCTCAATTACCACCCGGCTTCTTCGAAGACCCATCTACCTTCCAACGCGGTCCGCCGCCCCAGCATGAACGCCAGCCTCAACCTACCCAAATCTTACAACGCGCTCCGCCTCCGGGTCTAGATCAAATGCCACCAGGATGGGCTCAGCAGTCCGGCCTTCAAGGACCACCCCAGCAGCCAATGCGCCACCACATCGCACCCCCGCCTGGTCTAGGAGGCGCCGGCCCTGAAATGCGCAATCGTTTGCCGCCGCCGATGCAACAACAGATGTTCCCCCCTGGATTCTTACCTCCAGGTATCAGTGGCTTTCAAGGAGCGGATGTTATGGGTCCTCCAAGAATGCAACCTCCGCCAGGCTTCTACGCTCCGCCGCCTGGGTTCCTGCCTCCGGGTATGAATGGGGGCTTCCAAGGCCCGGAAGGGATGGCATTTGGAGGAGTGGGACCCTTCGATGGAAGGGGACCGCCACCGCCACAGGGTGCTTTCAGAAGGCAGTAGATGATGGACAGCAGCATACATCGGACAGGATGAGAATGGAGGACGTCGTGGCAGGGAGTTGAGCAAACAAAACAATGCCACGTTGTTAGTGAGGTTGAATAGCTAGATGGTGGGATTTGCTTAGCTTCTCTATGAAGCAATGATAGGATGTATTGCTGCCAGCCCTTGATCTTTGTTTCTCTATGTGACCCTCGTACGTGAATTGTACTAGTTTCGACGAGATGAATCCCATCTTAATAATACTTTCGATTAGTCCATCTTGAGGCTCATGGGGTCCAGCAGACCCGCGAACACATGTGGCACCTCCGCATTCGAAAATGCGGGGAGCTTTCCTCAGCTTGGGCTGGAAATCGAACATCGGATTGGATATAGGACCAAATAGCTTAATAACCTCTAGATATCACGTGAACTGAGCTGCAAGCGTTTCCATTTGAACTATTTTGATTCATTGTTATTCTATCACTGCAGACGCATATCTTCATTTGGTTCCGACTTTGAGTTATCGAGTTATCTATCGCCCTTTCCTATCAGCCTTGTCGAGTATGGTTGAAAAGGCTCTCCACGTCGACCCAGAAGTCAGAAGGAATTAATCACCTTTCGGGGTTCTTCTCTCGAAAGAGGAATATAAACATTATGGGCTGGTACTGTACTGTAGCCCGAGTCCCCAGAGTCCGGAGAAATCATATCATATGGTGGATCGAGACATTCTTTTCCTTCCCGAACAATTCATAGTACGCATCTGGAGCCGGGATTTCCTTCGCATCAGGCGGCCTCGTCAGATTCCGGCCCATCATCAAAGGGAGAGCGTTCTCCTCCTGCCATCTCACGATGGTGTCGAAGTCCCGACACTGATGATTGACGAAGAAGTCCGGGAAGGGCCACTTCTGCGTCTCCATCCAATTGAAGGTCAGCACGTCCGTGTTGCCCGCGCACATGATATTCTGCATCAGCATGTCGGTGCAGTGCGAGACGTGCACCCAATGCAGTTCCGAGTAGGGTTTCTTGCCGTGTTGCTCGTCGCGGTCGTACTCGGCCCATGCGAGATGGCGCAGGAGGTTCAGACAGTGGATCTGGTGGAAGATGTCTAGCTGCGCGACGTATGCGTCGGGACCGAGACCGTATTCTTCGGGGAATTTGACGGCGAGGGAGGGGTCCTTGCCGAGTCTTCGCACGTCGTCGGCGCTGATGGGAAAGGTGCGGATGTTGTCGAATGCTTCCCATGCATCGTTCACTTTGGGGTCGGGTTTTCGACCGTTGCGGTAGGGAGAGGGATGCTCGGACTCGAAAAGACTGCCGTCTGTCTGCTTGACGTATGTTGGAATTTCCACCCGGTCGAGAATGGGAGCTTCGAAAAAGGAGTCAGTTTCTGAACGCAATGGGAGAGCTGTGGATCCTTACAGAAAAAAGAGGTTTTCTTAAGAAGTCCATTTTTGACCCGCGCTTCTGCATGCTTCTGATAGGCTTGATGTAAGAGAACAGAGAGCGAGAAGAGGAAGAGAAGAATATTGAGGATCGTCCATAGCCAATGGCTCCTGCGCGATGGAGGTGATGCTCTTGTCCATTCTTCAGCATCCCGATTTTCTTCTAGAGATGAAGAGAGAAGGAGGTTTTCAGCGGAACTACCATCCTTTTCATTGCTTGGAAGCCCCGCAGATGAGGCTGTACTGGTCCATTTCGAGAACATTATGATATATGGTTTACAGAGTAAGCCATTGATACCCCACACCCGAGCTTCCAGAAGTTAAGTATCGGCCTTCTTGTTCTACAAAGAACTCTTCCAGGTTTATAGACGGATGAAGGAGCAGAAAAGTGTACGATTGCGCGCACAGTGCTCTGAGGGAGTCAAAATCTAGAACATCTTTGATCCACTACATATCCGGCAGGTGGTGATGCGATCGTCGTTATCGGCAGAAGACTTGTGGCCCGATAGCTTGGTACAGAGGAATACCTTCTGCGGCACAGTCTGCATGATGGCGGTGAAATCAATGGTTGACCTGTAAGCGGAATCCTCAATTGCCGTCTTACTCCGTACGTTATACCCCGCCACATTGATCTAGTGACTTTAACGTACAGTCGATAAGCATAACACCTGGGTTCCCCTTGCTAAATCTTCTATATTTTTAGCTTATCGAGTACGGGGAAGTCCACAACTGCCGTTTTGATCGCGTGTTGGCCAAAGAGTTTCGAATGCTTCGATTAAAGCACGATGTAAACGAGGTATCAATGCAACAATACAAATAATAATAAACTTGGTAAAAGATGGCTTGAACGGAAGATAGGAAGAATGTCTCACACCGAAGTATATCCATGCTTATGGATTATCCTGACTTCGCCGCACTTACGTAGGTTATCGCTCTACGAGCTCAAGCTCCTCTTTACGTACAATCAAACAGCCTTGAGTCAATGACAATCTGACATCGTGCTATCCGCTTACTGATAGGTCTGATAAACAACTATCTCCATGCAACTGCCTATTCCAGTATTCATGGCTCGTCTGCACTGAAGTGGCGGAAGAATCGCCGAGGGCGAGTAAGCAATAAACTAATGCCACTTCCCGCAGTTCTTCGACAGTACTTGCATTATATTGTAAACTCGATGGGTTGAAAAGTCTCGATTCCGAGCAAGACTATCTTCAAGTACCTTCCTGTTTCTATGCCTGGCGACACCTCCAACTTGCTGTGCCGTTTTCTCGTATTGATCGTTTCGAATGGCACTAGTCACAATACAATCCGGGAAGGCCCAAAGAAAAGAGGATGTTCAAGATAGCAAATATGTATACCCCACTTTGGGCAGTGTGATAGATTACAGGCTTTGAAAAGTGAACCATAAGAACACAGGCCGGCCCAGGAACCTATCATCAATAGCTCTCCCTCCCATCTCTGCGGATCAGATCTCGCCAGTCAATAACGGAATACACTCCTTGCGAGAAAAGTAGCCCGCAAAGTCAGAATGCTTTTCAGAAACATACTAGTTACTGTGACTGGGTTCGTGGCGTTGGGTATAGCTGCTCCCGTTGCTGGTAATAAATTTCCAATCCTCAAAACGGAATATCCGCTAATCGTCCCAGCACCCGTAGATGCTAGGAATTCAGGTGTGGCGGAGCGGAGCGAGGATAATGTTTATGGCCTCGCACACGCTCTGAAGATGGAGGGTGATGAATACAAGAAACGCGATGAGGATAACGTTTATGGACTTGCTCACGCTCTGAAGATGGAGGGTGATGAATACAAGAAACGTGATGAAGACAACGTTTATGGCCTTGCTCATGCTCTGAAGATGGAGGGCGATGAGTACAAGAAACGTGATGAGGATAATGTTTATGGCCTTGCCCATGCTCTAAAGATGGAGGGTGATGAATACAAGGCCTAATGGGTTCGGCGTCGGAGGGAATGGGAGCTTGCTGATCTGAGATTGCGTGTGGAGATGGCTCTCTTGGGTTATATACAGACCTGCTGCTGTCTCTAGATGACAAGTAGGTATAATAAGAAAATCCAACATCTAATGGAAGGAAAATAAAATCCATTTCTCACAAGGTGACTTGACGGGTAGTCACTGCCACTCCACGGAGTCGCGGACGCGTAAATGGAATGTTTCGGTATGAATAATGAGGTACGGAAAACTCAAACCACATATGCTTTCCTCAACTAGGGGGGCGTATGGTGCTGTAAAGCAGGCGAATATCACGATGGGTGATATTCCAAAGCAACACTACCTGGAGCCGCATGATACCTGGTTTTATAGATAAATTTAGCTGAGGAACAGGGTTCATGGCTAACTTATGACTCCAGAAGTTCTTTTTGATCGAAATAAAGAGAAGGTACTTTCGTACAAGGTATGACTTAGAAATAAATGTGCTAATATCACCATCCAGATATTTGAATATCTTCGGAGCCTGGGGACCTTCTGATCAACCAGGCCTTTGCTCATCTCGAAATCTAGATTCTCGCTCACCACTAGGCTGTACGGTAGAGTCAGGGATGAGAAGCTTAATGGTGTTGGAACAACTAAGTACCGTTGACATCGACATTTCACTTTGAAAATGAGAAAATGAGGACAATGTAAACTCGGTAGGGACATGTTAGAAAGATGTTACTGCCTCAGTCATCAATACCTACTGCACATGTATGCACGGCGGAGACTTCGGAGGATAAATATGCCGGCACTAGCGGCCGCAGACCCGCAGAGCCTCAGACCATGAACGTCTCGGATGATGATCCTCGAAACTCCACCAAACGAAGAGACAAAGAGACATATAACCGCTCTCCTAGATTCTTCCTCGCCCAATCAAAGATTTGCGATTTTGATACATAGGTACTGGATAGTTGGTTGCCGTGTACATACCAACTAACGTGGGGATCTCTTCGACAGCTCGGTCTCCAGCGCCCAGCATGGGGGCCTCAGCGATCAAGGAGCAGCGCGACAGTAAGCGGATCATGCGTTGCCAGCGGTACCTCGACTGATGACGGTGAACAGTTATTCTGGAGAAGATCAAGCAGATAACTCGAGGAGACGTAGGTGTTCTGATACCAATACCGTGGCCGTGCTGACGCGCTCTTAAGTGGAAGGTGCTGGTCATTGATGAAGGGGCCAAGAAGATTATAGACAATGTCCTTAAGGAAGATGATATCCTCAACGAAAACATCGCGAGTACGTAATATTGGGCGACAAGAGACCCGCAGCTAAGATGGGAGCAGACATCGAAAGGATCGAGGAGAGGAGGGGGCCGAATCCCGATATGGATGCCATATACATACTATCCCCAGAGCCACATATTGTCGACTGCCTCATGGCTGATTTTGAGCGTCGGAGATACCGAAAGTCATACTTAGTATGGCTTGCCCTCCTTCACCCCCAGATGCGCCGGCGCATCGACTCTTCGGCAAATGCGAGAGAACAACTGGCAGGATTCGAGACATTATCAGTAGACTTTTTCCCCCGGGAATCACAGTTAATTACATTCAGAGATCCGTATAGTTTTCCCATATTATACCATCCAGCTTGTAATGAGCTTGTTCGGGATCATATGCAACTCTTGGCACAGAAGGTCAGATCTCATGTTACTTGTTTCACAAATGCCATGCTGAATGTTGTATCTTAGATTACCGGAATTTGCGTCTCACTGGGCGAATACCCAAAGATCCGATACTACAGGCCACGAAATCCGATACACGAAGCCAGCGTTCTCTGTTCGCATCTTGCGCGATTTGTACAAGATGAGTTGGATGCATACGCGAAATACCACACGAACTTCCCACCTCAAACTGCCCGGCCACCGGGAGTTCTCCTAATCACAGATAGGTCAATGGACCTCATCGCGCCACTGATCCATGAATTCACATATCAAGCCATGGCACATGACCTCTTGCCCATCAAGGAAGGGGATAAAGTGCTCTACAGAACTGTCGTGCGTGAAGGGAGCTCAGACGCGGTGGAGAAAGACATGGAGATAGGCGAGAAGGATAAGATCTGGGTCGATAATAGACACAGACATATGAAGGATACAATTGAGAAGCTGATGGGAGATTTCCAAAAATTTATCGACGAAAACCCGCATTTCACGAACAGCGATGGAGATGCTACCAGTCTTAATGCTATCAAGGATATGCTGGCAGGGTTACCACAATTCCAAGAATTGAAGGATGCATATTCATTGCACTTGACTATGGCTCAAGATTGCATGAACATATTCCAGCAGCACAAGCTACCTGATATTGCATCAGTGGAGCAAACACTCGCGACTGGACTAGACGAGGACTTCCGAAAACCAAAGAATATTGCAGACCAAATTGTCCGGCTGCTAGATGACGAGAGTATTGTCCCAACGGATCGGTTGAGACTCATACTGCTCTACGTAATATATCGCGACGGACTGATACCCGAAGATATCCAGCGGCTCCTATCGCACTCCTCTCTCCCACCCAATGACTTTGAGTCGGTCGCCAACATGGAACTCCTTGGAGCACGTGTATCAAAAGCCCTCAAAGACATCAAACCTGCACCTCCACCTTTGTTTCCTCGCAAGACCGTCCCGACAGCGGAAGAAGAGGAGTATGCTTTATCACGCTACGAACCGGCGCTCAAGCTCATGCTAGAAGAATGCGTCAAAGGAACACTAGATCAAGGGATCTTTCCTTATACCAAACCGCCTCTGGATAACTCTGACGAAATGGCTGCGCAGGCGCAAACCTCACTTCGAAGTGCTAAGCCAACTTGGGCGCGAAGCCGGACTGAACGGAACGAGATCCGGCAGAGAATTATTGTGTTTGTGGCCGGTGGAGCTACGTACTCGGAATCTCGGGCTTGCTACGAAGTCTCCAGATCGAGTGGGCGGGACATTTTTCTTGCCACAAGCCACATGCTTACCCCCTCCTTATTTGTCAAGCAAGTAGGAGATCTGAGCCAAGATCGACGGAAGCTAGGTTTACCTGTAGATCGACCAAAACCCAAAGCCCCAGCTCACTTATTCGAGCGGGAGGAGCCCAAACCAGCTGGAGTTGCCACCGGCGGCCCCGTATCAAGACACGCAGTGGGATTACCCGGAGGGCGGGTGCCGAGTAGTGCAGCTGCGCCGCCACCCCAACATCATGCTCCAGGGACGACATACGATGCCAGGCTCGTTCCGACTGCGGGGCTGGCTGCCATGAGCATCAATTCCGCCGGTTCGAAGCCGTTGAATGGCGAGAAGTTAGAGAAGAAAGGTAAGTCATCAAAAGACGAAACGGGGGAGAAGAAGAAGAAGAAGGGGTTTTTTGGGAAGAAGTTGTGAGCCGAGGGCGAGAGGTCCTAATGAAGGAGGCTTTTTGGCGTGGCGTTGGAGGACATAGCTGCTGGCAGGCGACAACAACATATTGACGATGATGAGAGATGGGATGGATGAGTATGGATGTAATAATAGCAGGACGTAGCGTTCCTATGTTGATAGCGATGGATTGACATCTACAACTAGACATGGAGAAGTTGCCTGGATAGCTTACTATATTCCATTGTGTATTGTAATGTTAGTTTACGATAGTCTGTAAAAGGGGAGGCATTTGGCAAAAGGGGTCAAACGTGGAGGCTCGGCGGATTAACAATAGCCCGGACAACCCCGCTACCCCACCAACAACCGCTCCCGACTCCAGCTCTTCCTCTGTATTGAGGAGGGAGGATCTGATAAACAAAACACCTTTTGACTTTCTTTGATTCGCTTTGCGTAGCATATGCCGTTTCTACTGTCGCGGGCAGAATGTCCGTCTCGGCAAAAGTCCTGTCAAGTCCCTCGCCTATTCACTCGAGGCTCGGGCCGTCGAGTCGGGTCCAGCACATTCACTCAATATCACTTCGCTATGCGTGACTTATGCGAAGACGCGCGACTCTTCTTGTTCACGGAGCGCGTCTGTGAAGACAACTTCGCGCTCTTTCGATCTTTCCTCCACTTACAACATCGACACCAACCATTGCACCTCGAACAGCGTCAAGACTCTCAAGTAGAATGGGGGCACAGAACAGCACTGCCAACAGACTGGCGTCGTCAAAAGACAAAACTGGACTTTCTCGTTCTGAACAACTTCACGCTCTCTACTCCAAGTTCCACTTCGAATGCCGATCTTGCCACACGCTGTTTACATACAACGAAGTCAGCTCGAACGTCTGGCCCTGGTTCGTTTCCCCGGGTATCTTTCGACCTGATGTCCAATCCCAGATCTCCAAGCTTCGCTGCAAGGTATGCACTACGTCGACGTGCCTTGGCTGTGGTGAGAGACCAACATTAAACAAGACCACTGTTGTCACATCTATTGGCTCTTTGAATCATTGCTGCGAGGGAGCCAGACTCTTAGGTATCTGGCTGATTCTCTGCCACTTTGATCAGAAGGAGCTAGAGCTCCGTGTTGCATCTAACAACTCGAAGAAACAGGATGAGGCCAATCTTTCTAAGGACTCGGGGGTTGGGTACGAAGCAGGATACGCCTCCGCGGGTTACAAGACATCGGCCGCTCCCCCTGCTCCGACACATGAGCATTCGGATTCCTTGATCGCCTCTGTCCTTGCCCTACTTGAGGGTTTCCTACCTGACGTGGAGTTGGCCTCAGCCTCCCCTGCGGAGGATCTCAATGAGTAAGCATACCCCAAGGACCAGCTGCTTCCTTCTTTGCACGGATTGATTTATGCATTGTCCTTAGTTTTGGGACACCCACGCCCCCAGCTAAGAAAGTTACTGATTCTTGAATGCTTTAGGTTATTACTCTTTCAGACAAGCTTTCTGATGGATCGTATTTGTGCTTTGATCCGCAACGACTCCATCAAAGAGATCACAGAGCGATCTACCCTCTACCATAGCCTGTTTTCATTTGTTGAAAGCATAGCTGAGAATCCTAAGCTTATTCAGCTCCTCTTTGAACAACAACCAAACCGAAAGAAGAGCCCTGGTCTTCGAGCTCTTAGTATTGGAGAAATGAAGCAAGGATTTCATGACTTGAGAGACTTGTCACCATCCTTGTATACTTGCTTCAGCAACACCTATCGGCAAGCTAAAGTGTTCCTGGAACTTACAGAGAAGGATGCTGAAGCCAATTATCAAGGGAAGCGACCCTCTAGCCACCCCAAAGGCCAAGACCCGATCGATATCTGCAACAGAATTATCAAGCTTTACTGCTCACTTGAGGCTCAGTGCGAATCTCTCGACAACAGCATTCGTTCTATGGAAGGCTTCAAAAACCCCTGGACGAAATTTGCCGAGGAAAACAGAGTGACGTTTACTGACGAGGTTCTGGAAAATCACCGTTTTGCCAAGATGTTTCGCAGCCTCACTTCCACGACCAAAGACCGGATGCTTGCCATCGGAAAGGAGATTTCTAATATGACAACATCGCTCCCAGATGGTGTATTTGTAAAAGTTGCGGAGTCCCGCTCGGATGTGATGAAGGTGCTTATTATCGGAGTGGAAGGTTCTCCATATGCAGGAGGATTATTCAAGTGAGTTAAACAACCAAAAGACAACCCTCTACTGACTGACGATTCGCACTAGCTTCGACATGGTTCTTCCGAGTAACTATCCTCACAGTCCTCCGAAGATAGCTTTTGTCCTGCAAGGAGTCGATTCTGAGAGTCCCGCAATGAATCCAAATCTTCATCATGGAGGCGATGGTTAGTATTTTCGTTTCTTCTAAGCCCTTCTCCACCCAGAATTTCATCTCATCCACTTTTGTCTGCTCGATAATACCCGCTATATTTGAACACTGGATTGTCGTACTTACACGTATGCATAGTTTGTCTTTCGATTCTCAACACTTGGCCCGGTGACCCAAGCCAAATGTGGCAGCCGAACCAGAGCACCATTCTTGCTGTACTTGTCAGCATCCAAGCAATGATCCTTGGAGCACCTTTGCCTTGGCTCAATGAACCAAGCTTCACAGATGACGACGAAAACCCACAAGCCTTTCAGCACAAGATGCAGATTCAAATCAAGACCGTCAGACATGCTATGATTGGCTGGCTAATCAAGATGAAAGGACCGAATCCCAAGTCTAATGCAAGCCCCTGGTTCGATATCATCGAGAAATACTGGGAATACAACAGCCAAAAAGTCATAGACACTGTGGAAGAATGGGCAGTAGAGAATCCGTGGCTGAACGATTACAATAAGAGCCAAATAACAATGATGGGCTTCTTGCCGACCGAACCGCCGCAGGAGAGAGTGCCAATAATGAAAACATCTGTGGACCTAGTCCAAAGACTGCAGCAGCTGTTGTTGATGGCGACAGATGAGGAAGAGAATTCTTCAGACCACAATAAGTCAGTGTCTTCAGATGATTCCGCTTTGTCTACTATTGAGGAACTGGACGAATCTGGCTCCAACAAGGAGAACAATGGTGGTGTAGGCAAAGGGAAGCGCAAAGCTGACGACGACATATCGAAAGTCTCCAAGAAGCACAAGGCCAAAGAGTCAAAGCGTCAGAAGACAGTGAAGTGGGTCTACACGAGCGGCCAAACACGCAAGGACGTCCGCGCTGCATGCGAGGCGCTCAATATCAAACCATCTCGAGGCATTGACGACACGATTAGGCGACTTCAGGAGCGCGTCAATATTGACACGGAGAAGATGCACAGCGAGGTAGCATTGAAGTACGGCAAGCTCGTCAGTTCCTCTCTCGAGAGTGACGAAGATGATGATGATGACAGTGCCGACGATGCGGATATTCTACCCTAAAGTGGTAAACGTCCTATCATTCGCTTTCTCTTCTTCATACACTCTTTTTCCACACACCTTTTTTTCGTATGTTTTCTTTCGGCAATTTCTGAACTGTTGACGTGGGCGTCAACTGTGATGGACTTTTAATCGGAAGCACTGCACGTAATGTGCGTGTGTGGAGTTGATATGGAACTGGTCTTTCAGCCATTCCTGAGCTATCAACATGGAGGCGTTAATTAAGGTGGCTTTTTCTTTTCTTCTAATCGGAGGTGCGGCATGTAACGTGCATGGAGTTGATATTCCGAACTGGTTTTGAACCTTTTCTGAACTATTGACATGGAGGCGTTAACTATGCTGGATTTTTCACCGGAATGCTGCATGTGACGGGCGTGGAGTTGACATGGAAATGGTAATTCAACGGAGGAGTTAAGGACAGGAGTTCAGCAGACCCAGATCACTGGCTTATTGACATGGAATGATACCAAAGAAATGCATTACGTTCTTTTACTCTTAATTTCGTAAATTGCTATTGCGGAGCTAATTGAAGTGATTTTAACTCTTAATCAATATAGTCTCTATTACGCTTCCACCTCTCGATAGGGCAATTAGCCATCGACTCCCCTGTATTACCAAAGGCAAGGCAGCTGAGGATGGGCGCGTCCCAATCACTCCACTCATGGTATTCTTAGGATCAATTGTGTGAGTTCTGCTCACGGAGCCGAAACTCCAGGCTATTGAGGAAGTGTAAGTCTTAGCTTTCAGCACTTGATAGCCAAGACTTGTCCAATATTGACAATGACCACGGTTCCTGCCTTGCCCTGGAACCCTTTTGTACGGGCGGTATAGCACCGATTTAAACTGTACCCAACGTGCGGGCAAGCGTATGTAGGGCTTTTTCATCTTGTACTTCGACTTCCAGCCCAAGCCAAGAATCGCTTCCATCCGTCCCAATGCCGCCCATAGTTATATTTTCCAATGTCCCGCCCCACGCCATCAACCACCCCCTAAATACCTCTCCACATCCTCATTCCTATAAAACAAATCGCGCAGCCTCTGGCCCTCCCTCCTATCTTTCTCATACATCTTCCTCGCTCTGCCCGCATCCACCTTCTGCATCTTCTTCACCCTCCTCTCCGTTGTTCCCGGCGGGGGTACCACAACCCCGATGCCCAGCTTATCATCTTTCGGCTTCGTCTTGATCGGGTATTGGATTCCTTGCCCTGACGCGCCCAGCCCGAGTCGCGAATCTGGATCCCAGCCGTAGGCTGCGAGGTAGGCGAGCCCCTTGCGGTTGCGGTCCAGGTGTGATGGCGGGTGCGAGTGCGTGAGGCATACTTGGTGCGCGAGAGATGCCTCATGGGGTCGCGCTTTGGGAGTCGATTGTGCCGCCACCGCCGATTGAGGGAGTGTGGCGTCTGAGCTTGCAGCGGGAGAGCTTGAGGAGAGAGGAAGGCTGCAGATCTCGCAGAGTTGCGGTTCGGAGGGCTCATTTGTTGGAGTTGTTGGTTCATTGGCGGGTGCTGCTGGCGGTGGATGGGGAGTATCAGGGCCTGCTGTGCTCTTTTCGGAGGAGACTGCGTCTTTTCGCAGGACAAGACTGAGGTAGAAATCGCTCACTGATTTCGCAGGGGTGGTGCTCGGCGGCGCTACAGCGGTGGAAGAGGAGCTCGACGGTACGAACTTGACTCTCTTGCGCTTTATACCAGCCCCAAAAATCCTCTGGTCTTGGAGAGGGACCTCGTAGGTCTCGTCGTCGGACATACCGCCGAACCGTTTATATTTGTGGTGTTGAAGAAGTTGGGGTGGCGATCACGGACGGTTGTCGCTGTCTTTAGCTCCGGCCTAAATTTAAGCTTAAGTATTGCCGCTCTTTACCGCCTTTCTGTGGCTGGAAATAACTCTCTCCCCTTTCCAACCTCTTACTTCGTGTCAACAACTCCACGATCTGGCCCTACACAACCAATTTTCACGACAATGCCTGTATACATTGTCAAGGAAGCCTTTAAGGGGAACATAACCTGGCTTCCCAATGGCTTCACCTTTATTAAAGTCGTGGCTATCCTGTCCGCCATTGCCCTCTTAAAATGGTACTCGACGGGCAGACCGAACACCTCGGAGCGGCAGATGCACGGGAAAGTGATCATGATCACCGGCGGCACATCTGGAATCGGAGCTTCCGTCGCCCTTGAACTCGCGCAACGAGGCGCGCAGATTGTTCTCCTGACCCACCAACCGCCCTCCGATATGTTCATTGTCGATTTTATCGAAGACCTACGCGACCGGACGGGAAACGAGTTGATATACGCGGAGCAGGTGGATCTATCTTCTCTCTACAGTATCCGACAATTTGCTACGAAATGGATCGATAACGCTCCTCCCCGGCGACTCGACATGATTATCCTATGCGCGGCGACGCTCACCCCGCCTGGGAAACCGAGGGTCGTCACGAGAGAAGGAATCGAGGAGACATGGATGGTGAACTACCTAGCGAACTTCCACCTACTCAGCATCCTGAGCCCTGCGATCCGCGCGCAGCCGCCGGATCGCGACGTGCGCATCGTGTTCGCGACGTGCTCCTCATACGTGAATTCCGCGCCGGTCGACGACGGCAGCGTCGCGATGACGAAGAAGGATTGGACGCCGGCGAAGGCATACGCGAGGAGCAAACTCGCACTGACGATCTTCGGACACGCGTTTCAGAAACATTTGGACGCGTATAAGAGACCCGATGAGATGCCGATGAATGCGCGCGTGATATTCGTGAACCCGGGATATTCGCGGACGCCGGGGATGCGACGGTGGCTGACGCGTGGGACGCTCTGGGGACTATCGATATATTTGGTTTTGTGGCAGACGGTTTGGATCTTGTTGAAGAGCGCGGAGGGCGGAGCACAGAGTTTCTTATACGCGGCTATGGAAGGTAGCTTGGGGCGAGGGAGCGGCGGAAAATTGATCAAGGAGTGTCAGGAGATAGGGTTCGAAAGGAGCGATGTGAAAGACGAGGCCGTGGCGAAGAAGCTCTGGGAGGGCAGCGAGAAGCTGATCGAACGAGTTGAGAGGGAGGAAGCCGTCCGCCGAGCCCTAGAGAAGAAGGAAAAAGAAGAGCTGGAGAAGAAGCAGAAATCGAACAAGGACAAGAACCAGCAGAACGACGAGAAGAAGCCCGCCCCCGCGACAAAGGCACCCGAGACCAAGTCTCGAAAGCAGAAGAAAGCTAAATAGTTTTGCATTTATTACCTGACCTTTTTTCCTAGGTAGCTAGCTCATACGAAAACTGGCCAACTTCGCTTCGAACACGCTTCCCACATCTCACCCGTCTATTCACATCATTTCTCAATCATTCAAACATCAACAGTCTCTCGAGAGACCTTCCCGTACCTGATGTTGATATCTACAGAGATGACTCGTACGCCACCGTTCCCAGATCCCAGAGCATTATATGGTATCTTCCATTACATCCTTTATTACATGCCGTATATCCAACTCAATCATAGATGCTCGTTAGTCAATCCTGGAAAGGAAACGTGGCCCCAGCACAAGGCTTTTGCTTCGACGCCCATGCCGCAATTCTCGTTCTATTCCAGCTACTTTGCCACCTCTTGCCATCTTCAGGCTTGTGCTTTTCGCCGAACCTAAAGTTTTTCGTTCCTAAGGTGCACCCGTCACCAGTGTAGAGCGATTGGAAGCAGTCGGGATTGTGCGCGCACGCTTCGGTGCAATCTTCCGCAGAACCAATACCAGAAACTGCTTCATCTTCGCTCTTATTGTCCCAATCCTCGAGGGAGTCGGGTATTGTATCAAAGATAAGATCTTTGAAGATTTCTGAATATAGCACCGGTGCCTGCAAGCACATGAATGTTAGTAAACTTCTGGGTGTAAAAGAGCTTCTAGGCGGCACCTACGCTTTTGTTTTGCCTTCGTTGTTCAAAGTTCCCAAGTCGCTCTGCATCAGCAGGAGTTATGTGGTGCATAGTCACAAGCGGTTGGCACCAGTGGTCAGAAGCAAAGGGTATCGTGTCTGGTGTTTCTCCATTGATGGTAGGCCATGAATTCATCACTTCTATACCGTATTCATGCAAAACTTGAGCGAGAACCCAGTCGCCACAGCAATTTTCGTGCATTTTGGAATCCCATTGCGCAGCTGTACCGTTATGACTGAGGAAGTTGCGTGTTGCTGCATTTGAAAGCAACATCCCGCTTCCGCCATGGGCGAAAGGCTTTCCAACGATGAAGGATAAGGACCCTAGGAAGGATTCCTTAGATGGGTCAAGCCTTTGTATCCATGCTAATAGGCTTGACCATATGACATAGGTATCAGCATCGATGTGGAAGTACCAGTCCATGTCCGGTTGGAGAGCCCAGGCCTTCTCAACGATGTGGAGATTCTTATATTTGTCGAGCGTCCATGCCGCCAAGTCCTCGGGCCTTCGTGGGTCTTTGAAATCCCGCAAGATACTAACAATCTTAGCGGGATCTTGTAGTTCCTGCTGTTTACGATAGATGTCGAAGTCCGAGTTTCCGTCCTTGACCTCAGCTGGAATTGTGTCCAGCGCATCGTAGATTTGTGTTTCTCCAATCTTCTGTTCCATGTCTGAGAAGACATAGACGTATGGTGCGCACCGTAGGGACGTTCGCAGTTGCGTGGGAAGCTTTTCGGGTGCTTCGGTGGCTCCGGTTTTGACTGTAATTACTACGCGCTCAAGTCCTGAGAACGCACCGCATACATCGTCATCGTTCCCCGAGTTCCAGCTCCATTTTGACCGATATTTAGCCTCTACTGGTAGTGAGAGGTACAAATGGACGATAGCGAGCAGCACTAACGCCACGACAAGAAAGCGAAGGCTTGAGGAGCGGCTACTCGGGCGAATCTGTAGTCTGAACATAGGTAGGTAGGTAGATATCATCAACCGAGAAGTGAGAAGTGAAGATAGAGTCGGGAGAAGGGTTTGACGAACATCTTTAGAGCTGGAATAGTCGACACTTAACCTTCATCACCTTCTCAGGAGTGTAGGGCGTTTGCTAAGCGCTGTTGAAATTTAGGATTGCAATATTTGAGGGGCTAAGCGCCCATCAGCGGTACGGGGACCCCGCGTCGATTGGTTCGTTCCGTTTCGGCGCTTAGAACCCTGTTACGATAATGTTACGAGAGGCGGCAAACTCACCAACACAAAGCCACGTTTTGAAATGGACTGTCTCGACTATCTATCGTCGCGCCCAGTTTCAAGTACTGACCTACAGGAAGACCGATGACAGCGAGCTTTTTAGAAGTTGTTAGCCCGTTCCATCGTGAACTTTGGGGAATTTGGGTCAGGGGCTGCGGACCGATCCGGGATCGCAGCCAGGCGACAACCCCCCCTATAGTTTCGGATTTGGTATATTTGGTATAAAACCGCCACCAACAAATATCCAACAACTCATGATAATGCAGCACTGTTGGACCAAAGCAGCCCGAAGTATTTCCTTGATGAATCCGTCTTTCCGCACCCGCCCTTCTTGTTCTCTCAAAAGTATGTGTGAGATCACGACTAAAGCTCTATTGAGAATTTCCTTATGTTCCTGCTCGCTCTTTTCATCGCGCTCTTAGTTGCTGCCGTCACTGGCGCAACAACTAATCAGTTTATATTCCCAACTCCTCAAGATTTCAACCATGCAAACGTTGATGGCTCGTTCCCAATTGGAAGTACCATCAATGTACAGTGGGAAACGATCTGGGAGACTGTGACCCTGGTCCTCTGGCAAGATGGACCACTGCCATTCCAATACCTTCCAAATTCTCGTATGTGTTCAGCGGGAGTTACTCGTAAAATTAGAGCAAGCTGACAGTTTTCCAGTGGGACTCGTGAATACCACCTCGTTCATATGGACCGTCAACCTTAGCGGAACGGGTGGAAACCCACAATTCAATCTGAGTGCAGGAGAAACTTTCTTCTTCGGCGTGTTTCAAACCGGAACCACGAATCTCTTTGAGAGTCAATACATCAACATCACCAGCAACGCAGTCGCGTCTCCGGCATCTTCAAGCACGACGGCCGTTCAAACCTCTACGGCCTCCGGTACCAGTTCAATGCCTCCACCCTCAAGCACTTCAGTAACTCCAACCTCCGGTAGCCAAACACCTTCGGCATCACCCTCTTCAAGTCCATCGGCTAAGGGAGGATTGAGTACCGCAGCCAAAACAGGACTGGGCGTTGGGCTTGGTGTTGGAGTCGTCGCCCTCACTGCAGGTCTCGGTGCGGGATACTTTCTCCACAGACGCAAGAAGGGTTCAGCCGCCGATGCTCATCTCATAGAAGAACATCCCCAAGACGGGCCGGAGGGCAAGCAACTGGTGGAGGCCCTGCAAGAAATGCCGCAGACTCAGGCCAAGGCATGGAAGCCTGCGCGGTCGATCTATGAGTTGTGAGAATGGATAATCTGTCGGATATGTAACATTGGACCCTTTCTCTAGTTGATTTAGCGATGTTCCCGAGTCAAAAGGCTTGTTCATACACGGCTATTACTGATTGGTGGAGAATGAGGCGCCTCGAATTAAGGTTAATGCAAGGGTCGGGAAGCGAGGAAATGACAGGTTTGCATAAAAGCTTGTGCATGCACCAGAGAGGTTCGGAGCCAATCACATGGGCCGGGTGGCTGCATAAGGGTTCGCGACATCCGGGTTCCATAACGTAGCATCGGACAATCGTATTGTCGTATTGTCGTTTTGCCGATACGATGCCCAAATAAATAATCTCCTCCTTTTGTCGTTCTTTGTCTCTTTGACGTTTCGTTCTCTTTTCTCTTCTGTTCACTTCTGCCTCTTCTTCTTCAAGAAGAACACAGGGGAAACACCTTCGTTCTCTTCTCTGCCACCGCTTTCTTTCTTTCTTCTGCGAATAAGCGCCCCTTCTTTTGCCCCTCCTGCAATATTTGACCCTGCTATGCGGCTCTGCAGTACTTGACTGATACTGATCAGCACTTACATTCCTTTCTCTACCTACGAGTCCAACTAGGTCCATTTTCTTCTATTATCGAATTCACTTCACCATACCCCCGCCATTCCATCACAGAAGTCGGCCTCTTAGACCGCTACGGCCTTGAGTTGCTCGTCATGGCACCCAAGGATGACTTCGAGGGTGGAGGCGAGTTATTGGAAAAGACGACAACCGGTGCGCCATCCTCAAGATATAGTTCTGACGTCGATATGGCGGAGAAGCAAGGGGGAAATATCGAGGGCCACCTTGCAGATCCAGACCACGTGAGTCTCCCCCTCTCCCTTCGCGTTTGCCTCCAATACGGTAACTGATATGCCCAGGCGCAACATGTCCAATCCGACCCTCTGAAATCCGCCGAGTATGAAATTGAACGAGTGCCCACTCATGGAACCACGTCGAGCAGACTCTCCCGCATCGCAACGAGACTGACCTCCCGATCCAAAAAGGAGATGCTCAATCCAGAGCTAGTACCAGTCACCGACCTCGACGCAGGTGTCGTAGGCTGGGAAGGACAAGACGATCCCGATATGCCGCTTAATTTCCCCAGTCGCCGCAAATGGCTCCTCCTTGGACTCATTTCCTCCATCACCCTCATAAGTCCGCTTGCATCCTCGATGTTCGCACCTGGAGTCTCGTTCATGGATGTGGACCTTCACAACACCAACACAACCATCAGCGCTCTGACAGTCAGTATCTTCGTTCTTGGCTACGTGGTCGGTCCGCTGTTCTTGTCGCCTCTGTCGGAGATCTATGGCCGCCGGCCAGTACTCTTCGTTGCTAACGCGCTCTTCTGCGTTTGGCAAATCGGTTGTGCTCTTGCTCCCAACATCAGTGCTCTTATCGTGTTCCGTTTCTTTGCGGGAATTGGAGGCTCTGGTTGTTTGACCATTGGAGGAGGCGTCATTGCAGATCTGTTTCGTCGTGAGCAACGTGGGATGGCGACAGCCATCTATGGTGCTGGACCCCTCCTCGGCCCAGTCATTGGCCCAATATGCGGTGGATTTATTGCTGAACGAGCTGGGTGGCGATGTAAGTCTTTTCTGAAAACTCTCCCAGATCTTGAGCTTGTTTAGAATATCTTGCCAGCGCAACAGCTCCCCATCTAGGAATGTTTCTGACTTGTCCAGGGGTATTCTGGGTCCTCCTGATCGCAGCGACACTGACAACAGCTGGCGTCGAGATGCTCAACCGTGAAACTAACCCACGCGTGTTAATCCGGCGGAAGACAGAAGCCCTCCGCGCCAGTCTGAACCGCCCAGAGCTCATATCTGCCTACGATACAGCCGGTGGTGAGCAGAGCAAGGTGACCATCCTCCGAAGTGGCTTGCTCCGGCCCCTCAAGATGCTTTTCCGCTCCCCCATCGTCTTTCTATTGGCCCTGTATATGAGTGTAGTGTACGGCCTTCTTTATCTTCTGTTCACCACCATCACAGGTGTGTTCCAAGGATCCTACGGCTGGCACCCTGAAATCTGCGGTCTGGCATATATCGGCGTCGGTCTCGGTTTCTTCTTAGGCTTAGCCACCGTTGCCAAGATATCAGATGCAACCGTTATCCGAATGACCAAGGCTAATAACGGTGTCTTCGAGCCCGAGATGCGATTACCCGCCTGTGTCATCTTCGCCATGTTCATCCCCATCACCTTCTTCTGGTACGGCTGGGCCGCCGAGTATCACGTCCACTGGATCGTGCCAATCCTAGGATTGATGCCGTTCGGATTCGGCATGATCGGCATCTTCATGCCCATCCAGACCTATCTCATCGACAGCTTCCCAGACTTCGCAGCCTCGGCTCTCGCCGCGCTGACCGCGAGCCGCTCTCTCTTCGGCGCCCTCCTCCCCCTGGCCGCACCGTCCATGTATTCGAAACTGGGCTTAGGATGGGGAAATAGCGTTCTTGGCTTTATTGCTCTCGGGCTAATCCCAGTGCCAGCCTTAATGTTCAAATTCGGCGGCAAGATCCGGAAGAATTACCCCATCCAACTATCGTAATCGGTTTTTCGGCCCCCTAGCGGCAAAGTATTTGATGAGCGATTTCAGCGCGCGAGGCTCACATTTTTGCTCGGATGAGATGCATAATATGAGGGAATGAGAGATACCACTCATATATGGATGAATGGATGGGATTATTGCGGGTGCAGTGTGGAGGCTCTTGTCCTTTTTATACTGTATGGATGGACATGGAAACACAGCATAGATGAACCCATTAATCTTATATCTTAATTTATCAATCGCCATTCCGCACACCGCCATTGAGAGACTGGTCGAAGGTAGTTGGCTAAGTGTCAAACCAGATGGCTGTCATGCCGCAAGCCCGCATCTTCAAGACGAGGAGCGGAGATCTATAAATGTTAACTGGGTTCTCTAACAGACGCATCATCGCAGAAAGATGAAACGAGATAAAGCAACAACGTTGTTCTTCTCGTCAATAAATATGTACTCAGGATCTGTCCCCTTCCTCTCTTTCTTTCTTCCCCCCAACCTCCTTTGTCGTTACCTTATATAAGTCTGTGGCTGCCTGACCACCTACACGGTGGATGCCTGGCTCAAATGGCTGCTCAGATGCATCCGGAAATAGCAGGGAATAACTACGCGCCCCGTCTTCCGCCGTGCCGAGGCCAAGCTTTACCTCCGGGGGGGAAGAAGCTACCCCACACGGAGAAAACATCCCATTATTCCCCTCTTGCTCAACGACTCTCCATCCATCCATCCACCTATTTCCGCACAAAAGGAACAAAAAAAAGAAAAAAAGAAACGTCAACTCCTCTTCTCATCATCAAGAGCCACGAATCATAGAACCCATCAGCTGCGAAAGGACTGTATCAATTTAATTGAGAGTTCCTCGAACCGTTATGCTGCGCCATTCCATCTCGCAAATCTTCTACTCCAACAGCCCACACGAGCAGGAAGCCGAAAGGGAGAACGCTATGATTTCTTCTCTGCAACCTAATAGACCTCATGTATGTCCTCATTTTCTTTCCTCGTCTTTTCACTTAAACTTCCCCATCAATAAAAAAGCCTGCCTGCCTGCCTGCTAACAATCCCATCCTCAGCTACAACCAGCCGCGTCCCCATTCGCCTCTCCCTTAAACCAGCAACCCAGCCACTCATTCTCGTCCGCCACCCCATCATCATCATCATCATCATCATCATCCTTCCCCTCCTCTCCTAACCCTCCTCCTCGGTCGCAAATCGAAGCAATGCCGCCCTCTCTGCCCCTCCGACCGCTGCAGATCCTGCACGATCGAAAAGTGGGGGTGCTGCTAGATGCATCGGTCAGACACCCCGTGTTCTTCACGGATCGCTTGAAGAAATCTCCGAATGGCGTGGGCGATGATGGGTGGACGAGTCCGGTGGCCGCTGGGTATGTGTTTAATGATGATGTGAGGAGGGAGGGTTGGAGCCGGTTGTGAGTTTGGGGAGTGCTGCTGGAAGGAGAGAAGGGGGGTGAAGTATGAATGGGGAGAGTGTACATTATGGCGCTTGGAGTCTTTTTTCCCTTCTTCTGGGGATGGCAGCATCCTTGGATAGGAGATGCATTGCCCGTCATGATACTATGAGTTGTTGAAATACGCCGTCAATGAGCGGAGGTACATATAATAAAATTCTGGGTTGAAGGCTATGGCCTGTGTACAAGAGATGTGCTATAAATACATCGCCTCCGATTGAATTACTAACTCCGGTGGTATAAACTTTGTTTCCTGTTCCCTGAAACCCATATCCTACATATCTTCGCCAATATCTCACCGGCTGTACCTTACTTCCCATGACTGACACATCTGCTCCACCCCGGCAGCCCACATCCGAACCCGACAAACAAGTAGATCAAGAAGATGACCACCACCGTCAGAAGGGCCATGATTCGAACGTTCTTCCACCACATCCGCCTCCTCAGCCCCCTGCTCCTTATGCGGAACTCGTGTGCGCTGCCCCCAAGCCGATCCGTCTTATCGACCAGAAGATCGATCCTCTCGCCCCTCTCAAGCAAGCTCTCAATATTCTGGCTCATAATGCCCCTCACATTATCAATCTCTCCCTGCGCATTCGCAATCGCGTCCTGCTTGCCGCCCTGCGTCGTGCCATACTCCACCATCAGCTTTTTCAACTCCGAATTGAAACTCCCCGCCCCATAACTCTCCATACTTGCGAAGTCATTGCTCTCGACGGGGAAGTTCTCCAAGAAGCGCTTTCGGATCTCGACGAGGAAGCCGAAGGGGATGCGTCGTCCCACCGATGAGTCCGCGATTACGAGATAGGTGAGGCCGCCGGCGGAGGCGTGCGCTGGGGGGTACTCGGAGGGCGCCGAGGCGATGTAGTGGATATAGTTGTTATTGTGCGTGTAGGTTAGCTTCTGGGGCGTCGTATGGGTGATCTTGGGGAGGACGAGAGAGGCGAGTGACGAGCTTTGAGAGGAGGCGGAGGATGTGTGCTCGCTGAGGATGGTGGTGTTATGCGCAATGCAAGAGCTGGCGGTTGTCAGTGAGGCTCTGGGACGGGAATGGGAGGGAACGTCATACTAAAAGAGTGGTGTTGGTGGTGTGGATGAAGAGGCCATTGTTGCGGATCTCTAGGTTCCTCTGGCGTACGGTGGGTTCTTCCGACCTGCGGGTGGTGTAGCAGTTGCTCTGATACTCGGTCCTCCAATGCCCAGTATCTTGAGCATGGGCTGTAGATGTAACTTGGTTGCAGAGTCCAGAGTCCTAGATGTAAGGCCGTCAAACCAGAGTTGTAGTCCGAAGGTGCTGTACCTCGGACGATGATCCCACCAGCAGCCTTGCGGGAACTAATGCATTGATGCCTCAGGCGTCCATAAATTTTCCTCCCAAGGCCCTTCGTGGGATTCATCTACAGCCTCTCCCATATTCCTTTCTCTCTCGATCGTTGTGATGCCCATAGCTACGAGGAGAGCCGGCCGATGTGCTCTCTGTACATTCAGGATCTCGGAATGGCTGGCTCCCGCTGTCCGCAGCCACGATGGGTGCAGGTCCTTCAGTGGGACAGCAAAACCTTGGAGGCAGCCAACACGGGGCTCAAAATTCCTAAGTGTGAGTCCAACACAACCCCTATGGCTGAATATGTACTGATGATAATACTGCCAGGATTTTAATGATGGACCAAGCCAGGACGATGCCGCGAAGCAGACATACGGCAAAGTAAGGGAGCCTCGCAGGTACTCAAAGATATCGGTCACTCCAGTCGCGCGCGCAGTCGGCTACAAAAACATCCTCGAGAAGAAGCTCCCGAAATATAGCCTCTTCGAGAAACTGTTAATGGAACAATATTCGCAGTTGATGAGAAGCTTGTCGAGATGGGATGACGACGCCAGAAGGTCTTGTCATGCCTGGGGTATAAATGACCCGCACCACCTGAAGCTCAAGGGGGCCAGGTTCAAAGAGATGATTGCGAACTGTGTAATACTTGCCAATGAGAAGGATATTACGGATAAGGAGAAGAATCCTCTTTTCTACAAACTCCGCCATGCCTTCATCCATTCTGATGTTGGCGGCCTTGCTGCGGAGATGAAGTATGCCTTTATCAATCTGGTGGTAGGGGAGAATTTTTCGGCTCAAGACGATGCGAATCAGAAAAGATTGGCAGATCTGAGATATCCTATCGAGTGGTACCCAGCTACGAGGATGATGCAGCGGAAGATACATTTGCATGTTGGCCCGACCAATTCTGGGAAAACCTATAACGCCCTACAAAGGCTCGAGGCCGCAGAGAGTGGGATCTATGCTGGACCTCTACGGCTATTGGCCCACGAAGTCTATACGAGGATGAACGCGAAGGGCAAGCCTTGTGCATTGGTGACTGGCGAGGAGCGCCGCTTTCCCGAAGGATTGAACGCAACGATGAGCAGTTGCACAGTTGAAATGGTTCCCCTAAACACCAGGGTCGATGTAGCGGTTATTGATGAAATTCAAATGATGGGCGATATAGATCGTGGCTGGGCTTGGACGCAAGCGCTTCTCGGTGTGATGGCAAAAGAAGTCCATCTCTGTGGTGAGCTTCGCACAATACCTCTGATTAAGGAACTTTGTGCGGCAATGGGAGACAAGCTTGAGATTCACACATACAAGCGGCTCAGCCCTTTGAAGGCTATGCCGAACAGTCTCAATGGCGATCTAAGACAACTTCGGAAGGGCGACGCCATCATCCTGTTTTCTCGGGTCCAAATTCATGCCATGAAGAGGGATATTGAACAGGCGACTGGAAGACGCTGTGCTGTTGTTTATGGGTCACTGCCACCTGAAACTCGGGCTCAGCAGGCCAATCTCTTCAATGATCCTGATAATGATTACGATTTTCTCGTGGCGAGTGATGCTATCGGAATGGGGTTGAATTTGAGCATCAAGCGTGTCATTTTCGAAGCGACTTCGAAACACGATGGCTCTGCATTCAAACAGATGCAAATCTCAGATATCAAACAGATAGCTGGTAGGGCAGGAAGATATAGGACAGTTCGGGATGCCGTTGAAAAAGGACCCAACGACCTCACCGATGGCGAGCCCGCAGATACCAAAGCACCTCTTCAGCTTCGCACATCACGACCCAGTGAAAGCATCGGCTATGTGACAACTCTTGAGAAGTTCGACCTTCCTATCGTCCGTTCGGCCATGGAAACTGAAGTCGAGCCCCTCAAGACCGCCGGTATCTTTCCACCGGCCAGCGTCCTCACACGTTTTGCTTCTTACTTCCCCTCGACAACGCCATTCTCCTATATCCTTCTCCGTCTTCACGAAATTTCCTCTGTCAGTTCACGCTTCCATCTTTGTCGTCTAAGAGAGCAAGTTGACATTGCCGATCTTATCCAACCTTTTCGGCTCAGTATCAGCGATAAGATGATTTTCATGGCCGCTCCAGTTAATCTCCGCGATCCCGGCCTTCCAGCTGTGTTGGTAGAACTCGCAAAATGCGTCGCAGACCAATCATCAGGCCACATTCTCGAGCTCACGACTCTGAAGTTAGAACTTTTGGATATAAACCCAACCGAGTATAGCAAAGGAAGTGCCCAATATCTTAAGGAGACGGAAGCACTTCATAAAGCCATTACATTGTATCTGTGGCTGAGCTATCGATTCACGGGTGTATTCTACAGCCAGCAATTGGCGTTCCATATTAAGGAATTAGTGGAGAAGAAGATTGACGAGTGCCTCGCTCATGTCAACTGGGATCAGGCGAGTAGGGAGAGGAGGAGGCAGCAGAGATTGAAGGTCTTGAGGGAGCAAACCAAGAGGCTGGACGTGGCGGGTCAGGAGAGCAGTAGCGATGTGAGCGAAATTCTCGGAGCTTCCGAGGTGATAATGACGGATACGAGTGAAGGCTTGGAAGATGCTCACGAGATGGAGGACTCGCCTGCCTCTGATGCGGGCGTCCCGGTAACCCCAGATGGAGAGATACCAATGAAGGTGGTTAATGCAGGTCCCCTTTGGGAGAAGGTCCAGCAACACGAAGCCGCTACCCCTTGAAAAAGCTGGGATGTATCATATGTATAACTTATAAGTTTATGCTGTAAATTAATGCATTATAGAGGATCATGGCATGGAGTTTGGGTCGGTTCAGAAGCCGTATATATATATCATTTGTTGATAGAGATTCCTCAATAAAGAACATGCCTACTCAGCCCTAGCAAATCCAGTGATCAAGGGCCCTTTTCCGTATCTATATCTAGGTAGTCTCCTGCAGATACAGTATTGAGCGAAACCCGCGCTTCAAGTATTCGCAGCTATCCAAAACCTTTTAGTTAGCATTTGAACTCTCGAAGTCGAAAGAAAGACGTATCTACATCTAATAGCCACACTGTTTATTTTTCTAAACCGTTCTTCTCCTTTTGTTATCATGACGAAGATGCAGATTCTGTCTAGACGACCACTACGTCTTGCACATATGTATATGTGGCACTCACTCACCCTCCCCGTAATTGTTGTCAGGAGATATATCCATGATTTCTCGGAAATCCAAAGGACTTCTTCTAACTCTTCAAGCGTTCACCTTTCGAAACCCTTTTCTCAATCTCACAAAAGTCAGGTAAGGTAATACAGAACGTAACGGAAGTTCTAGCAATGACTCGCACACGAGTGAGATCATTCACACAGATGGTAGGCAATTTGTTGTTTAGGTGGCTCATGGAGTGGAATTTCTGAGTTTAAATTTGCATGCATTCACGCGTATTTTGGAACATTCATGGTTATTTAGGAGGAGGGGAATCATAGTTGGGTTGTCGAAGTTGCGTATCTGAGTATGAGATAGGTAAGGTAAGGTATATATAGATGCTATCGACGACTTCTTTCTCCTATCCTTCTTTCTCACTACTCCTTTACTTCATAACGAACCAGGCCCAGCCCAACATCTAATACCAGACTTGAAATACCTATTTAACCAATACAAAGCCCAAGCCCACAGATATCATCGCCCTATCATCTACTCACCAAGAGACAGTAAAAAAATACCTACCTCAAAAGAAAAAAAAATGTCAAACTTCAACAACAAACCCCTCCCACCCCTCCCGTTCAACAACCGACCCCTCCCACCCCTCCCGGGCCCCTATCCACAAAGCGGCGGCAGATTCCAACAAGGACCGCTATACATCGTCCCTGATCGCTCCAACGTGCGGCCGCTCACGGCGGCGAACTTGAGACGTGGACAGAGACAATATGGTGCTTATCGGGGACAGCCGATATATACATATAACGATGCAGTGACGAGACCGAGAGTTGAGCGTTGGTTGAATGATATTTATGGTTCGGACCGTTACTTTTAATGGGATGGGATGGGTGGAGAGAGAATGTAAGGTGGAGCAGGTAGTAGTAGTTTTTTTGCTTATATGAATGAATGAATAAACGTTGGTTTAAGAAAACACATCTTTTCACTTTCGAGGTTTGACACTGTGTGTGATATAATTCGGGGTTGGTTTCGGACTCAAGGAGTATCGAATCGCTGACAGACTTGGGTTAACTTAAGTCATGCATCGGATTTATAGGTACTGAAGCTGTTTGTCCTTTCCTACTAGTATTATATCTCTTATTGTACTATACCTTATGTTATACGATAGCAGGACATAGGTAGGTAGGTATCGTAGAGTACCTATACTATGCTTCTCAAAACGAACTGCGAAGACAATGACTTACTTCACCCTACGTCCGAGAGCAGGAGTTGGGAATCCAGAAAAATATCCTTTCAGATTACTCTTACTCTTAGTCCTGGAAACAATAACTACTGTTCTATATAATTGAATAACTTCTCACAAAACGTCTCTCTAATGACTCATAGCTCCCACCACATCTATATAAACTTCCATGCCTCTATCTCCAGGATCCCCAAGTCCTTTTTTTGTACAACACAATTTCCAACACCAACCAACAGACAAACAAACTACCCAGTACCCACCTCTCCAACCCTTCCACCATACCTAGCCAACACTCATATTTATCAAAACATCCTACCAGCGATCCCCCCAAACCCAAACAACATGCCCGGCAGAAACGCCAATCCCCGCTCAAAAAACCTAGACCCATGTCACCCAGACAGCGGCGGTCCATGAAACCGCGGTGTCTACCTCAACTACTTGGCCGGCAACGTCGTCTACCCGCGTAGCTCAGGGCCCCCGTTACCAAAGTCGGCTTCTGGGAGCAGAGAGCTTCCGCCGCGAACTCGCGAAAACTTGGACGTGAGAGGTGTGGTGAGGGATAGATATTCGGGTTTGAGTGTGGGTGAGAGACAAAGGATGGGGATGCGAGAGTGGTTGGAGCGTCATAAATAGGTATTGATATTTTTGGGGGGGAAGGGTGGAGGAGGGGGGGGGGAGATGAGATAGATGGATGGATGGCATGTGCTTAGTTGAACGTTGAGTTTAGAAGTTGACAGAAGAAAAAAAATGATATACGTGTTGATATTCTTAAGAAGAATCGCTATCCATATATGGGCTTTTTTATACAGGGTGATAATACTTCAATTAGAGAGCAAAATCGAAGCTGCAAGAGGATTGATTGCCTACATTGAGTGTGACTGTGTACGAGGTTCGAGGCCACACTCAAGGCCTTATTACATAGTGTTATATCGTTTGTCCTCGGGAACGCTGTATGTGGGATCTGAGGAGCTTTAGGTTGTGTATGAGATACTAACTTCACAACCTTGAAGTGAGGGAAAAAGGTATTTGAAACTGAAAGCGTGACTCGTGATACAAAGCAGATCTCGTACAGTTCTATCCCCAAACCAAGAACGCCAATCTTCCAATGCCGCTAAACCCAAAACCAAAAACCCAGAGATTTCAACCCAATTCCATGTCACGAGACTTTTGCGCCGAGGTTTTGACTCCAGGCTTCATCAGCCCCCTCGTCTTTGCCGGCGGCACCGACAATGAATTCCAGCACCTTGCTGACGCGATCATTGAGGATTCCGGCTCTCCCAATCCTTTCAGTAGGCGTGATACCCCGAGCCTGGAGCCCTGCTACCTTCGCCCTCCAGGCTTTCTCCTCTCTTTGCTTCAAAGCACGATCAACACGCATCGGCATCGCGAGCGTAACTCTCACCAGATGGATCGTCAACCGGGCTCTCCCTACGACATCCAAATATCCTAGGCCCATCAGCCGCTTTTGAACCCTATGAATTCTTCCCAGCTCGACATAAATCAACAAAGCGTACGTTCTCGTCGTTAGGACCAACTCCCGGATCCGTATGAAAGATCGTTCTACATTTATGACCACCTCCTTGGAGACCAGATTCGGGTACCGCACATGTAAGCTGTCCAGCCATCTCCGCACAATAACAAAATCCCCAGTCATAAATTCATGTAATATAGCCTCGACCGCACTGCGGAAGGTGTGCTCGCCGCCCAGGAAAGTGGTTTTATCGGGGAGCTGGGAGGTGGTTGGTTTCGAGGCGCGGTCATAGGTTCGTCGCGCAGAAGGGGATTTCAGGATATCAAATGCGAAGCCTAGTCTCTGAAATGCACTGGAGGAACCTGTTAGATATGCGTGGTATTATCTAGACAGAATGGAGGAGGGGAGGCCTACGTAGTGGATAGAGGATGAAAAGGCGGCCTATCTGGATGGCAGATTTTGGATCTTTCGAGGTAACATCTTCGTAGTTCTGCGGCGGAAGCGGACCTGGACGTCCCCAGGATTTTATATAGCTTCTCCAAATGTCAGTCCTAGGATTCCCAATCATGCGAGGAGGCATACATCTTCCTCGTGGAGTACACCTGCAGCGTTGTTAGAAGCAATCACCACCACATAACAATCACATGTCAGGAGTCGGGCACATACTCTGGATTATGATATCCTTGTCCTCGTGGACGCGGGCGCTCTGTGTCTGATGACTGTCATCAGACATGGCGATGTTACAGAGGCATTAGAGAGAGCAAAAAAGGGGCATATTTTTGAAGATATAATTTTCAAGATATAAAGTTTCATTCAGAGGCACGGAAAAAGGGAAGAAAAGAAAGCCCAGAGGAGGGCGGCAAGTGTGAAGTTTCGATCGGATCTTCACGTGGAAATAAATAGCAATCACATGCTGATGATACAAAGATGACATAAGCAGATGTGCAAAATCCGGGGTCTGGCACTAGACCGCATATAGATAAGTGCACCCTGATATCACTGAAGAGCCTCACGTGTTGATTGCCAACCTTAATCCGGCGATATCAACACCTCGGAGCTCGATCAACAGCTTCACCAGCGACGGCAATGAGAGCCCGGTAACGTTGGAACTGGTCGCCATGGCAGAGCAACAAGATGGCCCCTCCCGAGGGCGCTCTCCCAGTCCTCGGAACTCAGTTCCTGCCGATCCTAGTATCGCGGGATACTCGACCGACAACGCCTCGCGCTCAACGTCTGCCATGACTTCTCCCCTAAGTGCAGACTTCAATATTTCTAGAAATGATTCACCAGATGCCCCCAAGTTTCCCAGTCTTAAAGAATCAGCCCCTCCCGATGTCTCAAAGCACCCAGCATCAGCCGCGGACCACGATGAAGAGGAGGCTTCTGTCCCTCAGCCTTTCCAGCGAAGCACCAGTCCGACTTCAGATACGAAAAGAAATACCGGGGCCGAATACGAGAAGGTTGGCGACCAGGGAGTGTGTAAGATGCACAAATTCTCGCTGTACGAGACGGCGACGAGATATTACATCGTTGGGGCTGATGTGATGGATCGACGGTTCCGCATCTTGAAGATTGATAGGACAGCTGAAATAGGCAGTTTGAACATTGCGGAGGATGAAATTGTGTATACGAAGAAGGAGATGAGTCAATTGCTGAACGCAATTGACGATGGCAATAAGAGCACCGGAGGAATGAAATTACGTTGCAGCACCTGGGGGCTGTTAGGGTTCATACGTTTCACTGGGGCATACTATATGCTCCTGATCACGAAGAGAAGTCAAGTGGCTATGATTGGAGGCCATTTCGTGTACCAAGCTGACGGAACAGAGCTGGTTCCTTTGACCACAGGGGCGAATTCGAGATTCAAGCCAGACGCCAAAAGCAACCCTGAAGAAGCAAGGTTCTTAAGCATTCTCCATAATTTGGACTTGACGAGATCGTTCTATTTCAGCTATTCATACGATATTACGAGAACGTTACAACACAACATTTGTACCGAGCGAGAATTCATCGCCCAAGGTATCCTGTACCCTCATCCTCACGACTACAACTCGATGTTCGTTTGGAATAGCTACTTGCTACAACCCGCAAAGTCTGCTCTCAATAATACTTATGATTGGTGTTTGCCTATCATTCATGGTTATATTGATCAAGCTGCTATTTCGGTATATGGACGCACTGTATACATCACAGTAATAGCGAGGCGATCAAGGTATTTTGCCGGTGCTAGATTCTTGAAACGAGGAGCAAACGATTTGGGCTATGTCGCCAACGACGTGGAGACCGAACAAATAGTCTCTGAAGTTCTCACAACATCATTCCATGCTCCAGGACCAAAGCTCTTTGCTAGTCCAAACTATACTTCATACGTCCAACATCGAGGTAGTATCCCTTTATACTGGACCCAGGATAACACTGGCGTCACACCAAAGCCACCAATTGAACTCAACCTGGTGGACCCATTCTACAGTGCCGCTGCCCTCCATTTCGATAATCTCTTTGAGCGCTATGGTGGACCCATTTATGTACTCAACTTGGTAAAAGCTCGAGAACGAACGCCGCGAGAATCAAAACTATTGCAAGAATTCACAAATGCGATCAATTATCTCAATCAGTTCCTTCCTGCCGACAAGAAAATCATTCACAAGGCATGGGACATGTCTCGTGCCGCAAAGTCGCGTGATCAAGATGTGATAGGCACTCTTGAGAGTATCGCCGAGGAGGTTGTCACAACTACAGGATTTTTCCAGAGCGGCGACGGCCATACAACCCCGTCTTCAGTACAAAATGGCATTGCCCGAACAAACTGTATAGACTGCCTCGACCGAACCAATGCTGCCCAATTCGTGATCGGGAAACGCGCATTGGGCCACCAACTCCACGCCCTTGGAATTATAGGTGACACGTCCATCTCCTATGATACGGATGCCGTAAATATGTTCACACATATGTATCACGACCACGGTGACACGATAGCAGTCCAATATGGGGGCTCCCAGCTTGTCAACACCATGGAAACGTACCGCAAGATCAACCAATGGACGTCGCATTCACGCGACATGGTCGAATCCTTCAAACGTTACTATAATAACTCTTTCCTTGATGGTCAAAGACAAGAAGCCTATAACTTGTTTCTGGGGAATTATATCTGGACGCAGGGTGGGCCGATGCTCTGGGACCTGTCAACAGATTATTATCTGCATCACGCAGATCCCAGAGCCTGGACTTCCAAACGTCGCCGCTCTTACATCAATTGGTACACGCCCGAGTTTCTCGAGCCCAGGAAACTACCAAAATATTCCGCTCCTCGCGGTCTGATTGCTAACAAGCCATTGGGATTTTTCGATGATTATTGGTTAGAATACTACAAACCACTGGCCGTATCATCTCTGGTGAAGGTCTACGCATACCCTGGGAAAATGAACTCTACTCTCCGCTACATACCAGTCCACTCGACGCAAGAAGGGCGATACGATCTCTCGCCTTTCAAAGTACGCACCGAGTCGGACCAAGACGTGCCTGAAAAGAAGAAGAAACCAGCCACCAGAAAAGGCGTCACAATTCTGGAACCCTCAGACCAAGAGCAACCCCATCCAGAAATGGCAATCGAGGATGACGTGTTATCGGTTCATTCAAATACGACGGCTACAACAAAGCGGACTAGTATTCAGCGATGGTTGCAGCCAATCCATGAGACTGCACATAATGTTATAAATTCCACGCACGGTATCATGAAGGAACTGCCAGCACAGAACGCGGAGAATGACAAGGAGAAAGATAAAGAGACGAAGAAGCTGGATAAGTCCAAGGCGGCCCAGTGGACCTTCAGACAGGTTGTGCACGAATCACTAAACCCGTCCGTCTCCGAGCAGGAACAGGAGGATTATGCCCGATATATCTCGCATCCGCAGAACCTGCCCTTGGTGGTGTCCACCGAGGTCTTCCCCGCAGAGGTCGACTCCGAATATCTCGACTATGTCAATGGCAGCTGGCGGGAAGGCGGAGGGATGCTCAGTGGGGATGCGATAAGCGCTGCGGCCGAGGAGGATCTAGCAGAATATACGGACTTCTTGGCGGTAGCAGAAAACCCCTTGACGGTGACGGATGAGGATCTGCCGAAGAAGAGGTATAAGGCGTACAGGAAATGGTTGATGGGGAAGAGCCTGTTTAAGCAGCAGCCTATTGATTAGGCGGGGAATGTCAAACTGGAATTAATTTCTTGGCTTGGATGCATAGATAATGGGGCGATGGACAGATAGATACCCTGATAGTTATTGGAGTTGGAGTTCTTACAAAAGTGCATTGCTCCAGAAACTGGAGATGTTGGAGTGTGGGCTTTGATTCATAATGGCGTACGATATCATATTTTTGCTATTTAGTCATTCATATACATAGTCCCAACTTCCAGAGAGGAACAAATTATATCCGGATTAATTTTGTAAATCCAGATTGAAGACCTAATCCATCCGTGATCAGGCCCCCATAGCAGCCTGGCTAGCTTTTAAACTCCCTACAACCGTAAATGCCAGAACCGGCGAAATAATATACGATATCTACATCATCATCAACGTCAACGTCATTACCTGTAACCATGAAATGCAAGGAAAGGGAAATAAAGGGGACTCACAGTCAACAGTCTCGCGATCTTGTGCTCGTCCTCCTCATCCGCGTCGCTGACCTCTACCATGGCGACGAGTTTCATAGCCGGCGGCCCAGTCGGCATCAGCATCATGGCAAACCATAACATGGGGTCATCTCCAAGCCAGGCCGTCCTACTAGCCAGGAGGTAAATCACAGCGATACTCACGACGGGCCACAGGACGAACCTGACGACCAGGGCGAAGCCGGTGGTCAGCCAGGAGGTGCGGGACTTGGCGTCCTCGGACCTGGGCTGCTGAGTCGAGAGGTACAGCGAGACACCAGCGATGACCACGGGGAGCGGCACGAAGACGCTGCCGATGTTGGACAGTGAGGCCGTGAGCCACGCGGTGAAGATGCCGCCGTCGTCGGTGTCGGCGAAGAAGGCGCGGTGCAGGGCCGGCACGAGGCCGATGATGGCGCCTAGGACGGCGCTGAGCAGCGGCGCGTTGAGGAAATCGTAGAGAAAAAGGAGCCACCAGCGAACGCGGTCGTTGAGGCCGTACCAGCGGCGTTTACTGATGACGAGGAGGGAGAGCCGGCGATCGTCGTAGCGTCCGGCCTTGGGAGTCGAAGAGTGTCTCCGGGAGGGGAAGAAGGAGGTCGATACCACGAGCTGTTGGACTTGTGTAGAATCAGCTCCGAGAAGATGGGTTCGATCCGTCGCCTCGTTGCTGTCTTCCTCTCTTCTTTCTTCATCATCCCCGTCCGCATCGTCAGTCTCGTGGTTCTCCTTGCGATCAGGCGCATGCTCGCTATCGATCAACCGTGGTCCCACTGCGAATGTCAAGCAGGAGCTCACAGTTGCGAAGACTAGAAAGTAACTCTTGGCCCGTTCGATAGCATCGTGCGTGGTCCCGTCCCCTTCCACCAATACGCTCAGGATACCCGTGGCGTGCAAGCTCTGAACCAACAGCAGGGGGTACGACGTAGTGTTATTGAACATGATCGCCACGGTAATCCAGTCGGGCATTCCAAACACCAGATGTGCAAGGCTGCCCACGAGAAAGGACACGAGATGGCAGACGAGAGCCCAGATCAGCACGACCAGATAGCGGGACGCTGAGCCGGCGTGCAGTTCGGCCCCGATCTTGGTGAGCAGCAGCGCGGGCAGGAAGAATCGGACGCAGATCTTGGAGATGGCTTTGGCGGACGCCGCGTCGAGCACTTGGAGCCGCGCGGATAGCGCCCCGTATGAGATGACCAGCAGTACGGAGAGGGAGGCTTGAATGGCGGCCAGGAAGGAGGTTAGGAGGCCTTGTCCTGGTCCTTGTCCTTGTCCCGCCATGGTGCTCATCTGTAGAGCGCTGGCTCTGATGTGCAGTGGCAAACTCCAATATAATTTTTATATACGCAATATGCTGTCCAGGACATGGAAGTGTGGTTTGAGAGTCCCTGGGCGGGATCGAGGTTGAGATGTTGATGTTTGTCGCTGGATGGAGGTGTTCTGGGGGTGTTCTAATATCAAATCCTATTACCAGTTTCGGGTATTTAAGACCGCCAATCATCGTAAAGGGGGGGCATTTCAGACTTGACCACTTCAAGAACACAGAACAACACCCTTATTTAAGATTTATTATTTGCGTCGTCATAATGTCTACCTATGCTACAAACCAAACAATTCGCCAAGCCCAGAATCAGCTTCCACCAACGCGCCCACTTCACCTTGGATATCGCAACCCGTACCGATGACCTGCGTAGCTTCGACAGTCTTAACGAACAATCGTGCCACACCCTTCAATTCCCTTTGCAGATCCTCCGTGCCCGCCTGAGATCCCTCAATGTTCTTCCAACATGCTACCAATGATTTCAAGATGGTAAGGCGATGTGCGGGCTGAGATATTCGAGGCCAGCAGGCTAGAATGACGGACTTTAGTGTGCGGACCACGGTGAGTAGCTGTTTTGGCGAGGATGCGAAAGGATCGGTTAGGAGAGCTGAGAGAATGGGTATGATATCCTATCGTAGAAATTAATCATTCATATTAATCCAGTAATCGGGGCAAGGACGGGTAGAAAATAAACGGTTCAGGGAGACTTGGTTACCTTGAGATGCTTCACGGCATTCACCCCCATCTTCTCAACCAAAACCCCCATCTCACCTATAAGCAGCTCCACGATGCTTGGATGCTCATTGGCATACATATAACCCATCAAAATTCCTTTCCTCATTACCCGGTCGTAGAACTTCATCCGGTCCTGTTGGTTCACCTGTTCCCGCCCCTTTTCCCCTGTCTCCTTGACTCCCCATCTCACATCCCCAAGCACAAACAAAGCCTCATACGCTGGCCCCAATAGTTGGACAGATTCGTCAGCGGGCGTGATACTGGGTAGAAACATCAAAGTTGGCATAACTGCATCATCAAATACTTCGCCCAATCCCGTCTGCTCCAATAATTTCCTGCCGAATTTCGGGAGGAAGGAAGAGAGTATGGATAGGCCGCGTGAGCGTATGGGCGTGCTGGGGTCATCAAGGAGGGTTAACAGGGGTGGGATAAAGAGGTTCCAGCTTTGGCTTATGATTGCTTCCTGTCAAAGGAATTAATTAGGAAGATATTCAGAAAGGTTGGTAACGATGGGAAGGAATAACGGGGGAAATACAGAAGAACTCTCAACCACCCATTCAAATACAGGAATCGAGTAGGGAGAAGTATATTTCCATGGCTTTTGGGCGGGGTCTGACGCATCTGAGACGTTGTACCTCTTTGGTGGGGCGGAGGAGGGCATTGCTTTTCGGCCGGTACTCGTGACCGCCTCGGGTTTGGATTTAGAGAAGAGAGGGCGGACAACCGATTGCAAGAGAAAATCGATGATAAATCCAGAGGCTTCTGTTTGGTGGGAATAAACAGAGAGGATGTTGGTGGCGATGGATCGAGAAGAGCTGCTGGTCCATGTGTCACGTGAGGAGGTGAATGTTATGGCTGAGAGGAGGATTTGAGGGTCATTGATACCGGAGGTGGGCGAAGGGGGCGAGTGGAAGGATAAGAGGACTTGTAGACATTTTAGGCCCTGGAGACCCAGGCGTTGCGTGACTTCGAGAGCCTGCTCGAGGGCACTTTGTGAGTCTGTGAATGATTAGCTTGAAGTTAATCACTTGGAGGCGGACGGTGTACCAGAGGGAATATCATCGCGAGCAATAATACTCCCATCGGGAAGGATCATTTTTGATATCCATGATGCGATGATATCAATGATATTCTCGTCGTCCGCTTCTCGATCTAGCCTGGACGGGTGCTCGAGGCAGCTTCGCAGGACGAGAAAATTCTCCAGCACTCCCTTAAACCAGACATCAGCATGATGTGGATAATGCGATGGGGTTCATTTTAAAGTCAAACTCACAGCCTTGCTCAAGGTCTCATCACTGGCAAGTTCGCTATGGAGCTGTGAGAACGAGTACTTCTCAGGCAGGACTGCGGCTATTAGCATCTGCTTTAAAGTGAACAGCGGACAGACGCACGTTGAGATGGTAGTGTTATGGTGTCAATATCACCGGCATTATTCCTTGCAGCTTCACGAGCCGTGGCAAACATAGTTGTGATGCTTCATGGACATTGTTTGGTGAGGAATTGGTCATTGCTCGACGTTGCTGGTCGTTCGGTTGCAAGAATTTTAGCGCGGAATACCAGGTCCCCCCTTTTCCAACGGACATATAAAGTATATCTGGGGAGCACTAAAGTCACAGGTTGAGTAAAGCACTTGGTAAGATCAGCCCCAAAGAGATTTGCATTTGAGCATTACTTCATTCATCTGTTTTGAGAATATAAATAACTACTTCTTCATGGGTATCTGCAACTCGTCGCTCTTCTTCCTCACCTCCTCAAGCGCCGCCTTCAGATCTTCAGGGCTAGTAGCACCAGGATTTCGTAACTGCCATGCCATACAAATATCTAACGCCCCCTTGGTCCAAACCCCACCCTTCGCATTAAACTCGGCCATAAGCATCTTTCCATCGATCAAAGGCTTCTCGGCCGGAGCGTCCATGATATCCATCGATTCCAAATGGTCGATGAGTCCTTGCCATTCCGAGAGCACCGTGCTGAGTGGAACACCTTGAGAGCCAACACGGCCCATGACCTCTACAAGAAGAGCAAACAAAGCCTGTAATCTCCAATTCCCACCATCCACATTCCACTTCCGAATCCTCATCCCGACAGTGTCACGTTCATGAATAAGTGCCAGGCCCTCAACAACAGCGTTCTTTAGCTCTGTGAGCTGAGCATAATTTTTAAAAGCTCCGTTAACAAGATTGCAGATCTTGCTATTCGCTTTGATTCCTTCTTGTATGACGCGCGTCCCAAATAAAATTGGAGGTTTAGGTCCGGATTGTGGAGGGTTTGGAATTGATGCCCATGGTGCAAGAGCTGCGAGGAGCCAAGAGTTATATTTGGCATCCTCAGAACGGACTAGAGCGTGATATATGGAGCCAGGGGTCTCATTCGCTTTCAGGGCATGCAGACAGTCGTATACAATGCTCCAGTTGTCAGTGCTGGGTACAGGGAAATCTTTGGCTGTTGGATCTGTGAAGATTGTGGAGTAGAGGCCTAGCCTGTCGAAATACTGGAGAGAACTGCGGGGGTCGTTGCCTTCCAAAGATTATTAGTGACGCTATTTCGACGGGGTGCAGAAAACTTACCCTTTAGCATTTTCTCGACCTCAACGCCCACCCTTTCTCTGCTAATCTTTAACTTCAGAGCTTCCATGACAGTAGCGTTGCTCATCCACTTCTCAGACTCTGCATCAATCGTGAAATCCAGACGGCTAGCAAATCTGATCAACCTCAATACCCGTAACGGGTCGTCCTTGAAGGTCTGTTCCGGCTCCATGGGTGTTCTTATCCGTTGAGCCTTCAAGTCCACCAACCCTCCCACGAAATCTTCGACCTCATCACTATGGAGATTGTAGAATAGCGCGTTGATGGTAGCATCCCGTCTGTCAGCATCCTCGATAGCAGTGCCGAATTCCATCTGAGGGTTCCGACTGTCTTCCGAATACGTCTCTTTTCTCAGATTGACAAAGTCCAAGTCAAAGCCAAAAAGCTTGGTTGTTACTGTTTCGAGATGTTTTGATTTCTCTGGCTTTGCAAGAATCTTGTGGAGGCTTCCAATGTCCTCTGGCTCTAGGGAGTGTTTTCTAAGATTCTCTTCGTTCTCTAGGTAATCCTTCATCTTGAGACAGAAGCTGTCGCCAGTCATGACGTTGATGGCGGTATCGATATCATGACTCTCGATGTTGAGAAGCTTGTCACGGACCCATCCTCCTGCAAAACGTAGCTCGATGTTCTCTTTGATCTCCTTGGACTCATCAATGAATCGAGCGACATCAAGGAGAAGGTTTCTCAATTGGGTCTCTCGAGGCGAGAGAGTAATCCTTGTCGTTGCCATCTTTGGCTTCTTAGAAACTTGTGGTTCTGGTGAGTTGGAGGGTTTTCTCTTCATGGGAGGACAGAAAGAAAAGGAGCGGGTGAAGAAGGCTCCAGCTATGACTCTACGCTGAACCAAAGAACGTAGGGACATCAGCTCAAAGACACAGGTGCACTGGCTCTGAGTGAGCTAGAAAGGGTCTTGGGCTACTTAAATCATTCCAAACCTGAAGATGTTGCTGGTAATACAGAGATTGTTCAGGGACCATGAAAATCGAACTTTTTTATACAAGTGCGGAGTCACGTGCAGCTGGAACTTGACTTCAACGCCGAACAACACGGCCAGATACATCGTATGCGCCGGACTTCTGAGGGCGAACAAAGTACGACAGAGTCTTGTTATATGACCCAGGACTTTTCACATTCTAGAGCCACATGCCAGTGATCACCCTTTCGAGAGGACATTCGTTCGTTCAACCACAAATGCTTCGCATATCCAGATCCTGAACAGGTCCCCGATTTACCTCTGGCACTCCTGCTTTCGTACCTCTCTCGGCGCATGGTGTCGCGCAGATCGATGCTGGCAGAGCGACGAAAATACAACCGTCGGTCTTTGGCATAACAATTGGCCTTCATGACACCTCCAAAAAATGACCCGCCTTTCGAGCCACCCGAACCCTCCAGGACGCCCTCCGGGAGGCTCCCCAAGACCAGACTCAGTACAGACACTCAATCCATAGCATCTTCGACATCGACTCTCCCATATCGAAACACTAATGCATCCGTTTCCTCTCTCTTTGCATCCACATCGACGCCTACCGGCTCGAGGTCCTCTTCCCCAAGTGGCACTTCGAGGAAGATTTCGAGTTCTGTCTTTGGCGGCACACCGGGCGAGGGCAACCGGCTCACACCGTCTGATCGGGCAGAAGATCCTCGAAATTTGATACTACATTCTTTCGTGGCGCACATCGCCGTTCATACCTCGATCGATACGAAGGAGCTAGTAAAGGACAAGGGGTTTGATGGGGGGCTGTGGGAATTATTGCGACCTTTTGGAGAAAGGATACAAGGAAGAGTTACGATCAGGGATAGCGTAGGTGCTGGAAAAACCTGGGATGACTTTGCTGTACGATTTGTACAGCTGGGCGATGGCCTCGAACCTCCAGGGGCTGTGCTAGGGTCGCGGAGAAATAGAGAGGAGAAGGTTCTGCCTGGGAATGCGAACAAAACGATACCGGATTCCCTTGCGGCTCAGCGGTCAAGGACTGGAGGTGATATCTCCCATATTGAGAATCTGGTGGACAGACATTTGACACACGCCGAGCAATATCCCACCATGGATGGCGAGGATTACTTGAATTTCAAGGATGTAAAGCCAGGGAATGCGGATACAACATCGCCTTTTTATACTCTCTACCTACGGAGACTACTTTCTGGCCTTCCCCTGGTGCCTCACGAGACATTTTCACATCCCGTGGCATGTATAATTGCCATCAGCTCCCGGAATACAAGTCCAATTGAGACATTACGGAAGCTCTATGATGAATCTAGTCATGGGGATAAACGGTTACCATTGTGGGTAAATAATGACTATCTGAGATATTACGTTCTTGTTCACGACGAAGAACGAGATGATATCACCAAATCCATGGCATTATTTGAACAGATGAAACGTCACTTTGGTTTACACTGCCATCTTCTCCGGCTTAGAAGTAGTCAATGCATTGCATCGGACGACGATAGTGTTCAGATACCTCGTCCGGAGTGGCTGGCAGCACCGGAAGAGATCTCAGAAATCCACAGACGGGAAAGTCAAGAGGACATTGAGGATTCATATCCATGCCTCTACGAATCCGACACTACAGCAATCAAAACCTTCATCCGCGAAATGGTTACCCAGTCCGTGGTTCCATCTATGGAACGAAATGTAGCAACGTGGAACGATCAGATTGCATCCCGAAGGCGAGGAATGGCAGGACGGCTCTTGAAAATTTCGAAGTGGACGGGATTTGGAAGCAGTTCTCGATCATCCTCGTCAAACGGTATGGGCGGCTCAAATAACAACTATGATGCATTGCAAGGCTTCTACCGTCCTGACGCCCCTGAAGCCTTGATGCGGAAATTAGCAGACTATGCTTTCATGCTCCGCGATTGGAAACTGGCACAATCGACCTACGATCTCCTACGGTCCGATTTTAACAACGACAAGGCGTGGAAATACCACGCTGCAGCGAATGAAATGGCCGCTATTTCTACGCTCTTGATCCCACAAGCTATCAACTCCAAGACCCGCGCAGAGACAGTAGATCAGATGCTCGAAACTGCCTCCTACTCCTACATCACTCGCTGCGGGAGCTCATATGGCGCGCTCCGTGCTTTGGCTCTAGGCATGGAGTTACTGCGTCTGAGAGGTGGATCTGCAACGGACGACGCAGCCAGATGGGGCATTAGGCTATTGGACCAGAAACTTGTTGGCGTGGTCGGGGACGCACTGATAAAAGAGCGGATCTCTGCCTGCTATGCATCCAAAGTAGGCTCAGGGTCGGGAAAATGGGGAGCACGAATCCGGAAGAGTGCGCTATGGAGAGTCTTGGCTGCGGACGCATGGCTTACGTTAGGCAAGCCGCAACAGGCCAAACTCTGTCTTGACGATGCGGATGCGAAATACGGGGAGCTGGCCTGGAAAGATGGATTGCAGAGCTGGGAAAACGCGGGCGCGTTCTTAGCAGGCCTTCGGAACGAAGTGACTATGTCTCTTTACCCCGAGTCGGCGATCGAGGGGTCTGGAATGCTCTCAGGGGGAGAGATTGAGACGGAGATTGGCGAGGAGACGTCGGGATTTTCGTCTCAACCCCAGAGAAAGAGCGTGATCGGGGTGCAGGTACCGGTGTTGCCGGACGAGATTGAGGAGGAGAATAGTACTTTGAGCCCGCAGCTTGAATTCGAGTAAAGGGCGGCGGACCCGATGTCCCAGTAGGATTTGAGATAAGCGTAAATGGTGGGAATGAATGAATGCATTGGGGCGGTGTCTGGTGTTGGGCATTTAGGTCTTGACGAAAGATGCGTTCTGAGGTAAAATCTAGGGCTTCTCCTGTCGGCATCTTGAAGAATAATAGATGGAGACCCCTTTTACACCGCAGTGCCAATTCATGTGGGCAGCAGGGATACAGCTATGCAAGCGAAGTTGACTGCACAACGTTACCTTATGCTTCGCTTCATAATATTCACAATTTACATTTACATTACAGCTGTCCACGCCTCACTGCTACTCCGTCATTTACTGCAGGTACCTTATCCTTTATCGATTATCTCTTATCGCTTATCGATAACCATCTGAGGGACCATTCAAAAGGTTTCCCCACCAATTGACCTCGCATCAACAACACCTCCCATCCTGACACCGTGGATCATTCATCATGTCCAACGACAGACCTTGCTAGATATTCTTATCGTCGCATCTGATCCCTTTGACGTACGCTTAAGAGGTTCAGAAACCATTCAGACACGATGCAATGAGCTTCTGCAACCGGGAGACTACCTTATGATTGAAAGCTTCAATCGGGTTAAGGTAACCCTTCTATACCAATATGTCTGCATATAAATAACTGGAAGACAGGTAGTACGCTGCTGCTTACCGATAAAGCTGCTATTACTCGATTCTCCTCCCACACTATATATAGCTGGACGGGACGAGCAGATAAACTCGAGATACAGATCCGCGATATCCTCCAGTCTTATGCGATTAGCGTGCACCGCGAGGGAACGGCCGATGCGTCATCACCGACTGGTGTTGTGAACCCCCTGTTACAAGGAGAAATATATATTGATACATGAGTGGGCTTCCAAGCTGCTCTAGTTTTTCTCCCCGTGATGGCTGAATCTCTCTTTATATCGGGCAATTTTTCTACCTGAATTACAAATAAGGCGCCAGAAGGGGGGGATTCTGGTTCGATTTTGCTCAGAATGGGCTACTTCTCACATAAAATGTTCAGCAGTTCTTTGATCAGTATTTGATATCGGTTAATCCCAACCTGTGTATACTCTGATCCTATTAGCAGTCCAAGATGCTAATCTCTAGAGCTTCATAGAATGATTACAAGGTTATATGCTTCGAATTTGATGTGCTCGGGGTGGACGGGAGACTGCTTGATCCAGTTTATCGAAATAAAGATGATATCCGGAGTGTTCTGGACGAGCTCCTAAGGTAGCATTTTCGACAAGCAGTAGTCGAAAATAGAAAAGACCGGAGAACCGGTCTTTGAGACTGACTTCGTGGGGGCGGATCTGATGGGAGAAATAATCAATGGGCCGAAGGCAGGGGGCATTCTCCTGTGGAGAGAATGGGCATTCATCTTCAAGACTTTTGGAACCCGCTCAATCTTAAAAGCATCAAGCAAGAGAGCCGGAGCAGGAGTTATTGGAGAAAACTGCGTATTTATAGCCAGGGAATGGACTCCAGTCCATTGGTTGAGGTTGATCCAGGCCAAGGCGGGTTCAGGCATTAAGGCAGCCAGTTATTGAGATGCTATCGATAAGGATCATCTCCAAAGGAACAGAAAACACCACTGTCAACAAAAAACAATTGTCTCGCAACAACTGATGCACATTGACCCCTTTTCCTTGAATCGCGATGCCAGACACCGACTCTCCACTCCTCGCTTACTTGGTAGCAAATGAACCCGCCTTCCGCCGGTAAATCTGCTTCTCTCTCTCCCCTCGCATCATCAAACACTGGAAGTGTAGCAGTAGGACTGATCAAAGGAAACAAACCCCAGAGCACGGCTAGCCTCCCTCTACAGCGATTTCCGCCATTTACAAGCCACGAACCCCGATGGATATGCAGCGAATGTCGAAGCATGGCGGAAAGGGCTCGCGCACGCTTCCCGGGCCGGGGTTCTCCCTCCGCACGATCTCCTATCAATAACCATAAACGACGAGTTGTTGCGGGACCTGGAGAGCAAAGAATGGGGACGGCCGCTCGCCCTGGGAGCCGTGGTGCAGGAGAGTATACAACGGCGAGAAATCATCCCCGTGGCGCAATTCCAGGACGCGAAAGAGAGCATCTATCGGAACCCTTGGTCGCTGAACCCGCTGAACCTCGTGGGCTGGGGATTACGCCAGCTCGGCCTCGTGGGAGCCTCCAATAATCCCAAACTGGTCTCGGGGAAATTCGTCGTCGTGCAGAATCTCGAAGACGCAGCTACCGAGCTGGCAAAGCGAACGGAAGGGAGGAGGGGCAGGGTGGAGCGCATCTATGCTCGAAAGCTCTTCGAAGAGGAGTTCCGGGACGTGCTGGGCGCGAAACAGCTCTCGGATGCTGATATGGAACTCTTCTTGCGGTTTCTCCAGCGGGATAAAGGGATGCTGGTTTGGGATTCGCAGACGGTGAAGTTGAGAAGTGCGGGCGAGACGAGCACTACAATAACGCAGGAAGAACACACGATTGCGAGTCTGACGGGTCTCATTCGGGATCTGGAATCCCAAACAAAGATCCTGGGAAGCAGGGTTGAAGAGCTGGGAAGCACAGCCCGCGAAGCCGTATCTCGAAAGAACAAAGTCTCGGCCCTCGCGGCCCTCCGCTCCAAAAAGCTGGCCGAGGCTACCCTCACCAAGCGACACGCCACACTCTCTCAGCTCGAAGAAGTCTTGCTAAAAATCGAGCAGGCGGCCGACCAGATCGAGCTCGTGCGCGTCATGGAAGGCAGCGCCAAGGTCCTGGCGGGACTGAACAAAGAGGTTGGAGGTGTGGATCGCGTGGACCAGGTTCTGGATGGCTTGCGGGAGCAAATGGGCCAGGTCGAGGAGATCGGGACCGTCATTGCGGAAGCGGCGCAGGGCGGTGTGGTTGATGAGGGTGAGGTGGATGACGAGCTGGAGATGATGGAGAACGAAGAGAAGAAGAAACAGGAGGAGAGAGAAAATCGGGAGAAGGAAGAGAAGGAAAGGAGAGAGGCAGAGGAGACGAGGCAGAAGCTGGCGCAGTTGGAAGAGATCGAGAAGCGGGCTAAGGAGGATGCTGTGAAGATGCATACAGACAAGGAGAAGGGCGAGAAGGGAGCGGAGAAAGAGGAAGGGGTGAAGGAAATCGATGAGAGTGCAGAACTGTTCAAGAGGATGAGCTTAGATCCTCCTGAACAAGCTACCGCATAAAGCTCAATCTTTGGGGATAATATAGGTTAGGGGGTATAATCACGGGCGTCAAGGTTGGGAGTTTAATATCTTGTTAGTCCTGTCAATAGCAGGCTACGGTTCTAGAGGTTTGATTGTAGTTCTATCTGGATTGATAGCTGTATCTTTGTCTAGTGTCGATGTGCCTTGACGTTGTGGGGATGGGAGTGGACCTGTATGGCCGGGTGATGATGGTTCTTGAAAGAATCTGGTCTGAGATCCCTTATATGTGACCAGTGACGTTGTTGCTCTTGGTTGTTCATTCGACTCAGTGTCTGGCCGGTCCAGGGTGCGCAATGCCACGGATGGTCCATCAACTGCCTCTCCCTGAATTGGCCCGGAGCCAGAAGACGAAGACGATGCCTTCGCAGCAGGTTTCCTCCTCGCATTAGCAATAAGTTGCTTAAACGCCTCGTCATTCTTCTCCGCCCAAGCCTTCCCATCAAAGTCCTTGTCCCTAATCTGGGACCCTATTTCCTGCTCTTTCCAGGACACCACAGCTCTACCTCCCTGGGTCCTTTCCCAGAGATCCAGGTCCCTCCTCAACTCACTCTTCCCTTTCGGATTTTTCGAATCGCAGTTTGCGTTCCATAACGTAACCCATTCTGTGTATCGTCTCTCCATTAACTGCCTTGACCCGGAAGAGGAGATGCCCTGATCTGCAAGCTTCTTTCGGAGCGCTGCGTCTTTGAGTCCAGAATAGTGCGGGTGAGGAAGTCGTTCGGGTCTCTTTATTGCTTTATGTATTGTGGGGTTTTGTGTTGAGTTTCTAGCCCCCTTCTTCTTGCTAGGAGGTTCGCCGTCGCAGTGGTCTATATGTGCTTCAACTGCTTGGACTGTCATCCGCTCCTGGCATATTGGACAGGGCACCAGTCCATCTTTGGGTTCTTCTTCCTCTATACATGTATCAGCACCCGCGCCGTGCAAGTTACGCCCATATACATACCAGGAGTGTAATCCTCATCATCGCCGTCAGAATCAAGTGCTACAATCTGTGAAGATGGCAGTATCCGCCTCCCAGACCTCGTTCTCTTCCGTCTAGGAGTACTGCCGTCTTCCCCTTCCTCCACTACCCGTTTGCGTTTCGGGGATGTGCTCCTTTCCACGGGCCTTGTCGCAAACCCCAGAACCTCTGGTCTCGCCTTCTTGAAAGCCTCCACCAGCTCTTCCATCGCCCAGTTCTGCCTCAGCTTCATTTCCTGGTCCCCTGCCCGACAAGCAGGGCATTTGCCATCGTGGGTCAAGCTCCGTCGTATGCAAAGCGAGCAGAATGTATGCGAGCAAGATGTGATCATGGGCGTCGTATAGAAGTCTTTGCAGACTTGACATCGTAGGGCTGCCTCGACGGCCGCCAGAGAGGGGAGAGGAGTGGCGAGCCAATCCGTCGAGTCGGGGATCTCAAAGGCATCGTCGGGGAGTGGATTTGCGTTCATTGTGAATCCTGATGAAGGATATTTCTGAGTGAGTTGGGCTTGTCTCAGTCGGCCTTGTGGAGCTGGTGGAGGTCAAGGCTGGAGAGGATGATGAAAGTCGCGTAAAGTGGGAACGCGACTTTCTTTTCGGCGCGCGTCTCCCACAGGACTGTGCTGTATGTAAAATCACAACTCTTTTGAGGACACAGACAACGACACCATAGGCAATAGGACAATGGCAGACTACAAGAGTTACTTGGCAGCCAATATCTTAAGTGAGGATAAAGTGGTATGATTACAATTCTACGAACTGGCTTCCTGCAACTGACGATGTCCAGATCACTTACCGGCTGCTCAGTCGAGCTCTCAAAGTCAATGTCAATACTGCAAAGGAGTAGGTAGTGCGCACTCTTCCATTCAGCCAAATTGCTGATGGACATAGAATGCTCTATGAATTCCACCATCTGCAAAATGCGAAGAAACCAGGCACTGTCCACGCAACCTATCTTGTCAGCGGTACAAAACGCGCAGAGGAACAAGAGGCCTCAAGTGGTGTACAAAAGGATGGGGAAGATGAATATATGCAGAGTAGCCCATTCATGAGCAGCTCTATGCCTCAGCCAGATCAGGATACAGAAGAGACGTCCGTCTTGAGCATTACCTTGGTTAGAGAGGAGGACCTGGAGAGTATGAATATCTCCGCTTCCATCCCACTCAAATTGTTAAGCTTGTTCTGCAGGTTTAAAGTCCCAATATGAACACATAACATCAATACACATCTATAGTCTTGGACCTCACCCTTTAAAGGTAACCTCTTTCCCGCCCCCTCGCATCACAGACACAACTCACACTGTCCAGGAACTCCAACTCCTTTCCGACTGCACCCGCGAACTAAGGGCCCTCACAGCATCTGAAGATCCTCTCGAATACTACCCCAAATATGGCGCAATCACCAATCCCCTCGTAAAACGCCGTCCAGCCCGCAGACCACCACCACCTCCCGCCCCAACGACAACCTCCAAGCCCGCACCAGTTAAACAAGAAGCATCCAAGCCCTCCCCTGCCCCTGTCGTGAAGCCAGAACCGAAAGCGAAGCCAGAACCCAAACAACAGAGCACAGCTGCAAAGGATTTCTTCGGCAAGGGAAAGGAGAAAGCGAAATCCGAAGCGAAATCAGGAGGTACAAGCGCACCATCTAGCAAAGAAAGCACGCCTGCCCCCAACCCACCAGCTCTGAAGAAGAATAATTCGAGTGATATCTTCAAAGCGTTTGCGAAAGCCAAACCGAAATTGAAGAAGGAGGGGACGGATTCATCAGCGGCGGCGACCGAGGATGAGGTAATGAAAGATGCAGTGAATTTTGATGACGAGGATGAGGAGGAGACATATGTGCCTCCTGCGCCAAAGGAGGAGAGTGCAGGAGATAGGAGATCTAGGAAGGAGAGGGAGGCGCAGTTAAGAGCAATGATGGAGCAAGATGATGATGATGCTGAGGACGAAGTCGTCCCACCCGTCGAACAACCAGAGCCAGAAGAAGAAGAAGAGACGAACCCTGAAAAAGAAAAAGAGGAAGTGAAACCCGAGCCTGAACCAACCGTGACGGTGAGTGGAGGACGCAGAAGAGGAAAGAGGAGAGTGATGCGCAAGAAGACTATCAAGGATGAAGAAGGCTATTTGGGTAAGTCGTCGCCCCTTCAAACCATCCCCCCCTGACCCAGACCTTGTGGAATTGGAAATGGGATCTGCTCTTTTGGGGATAGGAACTGATGGATGGTATGTTATGTAGTCACGAGAGAAGAAGCAGTCTGGGAATCCTTCTCGGAAGATGAACCGGTTGCGCCGCCGCCAAAACCAAAGGCTCAGTCTACGACAGCAAAGGGGAAGAAAGGAGCGGAGAAAAAGGGTCAAGGTAGTATTATGAGCTTCTTTGGGAAGAAATAGTGCTCTTTTTTCCTTTTTCTTTTCTCCCGTTGATCAAAGAAGGATAAACGAAGGTGGAAGGGCTGGTCATGGAATATGTAATGTATAAGCAAGCAAGCATTAAGTGTGAAAAACCACACCCTAAAATAACCTGATCCCATGATTTTTTTGAACATGTACTCTTCTCAATAGAGAAGTTTACAGATACTATACTATACTATTATACGTGAACTCCATCCAATAACCCATAATACACAACATATCATCCGTCATTCGACAAGATACGGTTCCGCGCCCTTGCCAAAAATCAAATGGGGTTTTCGTCTCGCTAGGTCTAGGATTGTTTGCGCGAAGACGCTGTTTGCCCCTATGCAATTTCTTTCTATCAGTACTCCACTCTAAAAGATATGAAAAAGCAAATGAATAGAGAAATAGAGAGGTAAGGTAAGTGAGATCAACATAGGCCAGCATAAATGTGAACGGGATCATAAGGTAGGGAGGTTAGGGGGAAAGACTCACAAGCAAACCAGCTCCGAGTATAATCATGAATACGGTTCACGTTAATAGATTCATGAACCAGACCGAGACGAGAAGCTTCTAGGACGAGATTGACACACTCTGAGATCTCGGTGTCGTTGTCTGAGGTCATGGATTGAAGGAGGAGGGACATGGGCCAGGCGTATTCGGGGCCGATATGAGGTCCTTTGTCCCTCGTTAGCTAAAGAAAAGTCCTGGAAGGGGTAGGTAGGTTCTGAGGAGCCTTACCGCCGATGCCATGGAATGCTTTGCCTTCCAAATAATACGGATTCGTCGCTTTGTCTAACACCATCTTTCGGGTATTGAGATACACTGGGTCCGTTTTTTCTACAAAGCCCATAACCGGTAGAGCTAGGAGGGACGGCACATTCGCATCATCCATCAGGATCTGTCCTCCATACCCATCAACCTCATACGCAAATACCCGTCCAAAGCGCTTATGGGTCACGACCCCATATTCCCAAATTCCTTCCGTGATCGCCTGCGCCCTCTTTTCGAGCTCTTGCGCAAGTACATCTTTCTTCGCGGTGCGAAGGATCTCGGATGTCCGTTTCAATTCCACGGCCATCATGGCATTGGCTGGGATGAGAAACCCGAGGATCGTAGCATCGTCAGAAGGCCGGAATGCGCTGCGGATCAGTCCGGTGCCATAGTTCAGGGGGTTGCCGACTCCGGAGAGAGGTAAAGTTTCGGTGCCCTGATCTGTGCGTCTGGAGAATGTGTATGTGTTCTTCTGGAACCGCCCAGAGACGGGATCAAAGGTGGACTGGGATTGTTCATCCAAGACATCGAGGAGCGTGTCGAGAGCCTTATACCAACGCGGAGTAAGGAATTCTTGCGATTTGGTATGGTTGAAGAATGTATTGCCCAGCGATAAGAAGGCGGCTAGGGAGTCCAGCTCATATTTGCATTCGAAGACAAAGTTTGGCTCGAAGGCCGGGTGCACGTAATCTTCTTGCCCATTCTGCGTTGCGGGGAGTTTGGAACCGGGTGGTGGTTGAAAGGCGTTGCAGTATGGGGATTGGATCACGTATTCGGACTGTGTATTGATAGCGCCGAGGATGAGATTGTATATTGCTGTATCTGACTTTGCCAGAGGTTGATACTGTAGGAGTTGGTTGGTGGAATCGCGGAGCCATTCTGCATTGATATCGCCGGTGACGACAAAGGATTGGGCGCCTTCCCATTTGCCTGCATCTCTGGCATTGGCTCGGGCTTTCAATTCAGTATGTTTATTCTTTCCATCGACATGCCATCGGACAGTCGTGTCAAGGGTATTTGGGAAGGCGTTCTCGAAGAGGCGCGCTAGGTCTTTGTCGACCATCTTCTCCGTCACATCCTCAATGACCTTCTCCACTAGAGGGGAGGTAAAGGTTCTGCAGTGTACCGACGGTCGCTGGAATGGGAGTTGCATTGGTCCATCTGAGAGCGGTCGACTTGCAAAGGTTAGCTAGAGCTTCTTGACAACAGCAGCTGGAAACGCACTGAACATATGTGGCATATTTCTTGTAATCTGGACAAGCCCTATGGTAACTATGGGACTCCTCCGGCGCATCTGGCTCTGCGGATAATCCTGTGGTACTCCATGCCAGCCAGAGTGCCACTGGCCAGAGGGAACAGGGACGCATGGTGCTTCTCTGCTTCGATGCGACTACAATTTAGATGTAGCCCAACAACCATGGATAACCCAATGGGGGCCTCAATCCAAATGGTTGCAATGTCTTCCTCTCCTGTCACTCAATCACTCCTCTATGACGACGCCGACTGTAATAAGTCGTCTACAACTGGCACGGCGTCTCGCGGTTCCAGGTGCTTCGCATCGCAATGGTTCGCGTTTCTTGACCTCGCGGTCGCGTGAGAGAGGAGGGCGGGAGAGAGATCGAGAGAGGGCAATCGATGTTCTAGGGGTGAAAGCCAATTGCTCTATCCAATTGGAACTTTGGACGCATAGAATTATGGCGACACGGGTGTTTGTTGATGTTGCGCGTGAGAGAGTTGTAGTAAGCCTTGCCTATGAGGCTGTCGACAACTTGACATCACCTGACACTAGCATCATCCAGGACCGCTCCGCCTTTCATCTCTTCATAGTTTAGTTTTCAACATCCCACATCAACATTTTCCCCTTTTCTCTTCATAATCCCGTGCTATAGGATAGCAATCAATAGTTCCCGGCGTCTCGTCTCTGAAACCTCTGGAGTTGTCTATTTATTATTTGTTATTCCCGAAATTGACTTCGATTTTCCTGTCACTCCGGCGTCAGCAGTCCTGGCTATTCATACTCTACCTTTTATCCTCTCTCTCTCCTTGTCTATTTCTCGAAACCAACGGCAGGTCCAATTTATAAGACGATAACAATCTCATTTGTTATATTCATAAAAGCTATTTATACCCATTAGCACCAGTATTGGCGTCCCTCCACAGATCAAATTTCGTTCATCGAGCTCAGTTATCCTAGCCACAACTGCATTACTGCGTTCCCTATTCGTCTAATTCGTAAGGTATTGAACTGCCCATTCATCATTTTAGTATTTCTCCATCTACTCAGCGGTAGTTCCAGTTCTGTTTGCATTGACAATCAGGACCGGTGTCCCGGGTAAGGATCTGCAACATTGACGTCTATATTACTTGGTAAATATGGAGCCGCGTTGGCTAGCTTATAATCCTATCTTTACGGGGTATCTTGGGGGATGATGCATCAGTCTCCGCACGCACTGACTTCTTTCTCGCATTTCTCGCTGCCGGACTTGCTGGCTGGCGTCTTTGCAGATAGGTCTGCCTTGCACAGCTTTCAGAGCTTTGCCGCCTATTTATGGAGTTGTTCGCTATAGAAGAGACGGCTATGCTGCCAGCGCAGTTGCATCCAGGTCATTGCGAAGTTGCAAACAGCGAAATCATTCGCTAGCCTGATATACTCAGGTGTTTCTTCATTCTGGAAAGGAGATCCGCCGCTACAAAAGGCTTTGACAAAACAGAGTCCTGCCAGTCATCAATCAGCAAATTCGCTCAACAGAGTCTAGAGAATGCTGAGAACATACCATGCCACTTTTATAGGCATTCTGAATCTGCTCCTCTCGCGCATTTGCCGTTATTGCAATGATCTGAACATGTCTGGTAATCTGGCCCGATTCCTGCAGGGCTCTGATCTCCCGACTGCAAGTCAGCCCATCCATGACGGGCATCTCCCAATCCATCAAGATGATATCCAAACGTTTACTGTCGGCCACCTGCTCGCGCCAGATGTCACTCTTGCCCAGAAACTGGAGAGCCTCCACACCATTGTTTGCAGTGTAGACTACGCATCCCGCATTTACTAGCTGTTTGCGGAGGAGCTTTTGGTTGATTATGTTGTCCTCAACAAGCAGAACATGGATCTTGTCGAGTTCAACATTTGATTTCTCTCCTTGGCTCTTAACCAATTCTGGACGTGATGATTGAGCTGGTTGCGTTATGGAGGCAAATTCAGCATTCTCGGGTCCTATACGTCGGCCTTTGACATAGAAGGCAAAGGTAGTGCCTTCCCCGGGCGCCGAAGCAACGCCAATCTCCCCTGCATGCTTTTCCGTGAGCTTTTGGGAAATGAACAGCCCTAGCCCAGACCCTCCATATCTGATGGATGTCCTCGTGCTAGCTTGTTTGAAGCGATGGAATAACTTCTTGACTTCTTCAGGCGTCATTCCCACGCCGGTATCCGAAATTGAAAACACGAGATACAACTGCTCACCAGTTCCCCAGTCTGGCTCGAGCGTCAGGTCGTCCACCTCCTTCTCACTTGGCGCCCAAGTCATCCCTGCTTGGAACGCGTTTCTCGGCTCGGAAAGTGTCGCCCCATAACTTATGGTGATCTCTCTCTTGGGTTCCGCCCGAGTAAATTTCATAGCATTTGTCAGTAGGTTTATGACGATCTGAGCAACACGAGACGGATCACACAGAACCCAGTCTACGCTGTTTTCTCGCAGCGAAGACTCAGGATTTATGGTGACTTTGAAACCCTGGCTTTGGAGATCTAACTCGAACATCCTTACAGCCCGCTCGATCAGGACCGCAAGCTGGGTTGGACGCGGCGAGATCTTGAGCAGCATGTGCTCCAATTTCGACAGTGTCAAAACATCATCCACAATACGCTTTTGATGCTGTGCACAGAGAAGAATGACTCCGCTGTTGTCGATGTTGCTCCGAAGTGCCTCGAGGAGCGCTTCCTTGGTCTGTCCTTTCTTTTCACACTCCACCATCGATGATTGAATCATATCTACACATTGAAAAATTGCAGAGAGAGGGTTTCTCATCTCGTGAGACACGATGTCAATAAACTCTTCTTGTTTGCGCCTGGCTGCCTCGGCATCGGCAGCCTTTCGCTGTTCAACAGATTTGGCCCACTTCAGTTGAGAGATGTCGGTGATGCAAGCCATGATCGATTTGACCTCCCCCTTCTCAATATAAGGGAACATAACCATGAGGATAAATGCCGGTTCTGGGTCTCCACATGGCGGGATGAACATATGTTTCAAACGTAATTCCATAGTAACATTCGGTTCGCCCCGGGTGACTCGTTCCCACGCCTCCATAGCTTTGGGCCGGTCCTCCGTAATCAGTTCATCGAGAAAGGAGTGTTTGTAGTCCGTTGCTTCTTTCGAACGCCGCACTATTTGGAAATATTGCTCGTTCGCCCAGCTCACATTACCATCAAGTGATAGATGCCGCAGGCCGACAGATGCATGCTGTGCCATATACTGGATCTGCCTCGTAGTATCACTGAGCTCCTTCTCCAACTGTTCGGATCGTCTTCTCTTCTCCCCTGCACTGACAATCGAAGCGGCGATGGACGTGATCCTCGTCTCGAGATGCCACAGGAACTGCTGGTAATCTTCATCAAGAGGCCTACGGGGGTTTGCGCCGATAACTAAATACCCAAGGGTGCGTCCTGCAGCACTAAGGGGAATGATGCTGAAGGAGCTAGACGGCTCGTCGAAGCCACGCCATTGAACGCCTTCAAATCGTTCGTCAACCGGGTATGTACGGACCTTATTTTTGGCTTCGCGGAACAGCGGTATGAGACCTACAGAGTCATTAAGGTCCGCTTCCTCAACGGCGAGAGGATGGCCCTTTGGGAACCCAATGTTGCCATGCAGAAACACGCGGCTGGTACCAGGAACGATCTCCTCGTCAATCTCATACAAAAGGGCCATGGTAACGTCGCGTCCATTGGATTCGAGCTGCGACATGACATGGTAGGCGAGATCCTCCTGCTCGAGGGCAGAGGGGATGATCACGTAGTTGAACATGGCCATCCTCCGTTCGTTGATCTTCTGTCTCGTAACCTCTTTCACAGCCTGATAAAAGCCTCCCACCTTCCCATCTAGGTTGCGAATAGGTGTGAACGCGCCGGTGAAATACGTCTCCTCCAAGAACCCGTTCCGTACGGGGAATAAGGGTATCTCGACCATATCTTGTGAGACACCGCGCTGCTCTGCCTTCTCCATGACTTCTCGTATAATGGAATCGTATAATCCCGGAAACTCTCTTTCAAAAGTGCTGCCCATGAGCGCCGGGTGGAAATTCCCCTGATCGCTTTGTTAGTATTATGGATCTACATCGAGACGTCGACGTCGTCAACGCCATTTGGGAAAGGTACCACTAAGACCGAGAAGGCCGAATTGTAAATCGCTACCCTATGATCCCCCCTTCTGCACGTCAGCCACTGCAAATCCCATCATATGAAGGAATACAACCAACCAGTAAATAGACGCCGCCTGCGAATCCGCCATCAGCGTAAACGTATGCATCCTCAGCCCCAGACACCATTCTTCCAACGGCCCCAGGTGGCTAGCTGACCAGTTCACCGATCGAAAGAACCGAATATAGTCAGACTGAGGAATTTGATCTACCCAGTCGTCGCGCTCGAGGGGCGACTGGGTCTTTTTGGCCGGCCGCATAGGAAATCGTCTACCAGCGTCTCCATTCTCATTTTCCAACCCGACAGCTCTAGCCGGCGGGCCATTGCTCGTGGCGATCATGTTCCCGGCCGGTGACAGCGAGGGAGAGCTCTGGCGAGGTGATCAGACACTCCTGTATGCGATCAAGATAACAGCAGGGCTCTTTTCGTGTCTTTGCTTCTATGGGTTCCTTTGGTACGAGAGGCATTTCTGTGGACGGTAAGAAGACTCTTTAAAAAGTTCTCGAAGGGAAGAGAGGACGGAGGTGCAAAACGATGTGGGCAGACGATAGCAAAGGGTCCCAAAAGATGAAGAGGCTACGAAGTGGGCAGACATGTGCACAGGCTTCTGGCTCCAATAAGCAGCGGAGGAGACCTTGAGCCTCCTATTCAAACGATGCGGGGTAAGTTACGGAGATAGTGGCGTGAAACTATCTGCCCGCCACTCGGTCACCGGAATCACCATCATTCAATCCCCGATTAGTCCATGACATCACCGCGGCTAATCCAGCTTTGTTATTCGTAGCTGACTGGGCTACCAAAGGACGAGGGGGAGTATTGTAATGGGGTGTAGGAGTTGTCTTATTAGTAGGTTGTATTTTCTAAGTAAAAGTGCTACAATTGTAGGCTTATAGCTAGCTAAGCGAACCCTATTAAATATTAGTAATGTCATATGATCATTTCCTAGCGCTATAAGGCACCCCTAGACTTATAGTAAGTACCTACGATCGATAAACGAAGAGTAAACTATTCTAGTAACCTGTATACATTCTATAATAGTACTTTACTAGCTAATTCTAGTACCTATAATCTCTTGTCTGTCTACTAAGGTAGTCGCCTGTCTAGACTTAGAAGCTAAAGGGGTTAGTAAGGTCTAAGTATCTTGTTCTAGGTCGACTAGCAAACTTTATTATAGTTAGATCTATATCTAGTAAAGCTATCCTTATATTATAGGTCTAGTTAGTATTAATAAGGAACCTTGTTACGCCTACTTAATTAGTCCTAAGTATATATACCTTTAGATTATCTAAATAGTATTTCTTAACTTAGCTATTACTATAGATGTTTGTTACTTTTATAGATATGTTAGAAGTCATTTAGGTTAGAAGTCTAGGGCCTATCTATTGTGTTTTAAGTTTACGTCCTTTCTCTTTATCTAGCTAATAATTACGTATAAAGACTAGATCTTCTTATAATAGTTTAAGGAACCTAAGGCTCTTTATATCCTCTAGCTTTAAGTAGGCGTATATAATTAATATAACGACTTTATCCCTTAGTTCTTTATGTTTTTCTTAAAGAAACGACTAATACTTCCTTAGAACTACTAATAATATAATAATATTAGATCTATAGTCCTAGTTAACTTACTAAGGTCGTTAATAATTAGTATAGTTAGTCGTATTTTTAGCCTTATGCCTATTATTATTAAGAGCTACTAGTCGCTTAATTTCTAGTATCTATAGCTATATTAAGATATATCCTAGTATTATTTTAGCTAGAAAGAAGGAATACGTTTAGACTAGCCTAGTATTAATTATAAGTAAGATTTTACTTAAGGTAAAAGGCTACATTAGTACTAATTAAGGCCCCTTCTTAATAACCTATTTCTTAAGCTAGGTAGAAACTAGTTAAACGTATCGCTTAATTAAACCTACTAACTATAGATAGGTAATAAGTATATAGTCTATAAATAATCTATAAGATTTAAATAAAGTATAGGTCTTAACTATAGTAAAATAACTTCTATTGTCTAGGTATACTCTTTCTAGCTACTTAAAAATTAGTACTAGATAGTTAACCTAGAAATTAATTACTACTACTAAATCTACTATTATATACGTCTTAATAAATACTATTTTAGTAAAGTAACACATGACTAGTAGTACATACTTCTTACTATTCTCTCTTACTAAGTTAATAGGTCTAAGAAAATCTATACTTACTATTAACTAAGGCTTAAAATAAATAATTAGTTTAATGTTATAGCTCTTATAACGTAGTCTTATTCTCTAATATACCTTATAAGTAGCCGACTAGTTTTTAATATCTTAGGTATAAGTTAGCTAAAAGAATTAGCCTTATAGATTATATAGAGTTAATACGCTTATATAGTAACTATAGGTATTATATACTTATTTTATTACCTTACTTATTTTGTCTTCTAGAATATATTTTACTAAGTAATAGGTTACTTACTTCTTATATATAAGATAAGATCCCTAGATATAGTAGCTAATTACTCTTTTCTTTACTTACTTTCTTTATAACCTTAATATATATACGATTCTTACGTCCCTTACTAAAAGATACTCTAATATAAGACTATATACCTTATAATTCTTTAGTAGCTTATACTAGTTATATTCTAACCTCTTAGACATTAGTGTAGTTATTAGTACTATAAATACTATACGTTCTATATTATACTAGACTAGTTTATCCTAAAGTACTTTAGGTAATCTAGACAGCCTATCTATAATTTATACTAAGTTTGATTTCTCTAGCCTATAGTAGACTTTAATGTTATATTTAGTTAGTTAATCTATTTATTAGACTATTTTCTTATATAAGTCCGGACTATTCTATAAGGTTAATATTAATACTATATAATCTATATAAACTTTAGTTAGATAAGGACTCTTTATAATAACCTATCTAACCTTAGCTAAATTTCTTATAACTACTAGGGCTTCTTACTTAGTAGTTATATACCTAGTCTTAACGTCTAATAATTTAAAGGATATAAACATAAGGATACGTATCTAGTCTTTAATAGTTCTAGTTACTTCTATCCTAGCTAGGGTATCTACTAGCTAGAATAATATTCCTCTTAATCCCTTCTTACTTATATCTCTATATAGGTAGTACTACTTTATAGGATTAGAGCCTACTATAGTATTATTAATAATATAATCTTTAATATACTAGAAAGATTAATCTTATACTTTACCTTATTAAAAAGGTTTTTCTACTTACTTTTTTCTTAATAATTTCTTTCTAGTCTTTAGAAGTATAGTAACTTAATACTAGTATAATTCCTTAAGAATAAGAACGTAGTTAGCTCTTTTAAGTATAAAAATACGTAGAAATAGTGTAATCTATATAAAATCGTCTACTTCTTGTTAATAGGTTAGAGTAGGCTATAGTACTATACAGTTCTTATGTCTTAATAATAGTCGTAATCCTATTAAACTAGCTAAGAATCTAATTATATTAATAGAACTAAAAAAGAAATACGACTTTAAAGGTAAGAGAGAGAGAGGACTAAATATAACTTATAAGAAATATTAGTTATATAAGAACTAGAACATCTCTTTAAAGCTAGTTATAGTACTAATATAATTATCTATAAATAGTATAAACCTAATATCACTATAGTCCTAGATTAATATAAGTATTATAGAATAAGTATTAGTCTTAGAGAGTAGTCTAAAAACTAAATCTGTAAACTAGCTATAAGTATAAGGCGTACCCTTTAATCCTTAACCTATTTACCTAAACAGATATTAGCTATTTAGTACTGTTATTACTACCTTATATTTATTACCTAGTCTTATTAGTACTACCTAATAACTATTTGTTGTATCTAATAAGAAAAACACTATAAACTTAGGCTTAACTAGAGTATCTAAGACTTCTTTAATACTATACATAAGGTAGACTAGTTTAATAGTTAAAGTATTAACTAGTATAAAGTTATAGACTACTTAGAATTAGTTAGATCTCTTTTTCTTTAGTAAGAACAAAGTCTTTACTCTTTATAGACTTAATCTCCTTACTAAAATACTAGCTTCTTTTATTTTAAGAAATACCTTTACTATAAATTCTCTCTCTTATTAAGTATATCGCTTAGGTTTGTTAACTATTAGTATTACGCCTAAGATAAGGTTAATAGTATATTTAATTAAGTTAGTAGCTTTTACATCTTATATCTATATTATAAAGTAATCCTTCTATATATATAGTAATCTCTTAGTCTTTACTATTTTGTCCTTTATGTCTATAACATTACTAATATTAATTCTAATCCTATTAAACTATTTGTTAATATAATATTATAGAGCATCTAACATTAGTCTAGGTATAGGCCTTCTATTAACTAGAAAGCTAGATACAACTCCTTATAAGATAGGTCGGTTTACTAAGGTTAGATAACTATATAAAGGTAGTTATAATAAAAATAGCGCGTTTAGATCTTAGTTTTCTAGAGCTTATCTAATAGATAATAATACATATATAATAATGTTAATATAGTTAGGATTTAAACAAACAGATATAAGGTTAATATAAGTAGACGTATTACTATACTAGTAAAGAGTCTACTCCCTTACTAATACATACTTTTTTCTACCTAATATACTACTTAGTTAAATGTCTTAACCTCTTATAATAGCTAATTTATATCTTCTTTAGTGTCTTTATTAGAGCTAGTATTATTGTTATTAGTGTTATTAGAGTCTTTAACTAAAGAAGTATTACCTGTCGCCTTTAACTTATACTAATTAATAGTAATATAAAGAGTTAGGGCTACTAAAGCTAGTATATCTACAACTAGTCTACTTCTTTTTTATATACATAGAGTTCCGTTTCTATAATCCTTAATAGCTCTAACTAGAGCTATCTAGTACCTAGATAGTAAGATGTTATAAGAATCGTTAATACCTATAACAAAAGTATAAAGGAACGTTCTAATTCCTTCTACTATTACTTCTAGATTTATATATTTAGTAATAGTGATTTTCTAACTATCTACTACTATTATATACTATCTTGTATCTAATTAATAGACCTTTAAGCCTAGCTACTATACTACCTAAAGAGGGATTAGCTCTACTATAGCTCTCTTATTAACTAGAGCTTATACAAACTTCTAGCTATCTATATAAGTATTTATATAAAGGTACTATATTTCTAGTATATTAACTAGTTTATTATCTATAACCTAAGGTAGAGGTCTGTTTATAACTACTATAGTATTAATATTCTTACGCTAACTACGTC